TCCTTACTGTAACTCCCTCGGGGCACAAGCAGGATGTACTGGGAACTTATCCTCCCTGTAACTCCCTCAGAGGACAAGCAGGATGTACTGGGAACTTATCCTTACTGTAACTCCCTTGGGGCACAAGCTGGTTGTACTGGGATCTATCCTTCCTGTAACTCCCTCAGGGCACAAGCAGGGTGTACTGGCAACTTATCCTTCCTGTAACTCCCTCAGGGGACAAGCAGGGTGTACTGGGAACTTATCCTTCCTGTAACTCCCTCAGGGGACAAGTTGGATGTACTGGGAACTTATCCTTCCTGTTACTCCCTTAGGGGACAAGCAGGGTGTGCTGGCAACTTATCCTTCCTGTAACTCCCTCGGGGCACAAGCAGGATGTACTGGGAACTTATCCTTCCTGTAACTCCCTCAGGGGACAAGCAGGATGTACTGGGAACTTATCCTTCCTGTAACTCCCTCGGGGCACAAGCAGGATGTACTGGGAACTTATCCTTCCTGTAACTCCCTCAGGGGACAAGCAGGATGTACTGGGAACTTATCCTTCCTGTAACTCCCTCAGGGGACAAGCAGAGTGTACTGGGAACTTATCCTTGCTGTAACTCCCTCAGGGGACAAGCAGGATGTACTGGGAACTTATCCTTCCTGTAACTCCCTCAGGGGACAAGCAGGGTGTACTGGGAACTTATCCTTCCTGTAACTCCCTCAGGGCACAAGCAGGATGTACTGGGAACTTATCCTCCCTGTAACTCCCTCAGAGGACAAGCAGGATGTACTGGGAACTTATCCTTACTGTAACTCCCTTGGGGCACAAGCTGGGTGTACTGGGATCTATCCTTCCTGTAACTCCCTCGGGGGACAAGCAGGGTGTACTGGCAACTTATCCTTCCTGTAACTCCCTCAGGGCACAAGCAGGATGTACTGGGAACTTATCCTTCCTGTAACTCCCTCAGGGGACAAGCAGGGTGTACTGGGAACTTATCCTTACTGTATCTCCCTCGGGGCACAAGCAGGATGTACTGGGAACTTATCCTCCCTGTAACTCCCTCAGAGGACAAGCAGGATGTACTGGGAACTTATCCTTACTGTAACTCCCTCGGGGCACAAGCTGGGTGTACTGGGATCTATCCTTCCTGTAACTCCCTCGGGGGACAAGCAGGGTGTACTGGCAACTTATCCTTCCTGTATCTCCCTCAGGGCACAAGCAGGGTGTACTGGCAACTTATCCTTCCTGTAACTCCCTCAGGGGACAAGCAGGGTGTACTGGGAACTTATCCTTCCTGTAACTCCCTCAGGGCACAAGCAGGATGTACTGGGAACTTATCCTTCCTGTAACTCCCTCAGGGCACAAGCAGGATGTACTGGGAACTTATCCTTCCTGTAACTCCCTCAGGGGACAAGCAGGATGTACTGGGAACTTATCCTTCCTGTAACTCCCTTAGGGGACAAGCAGGGTGTACTGGCAACTTATCCTTCCTGTAACTCCCTCAGGGCACAAGCAGGATGTACTGGGAACTTATCCTTCCTGTAACTCCCTCAGGGGACAAGCAGGATGTACTGGGAACTTATCCTTCCTGTAACTCCCTTAGGGGACAAGCAGGGTGTACTGGGAACTTATCCTTCCTGTAACTCCCTTGGGGCACAAGCAGGATGCATTTGTGGCCTATATTCCCCTGGATATCGCTCAGGCAACATGCATTATGAAACTATTGTCACCCTTTAATTTCAACCAGGTAAGTGGAGGTCGGGTAGCCTAGTGGTTAAAGCGTTCGCTCGTCACGCCAAAGACCTGGGTTCAATTCCCGACATGGGTACAATGTGTGAAGCCCATTTCTGGTGTGCCCGCCGTGATATTGCTGAAATATTGCTAAAAACGGCATAAAACCATACTCACTCACTCACTCAACCAGGTACAGCACTGGGGACCTGTTTTCCCCCAGGAATTAATAATGAGGCAACACCCATGGGGTACATGGGATCCATTTCTTGCCTGTCATTCAGACAAGTGAGGAGCATCAGGTGGTGGAGAACCAGTTCCTCTGTTAGTAGCCTTCACAGTAAGCATGAGTCCTATTTCGCCTAGTATATATTATATTGAGTCAAATACTGACAACAACAACACAAAACAGTATATCAATTTATTATCCACAAACAACTTAATTGATGTCCCCAGTGATGTATACATCTATCCAACTTAAATATTCTGCTGTCATGCACCGTCCGCTGCTGCAGGGTAGATTCCTTACAAACTTTTAGACATGATACCAAAAATAATAATTTATTGTAATGAATCATATTCATCTTCTGCATGCGAACATCACAACATTAATATCACAGCTTTCATAACTGTTCATAAATAAAAATCCAATATACCAACGTCAGAGAAGCCACACAAAGCACAGCTTAACAAAGAAACAATCTGTGATGCATCATTTACAATCTGTCAAAATAAAGATGTAAAGATGTTTGGTCAAAACAATTTGTTGTGTGGTTATTTTCACATTGAAAGAAAAAAACAACCAAAAATACCCACCCGCTTAACCGTGTTGACATCATCCCTCACTAATTCATTCACAGCAGTTATATATCTTGTCAATGTCTGACCTAACAAAGCTGATTATGGCCAAAATCGTTCACCATCCTAGGAAGATACTGCGCAGGTCAGTGAGAAACTTTAACAACTGATTTGACAGACCCCTGTGGATTAGCTACACATAGATTGAGTGATAATGATATTTTTTCAATGAGACTTAGGAAGCGTGACATTCCTGATCGTGAGACTAACTCATCAAATAAATGTTTAAGTACTTCAATGCACAAATCTCAAAAAGCATAAATGACATAAATGTTTTCATACGCAGTAAGTAAATAGTTTCAAGCACTGAACAACTAACCTCCTTTAATTGTGAGCTATTTTTTCTATATGGTACATGATACATTGGCAGCCAATGTACCAATACTGCTGATGTGTCGCAAAGCAATAATTACTCACATACTATATACTGATGGAAAGAACAAAAGGAACAGTTATGAAGGGAAACGAATTTGCAGTGAACATCACACAAAATGTATCATATCACCAAAGATAGTTTGGGTACTTGGCAATGCAGTACTTATAGAAGAAGCAACTGTGGAGAATTATGGGTAATGTCCTGTGTGAAAGAAGGGATCCTCGGGCGACGACCTTCATTCACGAGGGAATAGTAATTTCCAGTTCTGAAAAGGTTATTCTATGTATAACTCATCTGTTTCCATTAGTATATGTACAGAGCCGTGAGCTTCAAATTCTCTATAAAACTATCAAACTTGTGCTTTACTAGAATCCTCTGGATAGTTGAATAGTTTACCAGTGATCTCTACGTGCAACTGTACATCATTATAACAATCACATGGAATAATAGATTTTCATTCATTTCAGTGTCAAATCAACTGTGCTGATTGATTAAACAGGTGAATCAGTGTCTCATTTGGCATTTGCTTCATGCTAAATAAACACTTCCAGTGAAAATAGTTTATTTAATACTGTTGTAGAAGTAAGGTAATTGCCACAGCCAGGTAGCCAGCAAGTTCTGTGTATTTCAGTGAGTGTGTAGGAAAGTAGTATTTACATGTAATACACGTCCCAGCAATCTCTACGGGTGTAGACATACCAATTAAAGTCTATTGGGAAGACACCAATATTTACACTGATGGTTACAAAATACATATATATTATTCAGAGTATTTGTCTCAATAAAAATACATCCCAGTGGTCATAAAATATAACTTAGTAGTAGAATCATTTTTCTGAAATTCACACAAAACATAAATTGGAGGGTGAAATCTGGGTGCAAAATAATTATACATTAAATGCACTAGAGTTGGTGAAACATGAAACTACATGAATCCCATTGTAATCTGAAACCCACATGTATTAAATACTTGCAGTATTGCAGGTGTCAATGTACAAATATCATAATTACAAGCCAGGAATCTATCTAGGACTCTCTACTAAGTGCCATAGTAGGCTAACTGAGGGGGGGGGGGGGAGATCAATTTTTGATGAAACTGGGATTCTTTTATAGTTATTTTCTTAAATCCTGAGATATTTTAATCATTTCTGTTTATTGTGATATACAAGTTACCTCTACAAAGTCGTTACATTAGTTATAACTATATTAGGGGGAACGGGTGGCCCAGTCGTCTAAGGCGCCGCGATTCACTTTGCAGAGTGGCGTCCCTTGGGCACCCCAGAAACCTATAATTGTGTGTTCGAATCCTGGTTCGCCCCTATAATGTTTCTAGGTTTGTCAGCACCATACCCGTGCTCGTGGGTTTCACCGAAGCGGCAAACCATGAGAACTGTATTACTTCGGGCTTTCCTCCCTCATTAAGCTGATATGATATAACTGGAATACTGTTAGAAGCGGTGTTAAACCCAACTCACTCACTCACGATATAAACATGAATTGGGAAATTATAAATTCCAATATAGGAATTATTATTTGCTGCAGACTTGGGGATAAATATTGGCCTTTGAGCTGGCTGTGATGTAAAACATACAGGCGGATTCATACAGAACTACTGAGGTGTGATGGGAGTTGGGTAAAAAACAAGTTATCTATGGTCTTGAGTTCGATTTGTAGTTGATGAGTGCTTTAAGCAGTGTTTCAGTAATGTCAGATCAATGTGAGAGGAATACCCACATAGACAGAGCTTGGTCTTTGTGCAGTTCCACTTTTCTCAACATTCCAGCTATACCATCGTGGCCTGTAAATTATTGAGTGTGGACCAGAAAAACCACATTCGTTTCCAACTTGTGTTATTCCGGTTATTGCGACCGGGTTCTGTCTTAGCGCAAACGGGAATACCTAAAACAACTGTCAACGCTTTGCGTAACGGTTCACATACATTTCCCCATACATTACATATATTTCAGATGCAATTTAAAGCACATTGGGACGTGCGGAATTATACAGTATGACATTTAACTGTGTCTTGGGTATATTTTTAGATGCAAGACATATGTAAAATCAAAAATTATTTCTAAGGGATTCTTTGACGAAGAACTTGAAATCATACACACATTCTCATTGGTTTGTCGTATTTTCGCACATAACATTTGCTGATAGGGGGACGAGTCTACTTGCGCGTTATGGAAAGGGGTGAGTGGTGCCGAATGGAAAAAACAGTGATTGATATCATGAGCAATTGTTCACATTGTGACAGTAAGATGACACCCAGTGAAAGTCACCAAACCTGACCTCCCAATCCATTTGGTCGCCTCCGAGGACAAGCCCTGGTTGCTGGGGACCAATGTCTACCCTGTATCCCCACATGGTTGCTGCTTAGCACATTGATGAAACCCACAAGCACAGTCCAGTGACGACTAGGTCACCCATGCCACTAACACATATCAGTGAACAAATCAATTTACACTGCAATGGTAAATATCCCAGCTACAGAGGGACCTAAACTGTGGGACAGAGTCTGGTACCAGTAAATGTCAGTGAATAGAAACCCTGATGAGAGCAATAAAATTCATGTCAGATTCTCAGATCTGTATCATCTTGTTTGTTAATGGTGGATGTGATGATGCCATGGCTAACTCAGACACAGTGAACACATGTTGAAACAAGCACAGGGAGAGAGCCAAGGCTTCACATTGATCCCAGTGTAAACAAATGTTATTGAACATATTTGGCAGATGGTTCAATATATACAAAACAAAGAAAATATACACATTCGGGCTGAATAACACAGTGTTCGGTGATATGTTTGCAAAACTCAGCTCATCATGAGAGGGAATCACATAAATAGTCTCTTTGTGAAATTGTCAAATGCAAAGTCTTGTTTGTGATATGAGTGCTGTTTCTTCAAGTGTTAAATATATTTAACCATTTTAACCTTCAAAATTATCTCTAGGGCATGAAATTGATTTTGAAAAGAAATTTTTCATTTAAAAACAAAAATCATTGGACATTATAATCAGAAAATGAGGCTTTCATTGCGAACTCTTCCAAAATGACAAAAGACCTCCAGACAAATCCAGTTCCAATAACACATGCAAGGGGCCTTGGTCTACAGACACAAGGCCACACCAGCCTGTATAACATAGACATTGCATTCTACAACAACTGGCGCAGTCACACATCTTCAACCTCAACACATCTCATCCACACAGACCTGGTGAAAACATCAGCCCATACACACATTCACCAGGACACCATACAGACGACAGTTATATCACTGAACTAGTATATGTCACATGAGCAATGTTGTGACAAAAGACAGCTGGAGCCATCTATTGATTACCCTCGGCACGTGTCCGGTCCGAGACTCTACAGTGGAATCATACAGACGCCAACTTCAATAATGATGTTGTTTCTTTGTTTGTTGGCAATCCACATGTTGTACAAGGATATATACATAAATGAGTTTCAAAATGCTAGGTTGGGATATTATTTTGGAAACAATCCAGCCACATTGACATTGGGATTGGGATCCTTCACATTAACATATCTCTGTGTTTGGAAAGTTGGGGGAATAGCAGGAATATCGGCAGTTAGTGCCAAAGCGGAAGTTCTCCATACAAATGATGAAGAGGTCAAGGGGTTGGGTATGACGGAAATATACCCTAAGGGTAGCCCAGAACCAGACAACAGGAATGTACCCAAACTGGCCAATGCATAGCATTCTAATTTCAGCCCTTAGTTCCAGTACCTCTGCAGACTTGTGGAATGTCAAGCCTCAGCGAAATCAGTCAGTATGGGTTGGCGTAGGCATTGGACCTTTCGCTGCTCGAATCATGTGTTCAAATACAATCAATTTCATATTGACATCACTGTTCCAGGTCAATAAAACTTTACAATTCAAAAAAATATTTTTGTGCATACGTTAATGGGCTTGTTCAGCTGAGGTATATTTCTCTATCATTATTCCAGCCAGGGTACATTTCTGCAGTACACCATACACAACAATGACCCATTCAGCCAGACTAACAGGTCTGGATAACAAGGTGTCACTACAGGTTCACAGAAAGTCGTGTAATATTACAAGAAGCCCAAAGTGATGCTGGTCCAACACATTTACCCTATTGGTGAAGGAAGCATGAGAGTGGTGCTGACAGGCCAGAGATCATCATCAGGGTGATTCTGGGATTTGAACCCATAATCCTGGCACCACTTAGGGAGGGTTTCATAGTGCCCCATAGATACTTGATACTGGCATACTGACTTCATTGACACTGGGAGAGGTCACATGTTACTATTCTTCTGAAGAAGAGAAAACATTTGGAACAAAACAAGTTCACAGTTCTCACTGAATTGTGAGTGATATACCTTCAAGGGTAGACGGTAAGTAGTGATGATCAAAAGACATGATATTACACAATATATGAAGCACTGTTATGTGAAAGCCACATTTCTAAAAATCTTGACATCAAACATATTCAAACGACCAATAATTACCCATTCTATTTCTATTTCAGAACTCCAAATATACCAAACATTGTATTGCTTATTTAGACAACAAAGGAAAAGCTTGGTACATGGCACAGGAACATGTAACATTAGGATGGACATGTACCAGTACAGGGCCAGATAAAGGAACTTGCACCAGGTGCATGTTGACATATACACCAGGTTCACCCTGTACCCATAAATTTATCTAAGTTGGAACATGCACATAATGTGGAAGTATCCACACTTTGATGATGTCAAGCCCCAAAACGCAACACAAGTTACAAATAACATTGAGGTTATTGATGTGGTATGGCAAGTAAGCCTAGAGGTATTGAATACGCTGTGTGGACATGTAAGGGTTAGACACACATTTTGAAAGATTTTGAAATAATTTTATGGTTACATTTTTCAAAAATGGCTATATAGCTAATGCAAAAGGGATGCAAACCTGCACAGCACAGCACAGCACAGCACAGCACTGGGTTTGAATATGGGGTTGGCTTAAAAGTTCAGTTGCATCTCATGTGGGAAGGTAAGAAGTGATGCAGGTCTCAGACGTTTACCACTTTGGTGAAGGCGATGAGCACAGGTATGATGCTGACAAACCAAGACATGGAATCATGTGAACCAGGATTTCAAACTCAAGATCATAGGTTTCTGGCAAGTCCAAGACAAACTTTGCACAACAAATTGTGCTGCCTTAGGCTGGGCCACCCATGCCCCGGCTGCTAATGGATACAACCCTGATCCAAAATCTGTACCCTCTCAGTGTAAACAGAAGTGTGACTAAAATAATGCATGTTATGTTTGTTTTCCCCATGTTTTAATGCATTTAATCTCCTTCAAGTTGTTCTCCCATAAATTACTCTCAGGCATGTAATTTAGTCATGGCCATCTACTTTCAGACCTAAACACAGTGAAACCAATTGAACCAACACAAACAAGAAAAATAAATAGCCATATGTAGTGAAGCTAACATGTGAGTTTTGATGAGACAATGACATATTATGACTTGGTCATGAGCGTATGGTTATGAAAAGTACACGTTTTCTTCATGCCAGCAGGTCGTCATCACTGTCGTCATGGTAACTCCGGACTTGTGCCGTCGTCTGTAATGTAGTGTCCGTAGATGTATTGGGTAGTGTTGTGATATCATTGTCATGATCCATGAAGAAATCGTCATCCACCTCTGGGTCCACATCATCTTGGGTCAACTGAAAAAGTGAGGGAGTTGGGTTTAAAGGGCTTCAGTTACTTCACTGCATGTCAAGTTTAATGTGTGAGGAAAGACTGAAGTGATATGGTTCCTCAACGCTTGGTAAACTCATGGCATGGGTAAGGTGCAGACAAACCAAGAATCATGATCGGCTGATCTGGGATTCAAATTGTGGAACAAATGAAGGACTGTAACAAATTATATATTTGGAAAAACACTTTCTTAGAAAAGTACAGATTCTAGTACTAGTGAGTCCCATCCGGGATTTGAACCCACACTGCCAGAGTGAGGCACCTAATCACCTGCACACAAAGTCAGCAACCTAACCCACACAGCCATCGAAGCTTCCCCGGATGGGACTAAGCCCCCCAAAAGTACTAGAATCTGTACGTTACTAAGAAAGTGTTATCCCAAAAATAACATTTGTTACATTTGATGACTTTCTAAATGGCGTTGTGTGTTCATAACTGAAGGACTATTATTGAAGGTTCACTAGCAGCGTACCTGTGACAGTGCACCCTAAGGAATGAGCGACACTTCTGGAGCCCAGATGCCATGAACAGATATCATCCACAATAACTTCTACCTCCATCCTTAATCCCCTGATGTCACCCTCAACAAACTGAACCACCATCCTTCAACCCCTAGATGTCACCCTCAACAAACTGAACCACCATCCTTCAACCCCTAGATGTCACCCTCAACAAGCTATACCTCCATCCTTCAACCTCTAGATGTCATCCTCAAGAACCTCTACCTCCATCCTTCAACCTCTATCTCCATTATTCAACCCCCAGATGTCAACCTCAACAAAATGAACCGCCATCCTTCAACCCCTAGATGTCACCCTCAACAAACTGTACCTCCATCCTTCAACCCCTAGATGTCATCCTCAACAAGCTATACCTCCATCCTTCAACCTCTAGATGCCATCCTCAACAACCTCTACCTCCATCCTTCAACCTCTATCTCCATTATTCAACCCCCAGATGTCAACCTCAACAAAATGAACCGCCATCCTTCAACCCCGAGATGTCACACTCAACAACCTCTACCTCCTTCCTTCAACCCCTAGATGTGACCATCAACAACCTCTACCTCCATCCTTCAACCTCAACCTCCATCCTTCATCCCCTAGATGTGACAATCAACAAGCTGTACCTTCATCCTTCAACCCCTAGATGTCATCCTCAACAACCTCTACCTCCATCCTTCAACCTCTAGATGTCAGCCTCAACAAGCTGTACCTCCATCCTTCAACCCCTAGATGTCATCCTCAACAACCTCTACCTCCATCCTTCAACCTCTAGATGTCAGCCTCAACAAGCTGAACCACCATCCTTCAACCCCTAGATGTCACCCTCAACAACCTCTACCTCCATCCTTCAACCCCTAGATGTCACCCTCAACAAGCTGTACCTTCATCCTTCAACCCCTAGATGTCATCCTCAACAACCTCTACCCCCATCCTTCAACCCCTAGATGTCACCCTCAACAAGCTGTACCTCCATCCTTCAACCCCTAGATGTCACCCTCAACAAGCTATACCTCCATCCTTCAACCCCTAGATGTCACCCTCAACAAGCTGTACCTTCATCCTTCAACCCCTAGATGTCATCCTCAACAACCTCTACCTCAATCCTTCCACCCCTAGATGTCACCCTCAACAAGCTGTACCTTCATCCTTCAACCCCTAGATGTCACCCTCAACAAGCTGTACCTCCATCCTTCAACCCCTAGATGTCATCCTCAACAACCTCTACCTCCATCCTTCAACCCCTAGATGTCACCCTCAACAAGGTGTACCTTCATCCTTCAACCCCTAGATGTCAGCCTCAACAACCTCTACCTCCATCCTTGAACCCCTAGATGTCACCCTCAACAAGCTGTACCTCCATCCTTCAACCCCTAGATGTCACCCTCAACAAGCTGTACCTTCATCCTTCAACCCCTAGATGTCATCCTCAACAAGCTGTACCTCCATCCTTCAACCTCTAGATGTCAGCCTCAACAAGCTGAACCACCATCCTTCAACCTCTAGATGTCACCCTCAACAAGCTGAACCACCATCCTTCAACCCCTAGATGTCACCCTCAACAAGCTGTACCTCCATCCTTCAACCTCTAGATGTCACCCTCAATAAGCTGAACCACCATCCTTCAACCCCTAGATGTCATCCTCAACAAGCTGAACCACCATCCTTCAACCTCTAGATGTCAGCCTCAACAAGCTGAACCACCATCCTTCAACCCCTAGATGTCACCCTCAACAAGCTGTACCTCCATCCTTCAACCTCTAGATGTCATCCTCAACAACCTCTACCTCCATCCTTCAACCCCTAGATGTCACCCTCAACAAGCTGTACCTCCATCCTTCAACCCCTATATGTCACCCTCAACAACCTCTACCTCCATCCTTCAACCCCTAGATGTCACCCTCAACAAGCTGTACCTCCATCCTTCAACCCCTAGATGTCATCCTCAACAACCTCTACCTCCATCCTTCAACCCCTAGATGTCATCCTCAACAAGCTATATCTCCATCCTTCAACCCTAGATGTCAGCCTCAACAAGCTGTACCACCATCCTTCAACCCCTAGATGTCAGCCTCAACAAGCTGAACCACCATCCTTCAACCTCTAGATGTCACCCTCAACACCCTCTACCTCCATCCTTCAACCCCTAGATGTCACCCTCAACAAGCTGTACCTCCATCCTTCAACCCCTAGATGTCATCCTCAACAACCTCTACCTCCATCCTTCAACCCCTAGATGTCATCCTCAACAACCTCTACCTCCATCCTTCAACCTCTAGATGTCACCCTCAACAAGCTGTACCTCCATCCTTCAACCCCTAGATGTCATCCTCAACAAGCTATATCTCCATCCTTCAACCCCTAGATGTCATCCTCAACAACCTCTACCTCCATCCTTCAACCTCTAGATGTAAGCCTCAACAAGCTGAACCACCATCCTTCAACCTCTAGATGTCACCCTCAACACCCTCTACCTCCATCCTTCAACCCCTAGATGTCAGTCTCAACAAGCTGAACCACCATCCTTCAACCTCTAGATGTCACCCTCAACAACCTCTACCTCCATCCTTCAACCCCTAGATGTCAGCCTCAACAAGCTGAACCACCATCCTTCAACCTCTAGATGTCACCCTCACCAACCTCTACCTCCATCCTTCAACCTCTAGATGTCAGCCTCAACAAGCTGAACCACCATCCTTCAACCCCTAGATGTCATCCTCAACAAGCTGTACCTCCATCCTTCAACCTCTAGATGTCATCCTCAACAAGCTGAACCACCATCCTTCAACCTCTAGATTTCAGCCTCAACAAGCTGAACCACCATCCTTCAACCCCTAGATGTCACCCTCAACAAGCTGAACCACCATCCTTCAACCTCTAGATGTCAGCCTCAACAAGCTGTACCTCCATCCTTCAACCTCTAGATGTCACCCTCAACAAGCTGAACCACCATCCTTCAACCCCTAGATGTCACCCTCAACAAGCTGTATCTCCATCCTTCAACCTCTAGATGTCAGCCTCAACAAGCTGAACCACCATCCTTCAACCTCTAGATGTCAGCCTCAACAAGCTGAACCACCATCCTTCAACCCCTAGATGTCACCCTCAACAAGCTGTACCTCCATCCTTCAACCTCTAGATGTCACCCTCAACAAGCTGAACCACCATCCTTCAACCCCTAGATGTCACCCTCAACAAGCTGAACCTTCATCCTTCAACCCCTAGATGTCACCCTCAACAACCTCTACCTCCATCCTTCAACCCCTAGATGTCACCCTCAACAAGCTGAACCACCATCCTTCAACCTCTAGATGTCACCCTCAACAAGCTGTACCTTCATCCTTCAACCCCTAGATGTCACCCTCAACAACCTCTACCTCCATCCTTCAACCCCTAGATGTCACCCTCAACAAGCTGAACCACCATCCTTCAACCCCTAGATGTCACCCTCAACAAGCTGTACCTCCATCCTTCAACCTCTAGATGTCAGCCTCAACAAGCTGAACCACCATCCTTCAACCTCTAGATGTCACCCTCAACAAGCTGAACCACCATCCTTCAACCTCTAGATGTCACCCTCAACAAGCTGTACCTTCATCCTTCAACCCCTAGATGTCACCCTCAACAACCTCTACCTCCATCCTTCAACCTCTAGATGTCACCCTCAACAAGCTGAACCACCATCCTTCAACCCCTAGATGTCACCCTCAACAAGCTGTACCTCCATCCTTCAACCTCTAGATGTCAGCCTCAACAAGCTGAACCACCATCCTTCAACCTCTAGATGTCACCCTCAACAACCTCTACCTCCATCCTTCAACCCCTAGATGTCATCCTCAACAAGCTGTACCTACATCCTTCAACCCCTAGATGTCACCCTCAACAACTTCTACCTCCATCCTTCAACCCCTAGATGTCACCCTCAACAAGCTGTACCTCTATCCCTCAAGTTACATGTACGGAAATCTGAAGTATCTGGATTGTCGAAAGTGAACACACTAAGGCAAATGGGATGAGAATCTCCAGACTTGCCGAAGTTACTAATCTGGTGAAGGATTTATGCAATGACAGCAGCTGACACGGGGAAAAATAGTTCAGCAAGTGAGGAAATCTCCAATAGTTGAAAACCTCATTGCAAAGCAAATCTTGTGAAGCTCAAGCCAGAGATGAAGAGGTTGAAGGATGATGACGTTGCAGGGATGAGAGGGAGTCGGCTTGTGTTATCACTTCATGGCAAAGTGGTGGCAAAGTGGTTCACAGGTCACAAATGAGGCGAAGCAAAAACAACCAGACAGTAGAGTAGGTGGATGGTGGCATGCCACACACTCAATCACTTTGTTCAAAATAAGCCTCTGTTCACCCAGCTAACAGCTTGCAACCCAGTTGGATGAGATGGCAACATGAACGCAAAACCTAACACTTACACAAGGCAGATGGGTCGTATAGTCTCCAGGAAGACTGTTCCACTAACTGGGGTAATACTGTGAAGCAGCCTGAGAATGCTTTAGGGTACAGATACTGTCAACACAGATGAGTGTTCCTCCATCACCCGTGAAGACATCCACACTGCAGTGCAGTAACCACTGTGAGCCAATGCACCAAGTCATGGCTTGGGCCAAGTCAAAGGGAGCCAGTGAGTGATGCGAACAACTAGCATTCAGATCATGCATCAGCAGTATGTCTCCACAAAATGTGCATCAAGTTCATGCACAGTGTAGGGCTTATTTGACTTCTGTGAGGTATTGCACAGAAATAGCAAACATTGTTTCTTAATTCATTTAGATTTACCGTATATCGCTGTGTATAAGGCGACCCCATGTATAAGACGACCCCCCCTGTACACGCCTTCAAAATCAACCCAAAATCCTATACTCCGTGTATAAGGCGACCTGGAATGAAGCACATCACAAGTGCGCACACAAACCTTATATTTGCAATAAAAATATGTTTATCTTGCATTGTTTTTTCTACGATGATTGGTCTGGTGTGTAACTCCAGCACATATTGCCATTTTGTGTTAACATGGTACGACACCAAATTGGTGCCCGTAAAATAAAATTCATTTATAAGTAATAACATATAAGAGACAATGGTGAGTAATTTAATCGCCAATTAACTATGTTGTAACTAACTAGGCTTATGTTTGCTTCACATTCAGCGTGTTTATTCCACAATCACTTATACACACCGTCTCCAACAGTTGTTTATACAACTGTAAAAACAGCGGGAATTGATTTCAGCTTCACCGGTTATCACATGTTAGGTCACATGTGCAATATGCAAATGCTTACCAGTACTTCCCGCTCTCTACTCACGGATGTTGATTGTTTTACTGGTTTGACAATCTGCATCGAGGCGAGGGTCATTTCAACTTTATTTGCAGAAATTATTAAACTTTATTCAAGGAAAAGAGATACAAATCATGTTTATGTATGGAAATAGTTATTGGAACAGTTATTTAGGACGAAATGCGAAGTTTTATTGTCAAATGCTGGGCTGGCCTTCGGACGCCGGTTGACATCACCAGTGGAAAAAAAATGTGAGATCTTCTTAACCCCCTCATTTTAGGTACGAAAAACTCGCCTTATACACAGCGATATACGGTACATTCTGGGGTAGGCCTTTATCCTAGGCAGATCAGGTAGGGATTTCAAGGGTTTGATGTGTTTTTCTTTTCACAAATTTTATCCAATTTGCGATATTGGATCCCAATACACACCATACCTATTTAGTCAAGTGACCTGTACATGTTCATCTAAAGTGTTCCATCACTCACCACAGAATACTGGATATGTCTTTCAGTTTGTGTCGGACATCTGCAAGTTCTCTTAACTCTGGACGCAAATGCAGCTCTGAAAGGAAGCGAGGTACTCATGAGTGAGGTGAGGTGAGGTTAAATGGGGTTTAACGTTGTGTTCAAGATGATTGCACTTACATAGTGAGGTGCATGCTCATGTGTGGCTGCCTGTACTAGTCTGGACTAACGCCAAATTTATAGTGCTAGCCCACTGAGATACCATGCCGGATTTTTACATGACATAGTATACTGACACGAGCCAACCAGTCCTTGTTTTAGACCCTTATTGCCGAACGCCAGGCAGGGTAACAACAAGTACTATCTTTTAACATCTTTTGGTATGAAGTGGCCAGGGATTGAACCCTCTACCACGGAGGCAGAGATGCACATTCAAACTATTCCAAGTACAAATTCTGAATATAAGTTCAATTAACCCTTTCTTCTCTGTCAGCGGTATCAAATCTATGATAGATCATGATCCCACTGATCACTGTAGCTGAAATACAAAATATTTGTTTAGAAAGAAAGAAAATAGTTTTATTCCTTTGCAAATCTGCCTGTTTGGCAATTTCAAAAACTAATCTTACTTCTCTAACAATGCTAAATAAGGTGTTGCAGTTCTTACAATATTCACAGTAAGTGTAGCATTATATTTCAGGCGTACAATGCCACATTCACTCCCTCACTGCTGTGGTATTGTGTGTACGTACCTCCTCTCTGGTTTATGGAAGACAATGAGGGCGATGCAGATGACTATTACTGACAGGAACACAGAGATGATGACACCCACAGTCTTGGGCTTGATGCTGCTGGACTTGCCACCATTACCCAGAGTCTGGTCACCAACAGCGCCGTTGACAGCCACATGCTGAACATCTCTGTGCCACAAAAAATAATGACCTGTTGGTTTTTCCAGTAACAATATTTCTTAATGAACTTATTTGCCATAATATATTACAACTACATAAGTATTGATCAATAAGATGAACAAGATGTGTGTGCCCAAGTCATTATACCTGATGTGTGTGCCCAAGTCATTAAAGCGGATGTGTGTGCCCAAGTCATTATACCTGATGTGTGTGCCCAAGTCATTATACCTGATGTGTGTGCCCAAGTCATTATACCTGATGTGTGTGTCCCAAAGGTATGATCCAATGGTGAGACACATTAGACTTCCCTAATGGTGTTTCCAGGTGTTCGATTCAATGATGTGATCAAACGGTAAGACCCTGGGGTGTGAGCCTGGGCATTGTTTGATTTGTATTCCAATTGTGTGACCCAATAGTGTTGTCTGATGTGTGACCCAATAGTGTTACCTGATGTGTGACCCAATAGTGTTGTCTGATGTGTGACCCAATAGTGTTGTCTGATGTGTGACCCAATAGTGTTACCTGATGTGTGACCCAATAGTGTTGTCTGATGTGTGACCCAATAGTGTTGCCTGATGTGTGACCCAACACTGTTACCTGATGTGTGTGACCCAATAGTGTTACCTGATGTGTGACCCAATAGTGTTGTCTGATGTGTGACCCAATAGTGTTGTCTGATGTGTGACCCAATAGTGTTACCTGATGTGTGACCCAATAGTGTTGCCTGATGTGTGACCCAACAGTGTTGCCTGACGTGTGACCCAATACTGTTACCTGATGTGTGACCCAATAGTGTTGTCTGATGTGTGACCCAATAGTGTTGTCTGATGTGTGACCCAATAGTGTTGCCTGATATGTGACCCAATACTGTTACCTGATGTGTGACCCAATAGTGTTGCCTGATGTGTGACCCAATAGTGTTGCCTGATGTGTGACCCAATAGTGTTACCTGATGTGTGACCCAATAGTGTTGCCTGATGTGTGACACAATAATGTTACCTGATGTGTGACCCAATAGTGTTGCCTGATGTGTGACCCAATAGTGTTACCTGATGTGTGACCCAATAGTGTTGCCTGATGTGTGACACAATAGTGTTACCTGATGTGTGACCCAATAGTGTTGCCTGATGTGTGACACAATAGTGTTACCTGATGTGTGACACAATAGTGTTGTCTGATGTGTGACCCAAAAGTGTTGCCTGATGTGTGACCCAATAGTGTTGCCTGATGTGTGACCCAATAGTGTTGCCTGATGTGTGACACAATAGTGTTACCTGATGTGTGACCCAATAGTGTTGCCTGATGTGTGTGACCCAACAGTGTTGCCTGATGTGTGACCCAATAGTGTTGCCTGATGTGTGACACAATAGTGTTACCTGATGTGTGACCCAATAGTGTTGTCTGATGTGTGTGACCCAACAGTGTTACCTGATGTGTGACCCAATAGTGTTACCTGATGTGTGACCCAATAGTGTTGCCTGATGTGTGACCCAATAGTGTTGCCTGATGTGTGTGACCCAATAGTGTTGTCTGATGTGTGACCCAATAGTGTTGCATGATGTGTGATCCAATTGTGTTACCTGATGTGTGATCCAATAGTGTTACCTGATGTGTGACCCAATAGTGTTGCCTGATGTGTGACCCAATAGCGTTGCCTGATGTGTGACCCAATAGTGTTGTCTGATGTGTGACATAATAGTGTTGCCTGATGTGTGTGACCCAATAGTGTTGCCTGATGTGTGACCCAATAGCGTTGCCTGATGTGTGACCCAATAGAGCCGTCTGATGTGTGACCCAATAGTGTTGCCTGATGTGTGTGACCCAACAGTTTTGTCTGATGAGAGACTTACACAGCCGCAGAGAAGCACACAGCATCTGTATCCCATTCAAACAGGTAGAAACAGTTGCGAGATTTGTATGTCAAGCTTGGCTCACTCTGAAACAAATGAAGGATAATTTTGACACTGGGAAGTAGATGAGCTGGGGATAGCCTTTTACCATTACAGTACAACAGTGGGTGCCACTAAGGTCTCCATCGTGCTAACGTGTATATTGAGCTGGGGATAGCCTTTTACCATTACATTACAACAGTGGGTGCCACTAAGGTCGCCATTGTGCTAACGTGTATATTGAGCTGGGGATAGCCTTTTACCATTACATTACAACAGTGGGTGCCACTAAGGTCTCCATCGTGCTAACGAGTATATTGAGCTGGGGATAGCCTTTTACCATTACATTACAACAGTGGGTGCCACTAAGGTCGCCATCGTGCTAACGTGTATATTGAGCTGGGGATAGCCTTTTACCATTACATTACAACAGTGGGTGCCACTAAGGTCTCCATCGTGCTAACGTGTATATTCAGCTGGGGATAGCCTTTTACCATTACATTACAACAGTGGGTGCCACTAAAGTCGCCATCGTCCTAAGGTGTATATTGTGTATACCTTAAACTCCAGTATTAAACTGTTCAAATAGCTCACCTTATTTTTCAACCTATCACAGTTAAACACAATGGCAGTGGAGATGTTTTTGGCTAGCCTGTGACCGTCTCTCCCCACACACTTGTCTGGTGAGGTGTACACAACTTCCAGCTGATCATCTGAAACAGTAAACTCAGTATTTGAAATTACCCACCGGTTTTGTTTGTGAAATAAGAGCTTTCAATATCATGTTCTAATGAAGATTCAATTGCTGTTTAATCGGAATGTAGGATTCTAAAACGTCATGGAAGAATTTCTTTTGAAGGAGAATGTCATTGTCCTGGTACATTTGCGGCCTTTCAAGATGTGGTTTCTGTACCTAAAGCCCTTGTATAGGCCTGTGAATGAGTAAGATGTTGGTTATTGCTGCAGTTAACAATATTGCTCCTACCAGTTTGTCATGTCAGCCTACGGATAATCAAGGCTAGGCCCAGCAAACACGTTTGTTTTAATAACAATTATCTCAACACTCAGGAACACAGTATGGTTGACAAATATGGATGCAGGGCACCAACTCTCAACCTTCTGGGGACACATTGTGGTCAACAAGCATGGATGTGGGGCACACACACTGGTCAACAAGCATGGATGTGGGGCACACACTGTGGTCAACAAGCATGGATGTGGGGCACACACTAGTCAACAAGCATGGATGTGGGGCACACACTGGTCAACAAGCATGGATGTGAGGCACACATTGTGGTCAACAAGCATGGATGTGGGGCACACACACTGGTCAACAAGCATGGATGTGGGGCACACACTGTGGTCAACAAGCATGGATGTGGGGCACACACTGTGGTCAACAAGCATGGATGTGGGGCACACACTGTGGTCAACAAGCATGGATGTGGGGAACACATTGTGGTCAACAAGCATGGATGTGGGGCACACACTGTGGTCAACGAGCATGGATGTGGGGAACACACTGTGGTCAACAAGCATGGATGTGGGGCACACACTGTGGTCAACAAGCATGGATGTGGGGCTCACACTGTGGTCAACAAGCATGGATGTGGGGAACACACTGTGGTCAACAAGCATGGATGTGGGGCACACACTGTGGTCAACAAGCATGGATGTGGGGCACCAACTCTTAACCTTCTGGTGACACATTGTGGTCAACAAGCATGGATGTGGGGAACACACTATGGTCAACAAGCATGGATGTGGGGCACACACTGTGGTCAACAAGCATGGATGTGAGGCACACACTGTGGTCAACAAGCATGGATGTGGGGCACCAACTCTTAACCTTCTGGTGACACATTGTGGTCAACAAGCATGGATGTGGGGCACACACTGTGGTCAACAAGCATTGATGTGGGGAACACACTGCGGTCAACAAGCAAGGATGTGGGGCACACACTGCGGTCAACAAGCATGGATGTGGGGCACACACTGTGGTCAACAAGCATGGATGTGGGGAACACACTGCGGTCAACAAGCATGGATGTGGGGCACACACTGTGGTCAACAAGCATGGATGTGGGGCACACACTGTGGTCAACAAGCATGGATGTGGGGCACACACTGTGGTCAACAAGCATGGATGTGGGGCACACACTGTGGTCAACAAGCATGGATGTGGGGCACACACTGTGGTCAACAAGCATGGATGTGGGGCACACACTGTGGTCAACAAGCATGGATGTGGGGAACACACTGTGGTCAACAAGCATGGATGTGGGGCACACACTGTGGTCAACAAGCATGGATGTGGGGCACACACTGTGGTCAACGAGCATGGATGTGGGGCACACATTGTGGTCAACAAGCATGGATGTGGGGCACACACTGTGGTCAACGAGCATGGATGTGGGGCACACATTGTTGTCAACAAGCATGGATGTGGGGCACACACTGTGGTCAACAAGCATGGATGTGGGGAACACACTGTGGTCAACAAGCATGGATGTGGGGCACACACTGTGGTCAACAAGCATGGATGTGGGGCACACATTGTGGTCAACAAACATGGATGTGGGGCACCAACTCTTAACCTTCTGGTGACACATTGTGGTCAACAAGCATGGATGTGGGGCACACACTGTGGTCAACAAGCATGGATGTGGGGCACCAACTCTTAACCTGGTGACACATTGTGGTCAACAAGCATGGATGTGGGGAACACACTATGGTCAACAAGCATGGATGTGGGGCACACATTGTGGTCAACAAGCATGGATGTGGGGCACACACTGTGGTCAACAAGCATGGATGTGAGGCACACACTGTGGTCAACAAGCATGGATGTGGGGCACCAACTCTTAACCTTCTGGTGACACATTGTGGTCAACAAGCATGGATGTGGGGCACACACTGTGGTCAACAAGCATGGATGTGGGGAACACACTGTGGTCAACAAGCATGGATGTGGGGCACACACTGTGGTCAACAAGCATGGATGTGGGGCACACACTGTGGTCAACGAGCATGGATGTGGGGCACACACTGTGGTCAACGAGCATGGATGTGGGGCTCACACTGTGGTCAACAAGCATGGATGTGGGGAACACACTGTGGTCAACAAGCATGGATGTGGGGCACACACTGTGGTCAACGAGCATGGATGTGGGGCACACACTGTGGTCAACGAGCATGGATGTGGGGCACACACTGTGGTCAACGAGCATGGATGTGGGGCACACACTGTGGTCAACGAGCATGGATGTGGGGCACACACTGTGGTCAACAAGCATGGATGTGGGGCACACACTGTGGTCAACAAGCATGGATGTGGGGCACACACTGTGGTCAACAAGCATGGATGTGGGGCACACATTGTGGTCAACAAGCATGGATGTGGGGCACACACTGTGGTCAACAAGCATGGATGTGGGGCACACATTGTGGTCAACAAGCATGGATGTGGGGCACACACTGTGGTCAACAAGCATGGATGTGGGGCACACATTGTGGTCAACAAGCATGGATGTGGGGGCACACACTGTGGTCAACAAGCATGGATGTGGGGCACCAACTCTTAACCTTCTGGTGACACATTGTGGTCAACAAGCATGGATGTGGGGCACACACTGTGGTCAACAAGCATGGATGTGGGGCACACACTGTGGTCAACAAGCATGGATGTGGGGCACACACTGTGGTCAACAAGCATGGATGTGGGGCACCAACTCTTAACCTTCTGGTGACACATTGTGGTCAACAAGCATGGATGTGGGGCACACACTGTGGTCAACAAGCATGGATGTGGGGCACACACTGTGGTCAACAAGCATGGATGTGGGGCACACACTGTGGTCAACAAGCATGGATGTGGGGAACACACTGTGGTCAACGAGCATGGATCTTGGGCACACACTGTGGTCAACAAGCATGGATGTGGAGCACACACTGCGGTCAACAAGCATGGATGTGGGGCACACACTGCAGTCAACGAGCATGGATGTGGGGCACACACTGCGGTCAACAAGCATGGATGTGGGGCACACACTGTGGTCAACGAGCATGGATGTGGGGCACACACTGCGGTCAACAAGCATGGATGTGGGGCACACACTGCGGTCAACAAGCATGGATGTGGGGCACACACTGTGGTCAACAAGCATGGATGTGGGGCACACACTGCGGTCAACAAGCATGGATGTGGGGCACACACTGCGGTCAACAAGCATGGATGTGGGGCACACACTGCGGTCAACGAGCATGGATGTGGGGCACACACTGCGGTCAACAAGCATGGATGTGGGGCACACACTGTGGTCAACAAGCATGGATGTGGGGCACACACTGCGGTCAACAAGCATGGATGTGGGGCACACACTGCGGTCAACAAGCATGGATGTGGGGCACACACTGTGGTCAACAAGCATGGATGTGGGGCACACACTGCGGTCAACAAGCATGGATGTGGGGCACACACTGTGGTCAACAAGCATGGATGTGGGGCACACACTGTGGTCAACAAGCATGGATGTGGGGCACATACTAGTGAGATAAACATTACTTTCTTTCAGATTTGCATGTGTTATTGAGTGTTTGATGCCTGCACATTTACCCATGCTGTGATCACCTGACTACAAGCATGCTTAATGACGTTGAATCAAATTGTCATCATGAAAACTCCTCCCAAAATAAGAAAAAGAATGCCTAATCATCCAAAGGCACCAGTTCACCACTAGACTAATCTACATCAAAAGTTTCAACAAGATATATTTAACGGTTTCAGAGTTCTTCTCAGGAAACGAAAAACGGACAAACAATCTGAGCGCTATATCTAATCACAAAAACTAAAAAATTCCTTCCGTCCTCTTCACCTAAGAGCAAAATGAGCCTGAGAATACAATTTTTAAATCCAGTGTTACCTTTAAAGAAGTACTTCCTGCTGGTGAATGTGCCGAGGTTGTTATTGACATTGGAGTCCTGTGGTTTCCTCTGACACACAGCTGCCCCGACACAGGATCCGGCCGAGGTGGACTCCAGTTTTCCCTCCAGGCTGATGGCATAAATGAAGTTGTCCTTGCTCCTCTCAAGTGCAATGTGGTCGCTGGTAAAAACAAGACATTGTTCAAGTTAAAACATGTCTCTAACACAAAATATTTATCTTGTTGTGAAGTTGTCCTTGCTCCTCCCAAGTGCAATGTGGTCGCTGGAAAAAACAAGACATTGTTCAAGTAAAACATGTCTCTAACACAAAATATTTATCTTGTCGAGAAGTTGTCCTTGCTCCTCTCATGTGCAATGTGGTCCCTGGACAACACAAGACATTGTTCAAGTTAAAACATGTCTCTAACACAAAATATTTATCTTGTCGTGAAGTTGTCCTTACTCCTCCCAAGTGCAATGTGGTCGCTGGAAAAAACAAGACATTGTTCAAGTAAAACATGTCGCTAACACAAAATATTTATCTTGTCGAGAAGTTGTCCTTGGTCCTCTCATGGGCGATGTGGTCCCTGGACAACACAAGACATTGTTCAAGTAAAACATGTCTCTAACACAAAATATTTATCTTGTCGAGAAGTTGTCCTTGCTCCTCTCATGTGCAATGTGGTTGCTGGAAAAAACAAGACATTGTTCAAGTTAAAACATGTCTCTAACACAAAATATTTATCTTGTCGAGAAGTTGTCCTTGGTCCTCTCATGGGCGATGTGGTCCCTGGACAACACAAGACATTGTTCAAGTTAAAACATGTCTGTTACACAAAAGATTTATCTTGTCGTCAAAATTGATCATACCTTACTCTTTGATTTATGCATGTTTGTTTTCTGCCTTGCAAATGGACTGCGAGAAGTCATGGAGCCATGGCACAGCTTGTAGGATGTTCAGGTGATGACATGAACTGCAATTTCTTTCAATGGACACATATCTTCACTGAACAACCATGCTTCATTATCATCACCTTGGAGCTTCATTGAATAATAGTAGTAGTAGAATCTAGTAGAGTAGAACTCACAACAGATAACTGCTTGTAGATTGGTCGGTCATGTCATGAACGAAACTGTCCTAAAACCACACTGTTGAAGTGTCCCAGTGTCCCTGTACTTACCGATGTGAAGTGGAGAGTTTCCTAATGTCCACCATGCCACTGGACCGCGGATCTATGATGATACCGTTACTGTCTTGTACTGCCTCCGTCATCCTGTAGACACACAGGTCACATATTACACACATCATCCTGAAGACACACTCAGGTCACATATAACACACATCACCCTGCAGACACACACAGGTCACATATTACACACATCAGTATGTAGACACACACACACACAGGTCACATATTACACACATCATCCTGAAGACACACACAGGTCACATAAAACACACATCACCCTGCAGACACACACAGGTCACATATAACACACATCACCCTGCAGACACACACAGGTCACATATTACACACATCAGTCTGTAGACACACACAGGTCACATAAAACACACATCACCCTGCAGACACACACACACAGGTCACATAAAACACACATCACCCTGCAGACACACACACACAGGTCACATATTACACACATCACCCTGCAGACACACACAGGTCACATAAAACACACATCACCCTGCAGACACACACAGGTCACATATTACACACATCAGTCTGTAGACACACACAGGTCACATAAAACACACATCACCCTGCAGACACACACACACAGGTCACATAAAACACACATCACCCTGCAGACACACACACACACAGGTCACATAAAACACACATCACCCTGCAGACACACACAGGTCACATATTACACGCATCAGTCTGTAGACACACAGGTCACATATTACACACATCACCCTGTAGACACACAGGTCACATATTACACGCATCACCCTGCAGACACACACAGGTCACATATTACACACATCACCCTGCAGACACACACAGGTCACATATAACACACATCACCCTGCAGACACACACAGGTCACATAAAACACACATCACCCTGCAGACACACACAGGTCACATATTACACACATCAGTCTGTAGACACACACAGGTCACATATTACACACATCAGTCTGTAGACACACAGGTCACATATTACACACATCAGTCTGTAGACACACACAGGTCACATAAAACACACATCACCCTGCAGACACACACACACAGGTCACATAAAACACACATCACCCTGCAGACACACACACACACAGGTCACATAAAACACACATCACCCTGCAGACACACACAGGTCACATATTACACACATCAGTCTGTAGACACACACAGGTCACATAAAACACACATCACCCTGCAGACACACACACACAGGTCACATAAAACACACATCACCCTGCAGACACACACACACACAGGTCACATAAAACACACATCACCCTGCAGACACACACAGGTCACATATTACACGCATCAGTCTGTAGACACACAGGTCACATATTACACACATCACCCTGTAGACACACACACAGGTCACATATTACACGCATCAGTCTGTAGACACACAGGTCACATATTACACACATCACCCTGTAGACACACAGGTCACATATTACACACATCATCCTGCAGACACACACAGGTCACATATTACACACATCACCCTGCAGACACACACAGGTCACATATTACACACATCACCCTGCAGACACACAGGTCACATATTACACACATCACCCTGCAGACACACACAGGTCACATATTACACGCATCAGTCTGTAGACACACAGGTCACATATTACACACATCACCCTGTAGACACACACAGGTCACATATTACACACATCACCCTGCAGACACACTCAGGTCACATATTACACACATCACCCTGCAGACACACAGGTCACATATTACACACATCAGTCTGGAGACACACACAGGTCACATATTACACACATCACCCTGCAGACACACACAGGTCACATATTACACACATTACCCTGTAGACACACACAGGTCACATATTACACACATCAGTCTGTAGACACACACACACAGGTCACACATTACACACATCACCCTGTAGACACACAGGTCACATATTACACGCATCAGTCTGTAGACACACATGTCACATATTACACACATCACCCTGCAGACACACACACACAGGTCACATATTACACACATCACCCTGCAGACACACACAGGTCACATATTACACACATCACCCTGTAGACACACAGGTCACATATTACACACATCACCCTGAAGACACACTCAGGTCACATATTACACACATCACCCTGTAGACACACACAGGTCACATATTACACGCATCAGTCTGTAGACACACACACACACAGGTCACATATTACACACATCACCCTGTAGACACACACAGGTCACATATTATTACACATATCAGCCTGTAGACACACACACAGGTCACATATTACACACAGGTCACATATTACACACATCAGCCTGTAGACACACACACACAGGTCACATATTACACACATCAGCCCCTTGACACACACACAGGTCACATATTACACACATCAGCCCGTAGACACACACAGGTCACATATTACACACATCACCCTGTAGACACACACAGGTCACATATTACACATATCAGCCTGTAGACACACACACAGGTCACATATTACACACAGGTCACATATTACACACATCAGCCTGTAGACACACACACAGGTCACATATTACACACATCAGCCCCTTGACACACACACAGGTCACATATTACACACATCAGCCCGTAGACACACACAGGTCACATGTTACACACATCGGCCTGTAGACACACACAGATCACATATTACACACATCAGCCTGTTGACATAGTCACATACATAATGGTCACCTAAATACACAAATAACTGTCACATTCAAAACTGCCTGAAGTAAACGTAGCAAATGAATACCGGTACAACATTTAGGCATTTCACCATTTAAATGACCGCCATCATATAGCTGGAATATTGCTGAGTGCGGTGTTAAACAACAAACCAACAACCAACCATTTAAATGAATTCTCAATGCAATGGAAGTATGTTTGTAATACTTGTCAACACACATCCCTCTTTGTGAAATCAATGAAGCAGGCAATGGATTCAGTATGTGAGTATGTGACTTTGTGAGGTTTACATTGTCTACTGAGAGATCAGCCTATCCCACATAGTTTATACTCTTGGCAGGGACGTCAAGCAACATGGGCTCTGGGCTTACAGTCTCATTATATCAAGTAGTTAGCAGACTAAGGAATCATAAAAAAGGAATTTACATTCAGATGTGCATTATGAAAGTGATATTCACTCACATGTCTTTCTTGCAAGCCAGTCTTGTTTTCCATTCAAATTCAAAGATACACTGCTCATTATTTCTGGCACTGAAAATAGAAATGACATGATAAGCATTGACATAGAGAGCGAGAGAGTTGGGTTCCTATGGGCAGTATTTCAGTGTTAGTTTGTCACAAGGGGAAAACCATCTTCCTGAAGCAAGGGATTAAACTGATGGTCAAAGTCCAGTTTTACTTGGCTGGAATTCTGGAGTTACATTCTGGCTGGACTAACGACTAACGAGTCTGTGCATAGTCCAATCAAAATCATGCAACGAATAAGACATCCAGATTTCATCTTGCAGATTCGATCAACTGCAAGTTTTGCGAACAGATGGTCTTGACAGGGCGCCACCATTTTGTTTGAAGGAAATGCAAAATAGTGATACAGCGATAATATAGAGTTGCCTGCCCTTAACTCGCAAATGACAGGTACTTTGTTTACCGTAATCGGCAAAGAAAATCAGCATCGATCAATCCTAAAAGGTGTTTCATAAACATGTTTCAATGAACAAGAAACATTTTGTGTAGGACATATTTAATAGGTTAGTAAGTGTGCACCATTACGATCCATTATAAAAAATTACTTTTTATAAATAAACTACTAAAACTTCTAAATCATAGAAAATTGTGAACAATTCGAGTCCTTAGAAACAGCCAAATAAATACCCGGTAAGCAAAAAGAAACATGTCAATTGTCAATAAGTAAATATATTACAAATAAGAACAATATTAAGATGATTAATGTGACGTACCTTTCAATAAATCTTGGGCCTCCCACCAGTTTATCACACTTGAACTTGATAATGGTTTTGGCCATGAGGTTGTTGCTGCGGCGCCGGCTGTGGGAACAGGCTGAAGCCCCCTGAGAGTACTCCAAGACAATAGTCTGGCCGTCAGCTGAACAGGAAACAATGGCGTTAGAAGACAAGGATCAGTGGCATGCGGTGCAGCAGTCATGTCTCACTGGTTTTGTGATGAACATAGATTAGGCCACCATAATATAGATATGCAATTTTCATGCAAATCTTTCATAAATGTGATGCAGGGGGCATTTAATATTGTATTTTTCATAATTTTTGCAAACTGTGCAATGCATCTGTGATCAACAATATCAGCAGAGGTGATCAACATGAAGCATGTTCTGTAGGCTTACATATGGTGTACTTCATGTTTGTTTGTTGTCTAACACCACATTCAGCAATATCTAAATCCTTATGATGGCAGCCTGTAAATAATCGAGGCTCCAGACAATCTAGTGATGGATATTGTGAGCAAAGACCCACACCGTCGGGGTATGATGACACGCTATCAACCTAGTGAACAAGCCTGACCCTCCAAACCATTGTGTCACCACTTACGATGGGCATAGGTTGCTCTAGACCCACTCCAACACAGAGGCCCTACAGCGTTTTCATCTGTAGGTACTCAAGGGCAATAAAATGATACAAGGCTTGGTGTTTGGGATTGAGGCGAACAGGGATAGACAGGCTACCCATGTACTTTCAAAGTCCTTGGAACCACTGGCGGTAAAACTACTGATTATGTTAATTGACCGAGTGTTCAGGAGAGTGACAGTCAAACTTCAAGATAAGTTTGTTTGTTTGTTGTTTAATGCCGCACTCGGCAATATTCCAGCATATGACGGCAGTCTGTAAATAATCGAGTCTGGACCAGACAATCCAGTGATGGACATCATGAGCATCATCCACGCAATTGAGATACGATGACATGCATCAACCAAGTCAGTGAGCCTGACCGCCCTATTCTGTTAGTCTCCTCTTACGACAAGCATGGGTTGCTGAAGACATATTCTACCCCGGATCTTCACGGATATCAAGGTAAGTGGTGAGCCTGTATCAGAATATAGTGACATGGATCATCATCAGTACTTCACAGGTCTCTTTCTATCACATTTACCCATAAATACACTGTCCCATTTAGTAAGCTTATGAAAAGAGGTTGCATCTACTGCCTGACATAAGCCAATGTGTGCCCATATTGCCATGCAAGAAAACAGTATTGTTGATGCAATGTAAGCAGAACGCTCAAGAGTCTAAGCACCCACTGGCTCCAACTTCAGTGGAACGAGGTCTTTGAATGATTCGTTGGGTAAATATGGCAACTACACTGCAAAGCATCCCTATATATATTGATGGAAGATGGAGTTCATAGTGTATGCTTGACCGTCAAGAATTAAAAAATGCTAAAGCTAGGCCTGTCAACCTACTATCCATATGGAGCTTCTGTGTCCGCACCGCTCCCAACATATCTGTCCCCTTGTCGGCAGTCTTGCGGCAAACAGCCGAGTCCATGAGACATCCCTCACCTCGAGCCCGACCATGAACCCCTTGGCAGATGTTCAAGAAGTAACTAGAAAAGAGAAGGAAGGCAGGAGTGAGCTGTGTTTAGTACCACTTTGAACAGTATTTCAGCAACATCATGACGTCCATGTTCGTAGGTAACTAAATTTAGCACAGTGATGGAACCATGCATGAGTCAGACCAAGGATCATTGTCATGGGCAATCTGTTATTTACATCCAAAACCTGCTGATCCTGGCCCTGCTAAGGGACATAACTCTAAACAGCAAATTCCTGCACCTTAAATGACAGGGTCATCGATAACAAACACAGAACACTCAAGCATGCAGTCTCACCTGAAGAGAACGAGTTGTCATGTAATGAAGCTAACATCCTAAAACATGCTTAAACAAAAGGTATGCTTTTTCTTTAATCAAAGTTAGTTCTGACATGACCTATAATGGGATCTGCTAAGATCTTTATGTGGCAGTAGCGAGTACTAAGATCTGACTTTAATGAGATTGTCTTTATATTACTGATTACACATAATTTCTTAATACAATTGAAAATAAAGCAAGCAAACTTCTTGTTTTCTTAAATCATTTTTTTTTACTAAAAATACTTTCACTCTAAAGAAAATCAGTTGGGTGATGTAACTAAAAAGTCACATTTTTGTCTGTTAGTAGTTGTAAAGTAACAAGTACTGTATTTTCTTGTGTATAGCCACACTTTTCCCATATATTTACAGCAGTGCAGAGAGGAAAAATTGACACTATTTTGCATATTAAGTACAGTAGAAAACATACATGTTTCCCTTGGAGTCTGTGTAGTTCCAGCTGCCGATGTCGCGTGAGAGTATCCCGAAGTCGTACACTGTCCCATCATGCACCAGGGTACAGTCTTCAATGATGGGAGGACAGATGAGGTTCGTCTTCCACATAAACAAGGCGGAACACTTGGCACTCTGCAGCACAATGTACACCATCAGACAACCAACCTCATCAGGATGTACATGTGATTCAAACTTGACAGTTAGGCATAAATACACCTAATTTGTCATTACACATCTCCTTGAGGCAAGGGAGTTAACTGACTAAAAAAATCCCGTTTCCACCCTTTCCACACTAAACTGGAATTTCGTGGTGTGATGGTAGCTCCACCAGTGGCTATTACAAGTTACGTCTATGTCTCTCCTATTGACCAATCACATTCCACACATCACATACTTGCATTTGCTTCATAGAAAATAGCAGCTCCGTATCAAGACGATGTTATAGATAATCAAGACCTATATTGTCATTAAACATGTTTCACCCTGCAAAGTGTATCAAATTAATTGAGCACCTAATTAACAAAATGAAAAGCTTTAGAAATATCTGTTGACGCCGAGTAGAGGGTACACATCCTTTGCAAATCCTGCAATCGACAGAAATCTGCACGGCAGTTTACAAACTACATGTCACATTTGTTACGAGATTTTGATTGGACTATGCATAGACTCCAGAATTCAAGCCTAGTTCAGCAAGTCACAGACACGTGAAATATTGTTTAATGACAAAAATTATGCACCCATTCCTTCTGAATTGTCATATGGTTGAATAAAGATATAACTTAAGTCACCTTCAGTGTATGCATGACCAGATTGTAATACATGTGTCTAAATACGTTTTGCCAGGGCTATGGTAAAAAAAATCCCAATCAGACATTTTGTACCTATCTCTTGAGGCCTACAATGGGTACCCGGGTAGGGTCGGGTAATAGGGGCGTGGGTACTCGGGTAGTAAATTTTTGTATTTTTGTATATATTCTGCAAACCTGGTGGTTCAACGTCATGGACACATGATACCTTTATTGTTGGATGATGGCATTCATTGCTTGATGTCACCATTCATTTCTTGATGACACCATTCATTGCTTGATGATGCTATTCATTGCTTGACACCATTCATTGCTTGATGACACCATTCATTGCTTGATGATGCTATTCATTGCTTGACACCATTCATTGCTTGATGACACTATTCATTGCTTGATGACACCATTCATTGCTTGATGACACCATTCATTGTTTGATGACACCATTCATTGCTTGATGACACCATTCATTGCTTGATGACACCATTCATTGTTTGATGACGCCATTCATTGCTTGATGAAACCATTCATTGCTTGATGACACCATTCATTGTTTGATGACACCATTCATTGCTTGATGACACCATTCATTGTTTGATGATACCATTCACTGCTTGATGACACCATTCATTGCTTGATGACACCATTCATTGTTTGATGACTTCATTACTTGACACCATTCATTGCTTGATGACAACATTCATTGCTTGATGACACCATTCATTGTTTGATGACACCATTCATTGTTTGATGACACCATTCAATGCTTGATGACACCATTCATTGTTTGATGACATCATTCATTGCTTGATGACACCATTCATTGCTTGATGACACCATTCATTGCTTGATGAGACCATCCACTGTTTGATGACATCATTCATTCATTGATGACACCATTCATTGTTTGATGATGCCATTCATTGATGATGACACCATTCATTGTTTGATGACACCATTCATTGCTTGATGACACCATTCATCGTTTAATGACACCATTCATTGTTTGAATACACCATTCATTGTTTAATGATGCCATTCATTGTTTGACGACACCATTCATTGTTTGATGGGGTACTCCAGACATATGTTACAAAACACATATAAAGAGCAGTATGTCTACTTCCTCAGTAGATGCTACCAGAGATGAACCAACTGTAACTTACAGGCCACGCTTGGGGCTTCCCATTGCCAGCATTGTAGTCACACTGGAACAGAATCTCGGTCTTGGCCTGCACCTTCTGTCCTAGATAACAATAACAACAGGAATGGTAATGTCTAATGTTATTGCTCCTTCGAACATACAGCTTCAGTCTAAACCTCTTCACTCGCCTAAAGCCTCAGAACTGATATTATACAAATCATTACACTTGACGGGGTCAATATGTGAAAACAAAGACCTGACCCCGGAGATGGTCCGTTCACCGAAGGCGTCGATTCCGATGGTCCTTGTTTTCGCATATTGATCTTGTCAAGTGTAATCATTCGCTCTGTTATACCGAAATTCACTTTAAAGTTGATGAGCCCTATAAACCATCTTCTGTTTCATTACAGTAACTTAGCTGCGAACCGCAGACAAATCAATCTTCATCACGTGAGAGTCAATACTGATCATGTGAAGAGTCGTATTTGAGGTCAATGTCAGTCACAGGATTTGGGATCTACATTAAAATGTATTGTCTCGTCCCGTGGTACGGATTAACCAATGGAATTGCAAGATTCTTAATAGAGGTATAACAATGAAACATGTTTTAATAGAGGCACAAAGTAACTCTGAAACGTTGCTGAAAAGAATAAAAGAAGTTGTTATCCATAAAAAAGTGTCATGTATTCATGTTCTTCCAACTTTAAAATGCCTATCAAACACTTCTGTTATTTAAGACAATAAATAGGCTTAGCACAGCAATGAAACATGTACCTCCACCTTGTGTAGCCCGGTAAGATTGTCCCCCCTAGTCTTGTATGGTATCCTGCACTGAGTTTCACAAGTGATCTTACTTCTATGAATACAACTTGAACATTTTGATGTAAACTTACAGTACTCAGAGCACATGTTATCTTGACAACATGTATAACACAGCCCTACAATTCCCATCCACCTGGCCTCACCTCCGACATCACACTGACTGCCTCCAGTCATCAGCAGCTTCAGGATCTCCCGACTCTCCATCATGAACATCCCCTTCTTGGCATCCCCGTACGACATGGCAGTGTTGTGGTCAACGTGGCAGCTGGATGAGCCGGCACACGCCGGGTAGGCGGGTTGGCTGATGGCGCCACATGGCTGGATGAAGAAGCTTCCCCCTTGTGCTGGGAACGCCTGAACACACACCATACCATCAGTGGTCATTCAGGCAGAGTGAGTCAGTCAGTCAGTGAGTGAGTTTGATTTTACGCCGCTTTTAGCAATATTCCAGCAATATCATGGCGGGGGACACCAGAAATGGGCTTCACACATTGTACCCATGTCGGGAATCGAACCCGGGTCTTCAGCGTAACGAGCGAACGCTTTAACCAACAGGCTACCCGACCGCTCCCAGAGTGAGTCAGTGAGTGAGTTTGATTTTATGCCGCTTTTAGCAATATTCCAGCAATATCACGGCGGGGGACACCAGAAATGGGCTTCACACATTGTACCCATGTCGGGAAACGAACCCGGGTCTTCGGCGTGATGAGCAAATGCTTTAACCACTAGGCTACCCGACCGCCCCCATTCAGGCAGAAATACTCATTGTCACTTTGCAGATAACAGTATTCATTTATATGATGGCATATAATCTGTAAGTATTCTCGTTTAACACCTAACTAAGCAATAGTCTAGTTTTATGATGCTAGTCTGTAAATTATTGAGTCTGGACCAGACAAACCAGTGATTGATATTGTGAGCAACAATCCTTGCGATTGACAACCAAGTCGACAAGCCTGACTACCCAATCCATTGATCGCCACTTGCAACCAGCATAGGTTGCTGGAGACAAAGTCTAACCCTGAATCCCCACGTGGGTAGCAACAAGTGTCACAGGTTGCCGACATGTACAGCTAGGAGAAGCTCTCTTAAATGGCATGGTGCTGACAGACCAAAGATTTGAAGTCCAATTAAACCATGATATAGGCCAATCCATGATATAGGCCAATCCAAGCCTAAACAAAAGGAGTTGGCCAAAATCACTGGCCTAAAGCTAGTGAACTTCATATTTCTCAAACAAAAGCTATGTCTGCATCCTGTCCTTTGTGCGTGCGTTTGTGCGTGCGTGTGTGCGTGCGTGCGTGCATGAGAGAGTATGGTTTTACGCCGCTTTTAGCAATATTCCAGCAATATCACGGTGGGAGACACCAGAAAATGGGCTTCACATGTTGTACCCATGTGGGGAATCAAACCCAGGCCTTCAGTGTGACGAGTTAACGCTATAACAACTAGGCTACCCTACCGCTCCACACTGCGGTATCTCACCTTGACTGGAGTGTTGAGGGCACTGATGTCATAGAGTTGGCCGGTGCTGGGGTCGCTGTACGAGCATGTGGGTGTCTCGGCGGCGATCTGGTTGTCCTGGCAGGCCAGGTTGGTGTACCACATAAACACGTAGTCACAATCATCTGCCAACTCAAACTTGGGCTCACCCTGGAAGTGACAAGAGTGTGGCTGTTAGTGGGGCAGTTTATATCAGTGTTATACACAGACACAAGTCTGTTAGGTCGACACCAGTGAAACTCCAGAGCGACTAGATGTTTTCTACCAAAAGCAAGATATTTTGCAGAAACCACTGGTCCAAAATGAGCTGCAGACTAGAAGGATATGACCCCCACACATAGGTTGTGATGTCAAGGAATTTGTTTTCATTATTGTGCAAAAAGGGTATTGTGCCCCACAGGCAGGTCCCCATTTTCAGTATTGGTCTCAAATTAATTGATGCTGCGTGTAAAACTGTAAAAACTCAAAACTTTGAGTTACACAAAAAAAATTAAAGAGAGTTTTGAATGACTTGAATCAAACTTGCTAGAAAAGCAAACTGGTGTGAGAGTTATCTCTCTTATATAGGTGAACTACGACTTCAATGGGGGTGAGAAAAGGCTTGATTAAACTCACAAGTGACGTGCCGACTTTGCAGGTGAAGATGATATGGCTTGTGGTGTTTCTACTGGGGTCCTTCAAGCACTTGCTGCCATTCACATAGGACAAGGTCACCTTCCCAGTCACGGAGTCAATGTACGGACCTCCAGCCAGGTGACCCAAACTCTGAAAATACCAGGCAGTGTGAATTATAACCATAGGAAGCTTGATCTATTCCCGTGAATGCACAAAGAGGAGCCGGTGGGCACAGTTACATACACACCACAGGAGTTTTATCTCCCTGATCACACAGAGGAGAGGGTGGGCACAGCTATGTACACACCACAGGAGTTTTATCTCCCTGATCACACAGAGGAGAGGGTGGGCACAGTTATGTACACACCACAGGAGTTTTATCTCCCTGATCACACAGAGGAGAGGGTGGGCACAGTTATGTACACACCACAGGAGTTTTATCTCCCTGATCACACAGAGGAGAGGGTGGGCACAGTTATGTACATACCACAGGAGTTTTATCTCCCTGATCACACAGAGGAGAGGGTGGGCACAGTTATGTACATACCACAGGAGTTTTATCTCCCTGATCACACAGAGGAGAGGGTGGGCACAGTTATGTACATACCACAGGAGTTTTATCTCCCTGATCACACAGAGGAGAGGGTGGGCACAGTTATGTACATACCACAGGAGTTTTATCTCCCTCTATCATACAGGCAGAGGAGCCCGGGGGACAGAGTTTCCCTTGGATGGGGTTGAGGGGTCGGCAGATGTTGATGTAGTAGGTTGTGCCCGAGTTTACCGCCCCTGGTATCAAGGAAATGGCCACATGGTGTCCTGATGCCTTGATGAGTGGAGACAGGTCGACCTTGTAACTGCCTTTTGGGCCCTGGGTTTCCACACTGCATTTTACCTGAGGGTTGAAGTTGAATGAAAAAATTATCAAACTAGGAAAGAGTTGAATTACATGAGAAATTGAGAAATGGTCCCATGAATTCAATTTTCATGGCAAAACATTGGTAGATGGAGAACTTACAAAGAAAAGAACATATTATTACTTGACATCTGAATATCAATACTTTTCCATTTCCATGATATCTCTCCAAATTCCTGATTGGTATGATGACAAAGTTTTAGAAAGTTGGACCAACCTCTTGCTCACAGACTCTGCTCGTGTGCCAGTTGAAGTGATACACACAGTCATCTGTCTCGCCCACCAGTATTGGAAATCCATCCCCCTTTTCCTGGCCGCAGATGAAGTTGATGATGGTGGAGCGGTGGTACTTGTTGTGGCAGAGAGCCCCACCGGAGTAGTTCAGCATCAAGAAGCCGACTCTGAACTGCAGGTTGCTGTTGGCAACACCGGCGCTGAAGTTCCGCTTTTCCCCCACCAACTCCTTCTGACATGCTCCTGAAACACACCAGTGAGTGAGTGAGTGAGTGAGTGAGTGAGTGAGTGAGTGAGTGAGTGAGTGGGGCTTACTGTTGTTTTCAGTAGAATCTCATGTCATAGGTGGTCAGCTTATCATGAAAGAAAGCCTTAAGTGACACCAGTTGTTGGTGAAACACATGAGAATAGGTAAAGTGTTAACAGGCCAAGGATTTGATCAGGGTGATCTGGGATTCAAATCCACAAATAGCAGATCCTTGCAACCAAGGGAAGCAACTCTTACAATGCCTTAAACTACAGTGCCACCTGTCACCCCTTAAAGAGTGTGTGTCAAGATCACCTTTAGCAATATTTCAGCCATATAATGGGTGTGGGAGGGTGTTGTTTGGCAAGAAGAATCGAGTCCACACATTGAACTCTTGAGGGGAATCAATAGCTGGGACCACTATCTATGAAGGTCTACGTTAAAGTATGGGAACTATGATCGTCACAGTGCTTAGATTCCTTTGTACAAGTGGACCATGGTCTTTCATGTGACAAGCCAACACTTTAACCAAAAGGCTACCCCACCACTCTAAAAGTCATGAAGTTGAAATCCAATTGACGACAACACATACTTAGAAAAATAATGTGGGACAAGTACTTGAAGTCTCAGGAATAAAAGACTCCTCACCAGCATTGCTGTCACAACCACTGCCAGCAACTGGGCCACACACATTGATGTGGAAGTCATGGTCGTTGCCGTCATTGAAGTGATATCCTGTGGACTTCTTCAGGGCACTCAGGTCAAACGTGTAGCCTGAAACATAAGGATACCCAATTTGGCTGAAGCTACATAATCCACAGGTTTTCAAAAAAAATTATTGACAACAAATAAAAATCTAATGGAAAAGCATTTTACTTGATCATCAAATGTGTTGCCATGTGTGCAGTGCAAGTTGCTTGTCTGGCTGCTTGTACTAGTCCGGACTGATGCCGATTTATAGTGCCAGCTCACTGAGATACCATGCAGCAGTTTAACATGAATAACCCACTCAGGCACAGTATACTGACTCCGAGCCGACCAGTCCTTGTTATAGCCCATTAATGCCAAGTAACATCAAGTACATCTTTTAAAGTCTTTTGGTATGACCCTGCCCGGGATCGAACCCCCGACCTGCTATCTGGGCAGGCGCTCTATCCACTAGACCATGGAGGCAGCCTGTTTGGATGACAGGAAACAACAAGGTTGTGAAGGGTTGCCAATTGTCCAGATCCAAGTACTTTTTAGCATTGGTCCCCATGGTTACTAGCAATGAGTGATTAAACTAAGACTGACTCACCAGAGTCTGGGTTTGTGGCAGTGCAGTTGCCTCCTTTGGCACTGCTTTCCCTTGTGTTCACAGAGCAGGCTGCGCGCGTCGTCCAGACAAACCGATGCTCACACAGGTTGGCCAGGAAGTGACCAGAGGGCTCCGTATCCTGAAGTAGAATGGTTTCACTAAACATGAGATCCATGACATCCAGTGGGGTGAAGGGTGCACACCACCCTTTCCAAAGCATACTAAACCTTTCTACATTCAGAAGTGGTAGGTGATTGAGTACAAGTGTAAACGTTTTACAACACAATAACTAACTTCTTTGGAGATACATTTGTTTGTTGTTTGTTGTTCAACGCCGCACTCAGCAATATTCCAGCTATATGACGGCGGTCTGTAAATAATCGAGCCTGCAACAGACAATCCAGTGATTGAAAACATGAGCATCAATCCACACAATTGGGATACGATGACATGCATCAACCACCCGATCCCGTTAGTCGCCTCTTACGACAAGCAAATCACCAAGATCACACAACTGTTCAAAGAACAACTGCCCAATCTCAAACTGCACCCCTCATTTTCCAAAAGCTGTAACTGAAACGACATAAAATATTTTCAAGATTGATCTCATTAAATACAGGTCCTCTTTGCACCAATGCATAGTGATTGTTTGTTGTTGTTTTACACCAGTCAACAATACATCAGCTGTATCACAGCGGCCTGTAAATACACAAATTTGGGCCTGACAAACCAGTGGTTGATATCATCGGCAACCTCTCACATTATCTTGATACGATGACACACAATCAACCAAGTCACTGACTTGACCACCCAATCCACTTTGGTTGTTTCGTACCACAATCACTTGTTTCTATCATCTTGACATGAGATTTTCAAGTAATTGGGGTCATGAAAATTCATTACAAACTATTGAAATGACTTTATTCCTGTCAATAGCCAAAAAATCTTGGCTCTTAGCATCAATTTCAATACAATTTAGTGTTAACATATGGACTATTGTTAGTATATCTTACAAGACCGAACTTAATTTTACTTCTGGCTTCGGACAAGTGGCTAAAGTCAAAGACTGCTGATTGTATCCATTTGGGTTTCCTGGTAGGCATGGTAAGATCACTTCACTTACTGACTTAGAGACAGAAGTACACACCCACTTGGGTTCCCTGAGAGGAAGCCCCATACTCACATAGGCATTGAGGTCACAGTGCAGGATGATGACAGTGGACACTGTCCGGTTAGCAACTGGGCACTTCTCTCCATTGTCGTACCGGATGATGAGGGTCTTGGACAGAGTGTCAAACCTCACTGGCTTGCTGGTCAGCTCCCCAATCTTGTGGAACCTAATGAGCACAAGACCGGTCAGTGAAACCTGTGAAATTCTAATATGCAAACAGGGGGTTCGGGTTGTCTAGTGTTTAAAGTGGTGGCTCATCACCAGGGTGGGTCCAACCTTACCAATCATATTGTACAAACAAGGCAGTGGGGTAGCCTAGTGCTTAAAGTGCTGGCTCATCACCAGGGTGGGTCCAACCTTACTAATCGTATTGTACAAACAGGGCAGTGGGGTAGCCTAGTGCTTAAAGTGCTGGCTCATCACCAGGGTGGGTCCAACCTTACCAAACATATTGTACAAACAAGGCAGTGGGGTAGCCTAGTGCTTAAAGTGCTGGCTCATCACCAGGGTGGGTCCAACCTTACTAATCATATTGTACAAACAGGGCAGTGGGGTAGCCTTTTCCTTAAAGTGCTGGCTCATGACCAGGGTGGGTCCAACCTTACCAATCATATTGTACAAACAGGGCAGTGGGGTAGTGTTTAAAGTGCTGGCTCATGACCAGGGTGGGTCCAACCTTACCAATCATATTGTACAAACAGGGCAGTGGGGTAGTGTTTAAAGTGCTGGCTCATGACCAGGGTGGGTCCAACCTTACCAATCATATTGTACAAACAGGGCAGTGGGGTAGTGTTTAAAGTGCTGGCTCATGACCAGGGTGGGTCCAACCTTACCAATCATATTGTACAAAAAGGGCAGTGGGGTAGCCTAGTGTTTAAAGTGCTGGCTCATGACCAGGGTGGGTCCAACCTTACCAATCATATTGTACAAACAGGGCAGTGGGGTAGCCTAGTGCTTAAAGTGCTGGCTCATGACCAGGGTGGGTCCAACCTTACCAATCATATTGTACAAACAGGGCAGTGGGGTAGCCTAGTGTTTAAAGTGCTGGCTCATGACCAGGGTGGGTCCAACCTTACCAATCATATTGTACAAACAGGGCAGTGGGGTAGCCTAGTGCTTAAAGTGCTGGCTCATGACCAGGGTGGGTCCAACCTTACTAATCATATTGTACAAAAAGGGCAGTGGGGTAGCCTAGTGTTTAAAGTACTGGCTCATGACCAGGGTGGATCCAACCTTACCAAACATATTGTACAAACAGGGCAGTGGGGTAGCCTAGTGCTTAAAGTGCTGGCTCATGACCAGGGTGGGTCCAACCTTACCAAACATATTGTACAAACAGGGCAGTGGGGTAGCCTAGTGCTTAAAGTGCTGGCTCATCACCAGGGTGGGTCCAACCTTACCAAACATATTGTACAAACAGGGCAGTGGGGTAGCCTTTTCCTTAAAGTGCTGGCTCATGACCAGGGTGGGTCCAACCTTACCAAACATATTGTACAAACAGGGCAGTGGGGTAGTGCTTAAAGTGCTGGCTCATGACCAGGGTGGGTTCAACCTTACCAAACATATTGTACAAACAGGGCAGTGGGGTAGCCTAGTGCTTAAAGTGCTGGCTCATGACCAGGGTGGGTCCAACCTTACCAAACATATTGTACAAACAGGGCAGTGGGGTAGTGCTTAAAGTGCTGGCTCATCACCAGGGTGGGTCCAACCTTACCAAACATATTGTACAAACAGGGCAGTGGGGTAGTGTTTAAAGTGGTCCATACACTATTAGCTTGACAAAGATGGAGAAAGGTCAATGGTCCCTTTTGGACCACTGGAAATGTCAACTTTAAACTTTCTGTAAACTTTGGAAAAATGGTATGAAACTTATCAGACATCATCAAAAGGTTGAAAACTAGCCATTTTATTTCTCTTGACTTCAGTGATATGGTCAAAACTAAAACTATGGCTACATTGAGTGAGAGAGGCAGATTTCAAATGAAAATCAAAGTATGAGCATGTCTGTGACCCAAGATGAATATATTACCCCATGCTAGTAATGTTTTTATGTGCATTGCCTGTGAAAATCAGCTTGGCTCATAGACTTGTCACATGCAAATATTAAAAAAATGCTTCAAGCATGAAGCACTAGGATGATGGAGTGCTTCTTACTACACAATTGAGGGCACTGGGATAATGTTCTGCCTCCTGCTACAAATATAAGACACAATGTCATTTAGAAAGTGGTCAAATGTAAAATAACACTTTCTCAGTAAAGTACAGATTCTCTTACTTTTTGGGGTTGAGTCATTTTTGCAGAAGCCTTGTGGCTGAGTGGGTTAGATCGCTGTATCGTTATATTCGGGATAACACTTTGTTAGTAAAGTCCCATCCAGGATTTGAACCAACACTTGCCAGAGGTGAGGTGAGGTGAAATTGGAATTAACATCGCGTCCAAGTATATTGTACTTATATAGTGACGCGCATGCACATGTGTGTGTGGGGCTGCTTGTACTAGTCCAGACTGATGCCGATTTATAGTGCTAGCTCACTGAGATACCATGCTGCAGTTTAACATGAATACCCCACTCAGACACAGTATACTGACTCTGAGCCAACCAGTCTTTGATTTAGCCCCTTAATGCCAAGCGCCAGACAGGGTAACAGTATATTTCATTTTTAGCGGAAGCTTCATTGGCTTGAGTGGGTTAGATCGCTGACTTTGTGTGCTGGCAATTAGGTGCCTCACTCTGGCAAGTGTGGGTTCGAATCCCGGATGGGACGCAACCCCAAAATGTACAAGAATCTGTACTTTACTAAGAAAGTGTTATCCCAAATATAACATTTGTTATAAATATAAGGCTCTGGAGCATGTATGTGCCTGTCAATTACTACAAGCACAAGGAATTGAGTATACTGCCGTAATGTTTTTTTAGATAATGCATGGGAGCATCATTAGTTTGGCAAAAGGACAAATGCTTTGTATTTCATAACACATGTAACAATGTCGATATGAATCAACATCCAACTCACTTCTTCTCCTGCAGTGTCTCTGTCAAGTTCACCATACACGCTGCCGAGTTGGGAGGGCAGGTCTGATCTGTTAATATAAATGTTAGCAGTATTTCACCATTGTGTTGTCTACAAAGAAATACAATGTTCTTAGGTTGGATGACAAAATGCACGCAGTCAACATATCTCGTTATCTATCTAAATGTGTCATATGTTTTTATTACTTGCCCGTGAAGAGATCACCCATTTAATAAACATGCAGCTGTATTACACATTATGACATTGCATGTAGAGATGATAAATCACTGAGAGGAGCTTACGCACTCTCGATGACCCCAGTCACCCTGTTGCTAGTCTGACTGTGATTGTAAACTTTGTGGTGCAGGATTCACGAGGCGATCAAAGCGCAACGACACTTGTACATCTATGTTAAAGAATGGGAGTTATGATAGCTTTGTGGAACAGACCCCTGAATTCTAAAGGTGGGCCATTGTATGGTATTAAATTAATACTGGTAAGTATCAACTTTTGACCTTTTGAAGTATTATTCTGTTAAACTCAAATGGATTATGCTGTGGATCGCATAGATGTCTGCCTATTTACACACAACAGTGAAATTCTAAAAAAGTTATAAACGGCAAGAAATAAATAAAATACTAAACACGCTCTTGTGTAATACCAATGGAGTTCTGCTTGTGCATCATGATGAATGACTACAGTTTTGTAGAATTTTCCTATTCGGAATATTCTATAAGTAATACGTTACCACTGTTATACCGAGGCTGTTGTCTCCCACAACTGCTGCTATAGCGAAATCTACCACAGAGATCTCAATTACCTCATGCAGCACGTGCGTAGCCACCTAGCTGCCATGTGACACCCTTCACTCTTGTCTCTTGCGAGAGCAAGTGCTCGGGGGACGGACGGGCGGGCAGCAGCCCAGTGGTAACGTAATACTTATAGAATATTCCGAATAGGAAAATTCTACAAATTACATTAAGTAATACGTTACCACTGTTATACCGAGGCTGACTACCACAGTAGACGGTGGGGAGCACCTACAACCCGAATCCTGACTGCTAGCGTTCCTTCCGACCAGCGGAAGTAAACACCAAGGCGGAAGCACTCGATGCACATGCACCTAGCTAGGCGTTACCCTATAGGAATACCAAAGCACTGTCAAGCGCATACCGTAAGGCTCAATCGTCATTGCCAAAACGATTGGTGACTCCAAACGGCCCCACTGGATAGGTATTTCATCGCCGCAGCGGATGAGAACACTGTATCCGCGTGAGCTTTATCTTAGATCAGGTTAAACAGTCGAAAAGAGGGAAATTAATTTCATTCAGACCGTATATCCCAGAGCAAGCCTACTTAAAGTATGCATTAGGCGGTGACCTAATTCCAGTATTTGTAAGCATGCATCACAAGGTTGGGATACACGACAGACAATTAAATACATAATTGTCAAAATACAAATAAGGACAAAGCACACAAAAAGCCGCCCTCACCTGTGGTGTGAGTGCGCTGGTTTGCGGGACCCCAACTCCTGTACCCACGGCAGTGGGAACATTGGAGTCGACCCAGATTGACCACCGTGCAAGGTCTGACGCCTGAGGAGTTCGGAATTGCGCTGGGCACACCCCTTAGGTGCCCGCTTGCGCCGCGATCCGCGGGCCAAGACGGTGCACACTCTCCACGACGGCATCAGCGACCTGTTTGAGGTAATGATTGGCAAAAACCGAGTCAGAACGCCAGTAACAACCTCGTAATATTATGCGAACAGAGATATTCGAGTGTAGGGCAAATGTTGCCGCTAGCGCCCTGATCTCGTGCGGGTTTGACCCCGCTACCGGTAACCCCCGAGACCGGTACGCCAGATTGATGACAGAACGAAGCCTCAACGCAATCGAGTAATACTTAAGATAATACTTAAGGGCCCTAACCGGACACAGCGCTCTGTCCTCAGTATCAGCAGGATGTAAGATTTCTTTGAGTGATCTTACAGTGAATTCTCTCTCCGTTTGCCCGACTCTCTGATTCCTGGCGACGAAGCCCATGAGCAGGCCCAGGCGGACCGCTCCATCGTCCCCCCTATCGAATCGTACCTTGGCGACATCAAGTGCATGAATTTCAGATACACGTGCCGCCGTGGCAAAGGAGAGGAGAAATGCTGTTTTCCAAGTCACATGCCGGAACGAAGCACTATGCAAGGGTTCATACGGAGCTTCCGTAAGTGATTGCAACACTAGGGAAAGATCCCAGGCCGGTGCCCGAAGGCGGCCCTTCTTAGGATCGTGCTGTTTGAAACCCTTGATAATACCCCGTATCACCGGCTCTTTGGAGAGACTGGTACCCATAGCAACGTCCCGTACCGTAGCAACGGACGAGACATAGTTGGCAATGGAACCCCCGGAGAGTTTCCGGGTCTCTCGCAAGTGAGACATGAAACGAGCAATATCCTGCACAGATACCTTATCTGGCGAATGAATGTGATGTTTACAACACCACTTCGTGAAAATAACCCAACGTGCATTATACACCTTCTGGGTAGAATCACGATGCATACTAACGTATGCCCGAGACGCCCGGCGAGAAAAACCTTTACTCCACAGACGCTCGGTGACAACATCCACGCGTGCAGATTGAACTGCCATGCGTTTGGATGAAGCTGACGGGTGTGAGGGTGGATCAAGAGATCCGGTCACACAGGCAGTGGAAGTGGCGACTGCGTGACCTGGGTCAGCAAGTCGGGGTACCACGACCTGTTCGGCCACATGGGCGCGATCAGTAACATTCGACAGCGAACTCCTCGGAGCCGGCTTAGAATGTGTGGTATCAACGCTGTCGGCGGGTAAGCATAAGCGTCCAAGCCCGTCCAGTCTAACGCGAGAGCATCGTGATCGATGGCCCTCGGGTCCGGGACTGGTGATACAAACAACGGGAGTTGATTGTTGAACCGCGTTGCGAACAGGTCGACCATCGGACGACCCAAACGTTCGCACAGCCACTGAAACACTACTGGGTTCAGCATCCACTCTGTGGGGCTCGGATCCTGAGGCCTCGACAGAGCATCGGCCAGTACGTTCCGTACACCTGGGATGTGACGGGCGCGTATCTGGCACGGGACACTGTCCACCAGAGCGTAAAACTCGAACGTGAGATCGAGTAGCGAGTGACTGTGGGTTCCCCCCAGTTTGTTCACATAGGACACTACCGTCGTGTTGTCGGTCGCCAGCATGAGCCGGGCGTCGACGAGACGATGCTTCCAGTGATTGACTGCGTTGATCACTGCCTTGAACTCGAGACAATTGATGTGAAGACCTAGTTCGTCTACGCACCACAGCCCCGAGCTCACCTCCCCCTCTAGATGGGCGCTCCAGCCCACCAGAGAGGCGTCTGTATACAGGGTCAACGTGGCCCGGTAGGGCCGCATAGAGACTCCTGATAAGACATTGTAAGGGACCGTCCACCAATCCAGATGCGGTCGGAGCCGATCCGGGAGGGCGACGGTCGCACTGTTCACCTCCGTTGCTAACAACTGGATTAAAAACCGTTGCAGCGAGCGGAGTTGGAGACGACCCCGTTCGGTGCAGTCCTGGGCTGATACAAGTAGCCCTAACAGCTGTTCCCAAAAGTGAACAGTCTGTTGCACCGCTAAGACTTTGGCAATCATCGCCTGAATCTTGTGCCACCGGTCTGGGGGGACAAAGAGGCGATGAGACACCGTGTTGAACCGACCTCCAATGAACAGCAAGGTCTGAGAAGGGGTTATCTCGCTCTTGGGGAGATTGATAATCCACCACAATTGCTCCAAGAGCCAAAGTGCGAAAACGAGATGGCGTGACAGGGTGTCTGTCATTCTAATTGCTACTAGCGAGTCGTCCAGGTACGCGAAGTATCGGACACCCCTCCTGTGGAGGAACCCCACTATGGGGGTGGTTAACCGGGTGAACAGCCAGGGAGCGGACGTGTGAATCATTCTGAGTTGGCACTGTCCTACTTGGGAACGAGAAATATCCTGGAGTAAAACCCCGGTGTTATTTCTGGTAGAGCTAACTCCCGTACTGCCCCTTCTCCACCAACCTGCCGATGGCATCGGCGAGGATGGGAAGATCGGTTTCCGAATCGAAACCTGCGGCAGGCGCAACTGTCCAGGGCCAAGTGACTCGGGTTTGCCTAAGGGCCAACCGAAGTTGGCACTGTCGGCATACGAACCCCTCCAATGAGAGTCACCTGGAGGGGCCCTTGCCGTCCTTAGACGACTTGGGCTTCCCCCAGTTCCCCGTCTTCCCGCGAAAGGGCAGCTGATTGCCCATACCGGAGCCCTCAGGGCGGGGCTACTTCCCAGAGGAAGAAGAACCCGACCCCTTAGACCTACCAGCCGCAGCAGCCTGGGGCGCGCTCCGGTTAGGAGCGGCACCCAGGCGCCTATGCAGGGACCCAACAAGAGCAAGTGTGTGCCGAGAGTCCTCGGCAACGTACTCCAGGGAAGCATTTAAACTGAGCAGGCAGTTGTAAATGCGCTGGTCACGGTCCGTGGGAGAACCTTCGACCAGACTGGCCGCTGCAGCCAAGTAAGTGTCTCCGTGAGACATGGAGTGCCGAGCGAGGGCGTCCAGCTGGTGCAAGGTAGCTTGCGTTACCGTAGCAGCCGGTGGGGCACGGACACCCAACCGCTCAACATGGGCCTCCGCGGTAGGACCAGCCTCGGGAAAGGCAAGGTCACGTCCTGGGAATAAACCCTTTCTCCACGACGTCGGAGGCAACGGGAGACCCCGACCGGAGGCCGCCGCGAAGGCGTTCTCCAAGGAAGGCTTGATACCGCGCAGCAAGGTTGATGCGGGGAAAGCCGTGTTGGAAGACTCATTGTATACCTCGGAGGAACCCACAGTCATGGATTCCCCGCGGTACCGGCCGGGGCATGTCCTCAAAGAGGACATAAACCATGGCCACGCGGTCCTTAACCGATAGCGGGAGCAACGGTTCGGGGGAAGGACCGGTGACCACGGGAGCCGCCACCGTACCGGTGGACCCCGCGGCCACCACGGGTCGCCAAGGGATCCGCCGCAGCCGTGGTGGTGGTACCCGCAAGGGGACCCCGACCGGACGAGCCGGCCACCACAGGGGTGGAAACGGACTGCACATACAGCCGGTAGCGCTCGCTTGCGGCACACCCCGCAGCTCCTGGTTGCGGGGGTAGAGGGGGTGGAGGACGGCGAAACATCCATGTCAGACATTTTGTTTGTACTATGAACAAAGAGCAAAACATGGTTACAACACACGCACCACAAATAGTCACAAACGAGTATTTTCACAAGAAAATAAACGAGCAATGGGAATATAGAACATACACATATAACATATAGAGGAATAAGTGATGTAAAAACCCAAAGATATACTAGAACAGGGGAACGTAAGACGCAACGTGCATACGAGACACCCCGCAAGTATATAGAAAAAAAGGGCGGGAAAAATATTTCCATTTGGCGGGAAAAATATTTCCAAGCGTAGTTACAGCAAACGCCCCATACAAGTACAGTTTATTAGAGAGAATAAACAGTAATAAATATCACCGAATGGTCGGAGAAACAGGAACGCTTGAGCAGTTTATTGTACGTCTTGCTAGAGCAAGCGAAGAGACAAGAGTGAAGGGTGTCACATGGCAGCTAGGTGGCTACGCACATGCTGCATGAGGTAATTGAGATCTCTGTGGTAGATTTCGCTATAGCAGCAGTTGTGGGAGACAACAGCCTCGGTATAACAGTGGTAACGTATTACTTAATGTAATTACACCAGAGCAGCATTACAGGTACTGACAACATATTTTTATTCAGTCCTTGAAATCCTAGTTCAGCAAATGTCAACCCGGTCAATGAGTCTGACCACCGATACAACAAACTAAGGCTGCTGGGGGCCTATTCTAACCCGGAATCCCAACACAATTATTACCTTTCTTGTAAACCAATGTCTGGCACACATTCAGTATAAACTTCCTCTGCCTGTAAGCCTTATCAACAATGTAGTTATCATTGGTTCGTGTGAGAGAAGACAAATCATAAACGTTGCCCTCGGGATCGGTCGCCGTACAGTCGGACACCTTGTGCGGTGAGCATGCGTAGCTAGTCGGCCACTCAAACTGATAGGTGCAGTCTCCATCTTCCCGCAGATACCTTGGCCCCTCCTTCCCATCCTTGGTGTGGTCGCAGGTGAAGGTGATTATAGTCGTACGGTTGTACTTGTGATGGCAGTTGGACTTGCCATCCGTGTAGCGGAGAGTTAGCTCCCCTGCATTGTATACGAGATCACTATTGGCCTTTCCTGTAAAGAAAAAAGTCAGAGTTCAAACATGTTTAATGACAAAGATATAAGTTCAAAACTAATTTTTTTAGAACAAAATGTTCCTCAGCCTAACAAGCTGATGAAGGTGACACCACCTTGTCACACAACACATTACCACCTATTAAACCAAAAGTGTGATATTTACGTGGAAAGATATCCCAAATGATACAGGTTATGGACATTTACCAATCTGGTGAAACCCACAAGCACGGATATGATGCTTGACAAACCAGGGATCATTGCATGCAGTCAACAATAATCCAGCTAAATCACAGCACCCTGTACATAACAGAGTCTGGGCCAGACAAAACAGTGGTTGATATTATGAGCAATGTTCCATGCAGTTGGGGAACAATGAGTCGCCAGAGACCGGAATGCAACTCTGCACAGTGTATCCGAAGCCTTGAGACAACTTGTCCACCCATACCCTAAAACAATGAAATGACTGATCCTTCTTACCTGCATCAAAAATGAAGGATTTATCTGAATCCTTAGTCTGACACGCCCCCACACCGGCACATGCCCCCGTGCCGGACACCAGCTGTCCGCACACGTTGATGAGGTAGGTGTAGTCCCCGACCTTCACCTTGTAATCCTCAGCTGATTGGTGCAGGTGTGAAAGGTCAAACTGATAGTTATACACAGGGTCAGTGACCTTGCAGTCCTTGCCAGTTATTTTCTGCAAGAGAGACAGTTCAGATTACAACCCCACCATGTTGCAGAGACAGAAAGAGGATGAGAAGCAGTTTTAACTGTCAAGGGGTCCTTGACATTGCCCTTATGTCAAAGGTTAAATTGTAATTTTAGGGAGTCCCTAGATTCAAATATATAGGCACAAACTTTAAGGACACCAGGAAACCCCTTAATTTGGAACACTGCTGAAGATGAAGTGATGTTACATCATTTTCACTGACATTGCAAACGCTCCACTTTATCAGTGAATCATTGTCAGCTTGAAATGCTAGGTATTATAGAAATAACAACAGTAGCAGCAGCAGCAACAATACCATGTACATTTGTTTATCACAACGCTCATAGTGTGTAGAATTTATTACCCCATCAACTGATGAGTTACATACAATTTGGATACAAGAAAAAGGAAACTACTGCAGTTGCAGAAAAGCTGATGAAGATTCTATCTACTCACATGTTGGGGGCAGGCACTGGGAGTGTTCCATTCAAACAAATATTCACACGTCTCTGTTTCTCCCATGAACACAGGATCACTCTGAAAGGATGATAGTCAGAAATATTAGTAACCATGGTAACACATAGTTTCTCATACACCAAACTCATCAAGAAGAAGTGACCGGGGAAAATAATTCTTAACATCCACAATTCTTGTGAACAATCATGTAAACCTGAAGTGTTTCAGTCATCACATCCATGTTTACCAGTGTAAAATCTTCATGCAGTTGTCATATATCCATATCTAAATATTTCTTTCCGTCAGAAATCACTTGGGTTCCTGCTATAGCACCAAGGGTTATGACATCAGTCAGTAAAACTTAGGCCACCAAAGTGAAGGTCTGAAGGCCTTTTCAAAGTAATGATCACTTTTCAGGGCTAAAAGTAAGACCCAAGACAACTGAGAAAGGCACAGGAATTGGACAGAATGGCTATAAATGTACATCCAACAGCACCATGTAAAACTAACCAAGTCCACACACCACTGTTCCACTAGTATTTTAATATCGACAGAGTTAAAGACTTATCCTCTGCTACATTGTTTCTTCACCCATTAGTAGGGAAATTAATAATTGTAATATCTATTCAAAATCAGTTAACAATGGTTGAAAAATTCAATTTTAAGTCCTTTCCAAATTGTTCAAGGCATATTCAAATTCAAGGCCTTTTCAACAGGACTGCCAAAAAAAGGCTTTTTCAAGTGCAAACCCAACCTCTATAGCTCCAGGGCTCGTACTTCGGTGAACCTACATTGGGTTAGTGCCAGTCGTGGAGTCATAGAGGATGGTGCAAACCTGTCAGACCATTATTGATCTGGTTCGAGTTGAACTGCCTTCAGCATGTTCAGTAAACAGTTCAGGAAACAAAAAGTGAAGAATGTTTTAACACCAGATGTTTGTGTTTCTGTTGTTAAAGCCACACTTTGTAACATTCCAGCTATGACATGCAATCAACCAAGTCCCAAAGCCTCTCTACCTGATCCCCAGGCTAAAAAAATAATAGTCTTAGTTCTCAGGCACCGCCCGCATCATCATAAAGTCTGCCACATGTTTCGTTTTAATTTCCACTTTCAAAACAAATTAATAATCATTAAATATTCCGCTTCTAAAACACACGACCCCGGCAGTTAAATGCTACAATACTTAAGAACAACATGATTTCCACGAATATTATTGTAAACAAAATTTTGTCACATTTGAACACCCATTCCCCTCCAAACACCCCCCCCCCCCCCCCCCCCCCCCCCCCACACACACACACACACCAAAAAAAACAAACAAAAACAAAAACAAACAAAAAACAAACACGGCCTGCCTGCACAATAGTTTCATATTGCCATTGAGAACCAATTCTATTATTTTTTAAGCCCAAAAGACACCGCTTATGACCAGTGTGACTCTGGAAGTGTTTTCTATGGTGTTAGTATTTTTACCTCTGCATGCGAGCAGATGAAATTGATCCTGGTGCTGCGATGTGATTCCTTATCAGTGCCCTTGTGACACAGAGTCCCTCCCCGGTACTGCAGCACGAGGGAGCCGTCGTCCATGGCAACAGGCTTGGACTGGACGTACCCCAGACTGAAGGACTTGTCCCCGGACTGACAGCCTCCAAAAGGCCCACCTGCAACACAGACATGAGGGATGGGGATGAGGGGGGAGGACAGCATCAAACAGTAGTCAGTCTAGCATAAGCACACAGTCAGGCTGCACTGACGACTCCTGAGAACTTGTTGACAATATAACCCAATCCTTTTGTTAGACGAGCAAGCAAGTACATTCAATGTGCAGAGATGCCAACCCTAATTGAAGCTCTGGAGTAATCAGTGGGGTCCTAAAGGCTAAAGGTTCATGTGAAAAAGAGCAATGTCAAGAGCACCCTGTCATGATGCTGGTTTTCACTTTGACATTTTCATTACGCCTACACATACATGAAGCATTGGTACACATGCACTGACACCAGTAGTATAGCCGCACACGCAAGGCCTACTATTTTGAAAAAAAGGGCAATAAAGCTCAAAATAAGCAGGAAAGAAGATTGCGCTTCCGTCTGCATGGTTAAATATGACTAAACCTATCTATCCAAAAATAAAAAAAGTGGACATCAACTTCGATGAAGTACTCGGCATGCCAACCTCATCAGTGACATACATCAAGTGACATTTAAAAAACCCACATATTTTGAATAGATTTGGTAATTATAGATCATAAATCACTAACGAAAGCATTTTATTCAAGCTGTTTGTTGGGGGCATCTTAGCGAGGCGACAAAAAACTGGTGTCAAAAACACGGCATTCATGCCGAAACACGTGGTCAAAGCTCCACACATTCATAAAATTGATCATGTGACAATATTTACTGCAGGAAAACAATGAGGTGTTTCCCTATGAAATATCGGTGTACATGCAATTAGCTTTGTGTAGAATGCTTCACATGATTGGTTTATTAACAATTTCCTCTCTCTGATATTTTATACATGTAAAAAATTCTTGAAAAAAATGTCCAAAATTGTAATTTGGGGTGGATAAGCGTAATAACGTAGTTTTAGGCTCAAAAGCATTATTATTACACCAATTGCATGATAGTTGGCATCTCTGAATGTGTGAAAACCCACTTACCAGGACAAGTTGAGCCTGCAACTGGGTTGATAGGGCGACACACGTTGATGTAGTATTTCAACTTAGAGTAGCCCTCCCTTGTGTCCCTCACCACCCAATTGGACGAGGTCTTGGCCAAGGCGGTGAGGTCATACTCGTTGCCACGTTTATCTATGGCCATGCAGTCAACAGGTTGTGGGGGACAGGCCAGAGCGGTCTCGAACTTGAAATAATACGTGTTGTCTTCTTGGCGTACGAATGTCGGATTATCGCCTGCATCTCTTCGACAGACGAAGGAAATCTTCACCTGCACTTGTTGTCCTGGAGAGAAACAATTGTATCAAAATAACAGTATATATATTCACACCGGGTACAGAATTTCAGAGCAACTTTCAGGGCCTTTTTAGGGCTCATATCTCACACTTCAAGGCAACCATTTGTACATGAAAACTTTATATTCTGCAGGAGTTTCCATTCAATTTGTTACAGATTTGGGCATTTTCACCACTGACACAAGCAGACAATTATTAAAGGGGAGATAACGCCATGGTTTTCTGACAATAAATATATAGGATACAAATGCTTTTCTTTGACTTTTTAAAAACAGAATGAACAGAATGAAGAGATGCCTAATATTTTAGCATTATTTGAAATATGGATTGGTCACCAAAATTCAAGGTTTTTTCAAGGCACACAATCCATATTCCAGATCTTTCCATGGCAGAATCTAAACTCAGGTTGTTCAAGTCTGTGTGACACGTGACATACTTTGTCATGATATCATGAAAGAAATCAGGGAACTATACAGGAAACCACTCAAAGCATTTCAGGTTAGACATTGAGTGGGTGAGCGAGCAGGTTGTGCACACTGTTATACATATTACACATTTCAAGTTCTTTCAACATTATTTTTTGTGCTAATTGAAACAATTAGTCACGGAATATTACACAAACAAATGGAGAAACTTAATTGTTTGGGTACTGGTTTAGTTTAACCACAATTCTCAGAGATAAAATAGCCGTGATCCTCAATTCAAGGTTTTTCACGTTATCTATGGGTTTTATGGTTTCAGAGGAGAGGAATGGACAATTAGTCACGGAATATTACACAAATAAATGGAGAAACCTAATTGTTTGGGTAGTGGTTTAGTTTAACCACAATTCTTAGAGATTAAATAGCCGTGAACAAATACTATGAGGGAACAATGACACGCAAACAACAGTTACAGAGTCTGACAACCAATCCATTAATCAGCCTCTTATGACCAGTATAGCTTGTGGGGATCAAGTCTAACCCGGAATCCCCACAGGATGCAGGTCAGGCGACACCTCTATGTCCTCTGTATCTACAGCAGCATCTTCCTGAGGCAAGGGAGTTAACTGACAAGTCCAGTTTCCACCCTTCCCGAACTAGGCTGGAATTATGGAGATACACTTTGGCTTGACTAACGAGTCTATGCATAGTCCAATCAAAATCGCATAACGTAAACTGACGTGTAAATTTCGATAAATTGCAGGATTTACAAAGCATGTGTACCGTCAACTTGGCATCAACAGATATTTTCCAAATCTTTTCATGTTTTTAATCAAGGTGCTCACATGATTTGATGCACTTCACGAAGTAAGATCCATTTTGTAGAATTTTCCTATTCGGAATATTCTATAAGTAATACGTTACCACTGTTATACCGAGGCTGTTGTCTCCCACAACTGCTGCTATAACGAAATCTACCACAGAGATCTCAATTACCTCATGCAGCATGTGCGTAGCCACCTAGCTGCCATGTGACACCCTTTACTCTTGTCTCTTGCGAGAGCAAGTGCTCGGGGGACGGACGGGCGGGCAGCAGCCCAGTGGTAACGTATTACTTATAGAATATTCCGAATAGGAAAATTCTACAACTTACATTAAGTAATACGTTACCACTGTTATACCGAGGCTGACTACCACAGTAGGCGGCGGGGAGCACCTACAACCCCAATCCTGACTGCTAGCTTTCCTTCCGACCAGCGGAAGTAAACACCAAGGCGGAAGCACTCGATGCACATGCACCTAGCTAGACGTTACCCTATAGGAATACCAAAGCACTGTCAAGCGCATACCGTAAGGCTCAATCGTCATTGCCAAAACGATTGGTGACTCCAAACGGCCCCACTGGATAGGTATTTCATCGCCGCAGCGGATGAGAACACTGTATCCGCGTGAGCTAAATCTTAGATCAGGTTAAACAGTCGAAAAGAGGGAAATTAATTTCATTCGGACTGTATATCCCAGAGCAAGCCTACTGAAAGTATGCATTAGGCGCGTGACCTAATTCCAGTATTTGTAAGCATGCATCACAAGGTTGGGATACACGACAGACAATTAAATACATAATTGTCAAAATACAAATAAGGACAAAGCACACAAAATGCCGCCCTCACCTGTGGTGTGAGTGCGCTGGTTTGCAGGACCCCAACTCCTGTACCCACAGCAGTAGGAACATTGGAGTCGACCCAGATTGACCACCGTGCAAGGACTGACGCCTGAGGAGTTCGGAATTGCGCTGGGCACACCCCTTAGGTGCCCGCTTGCGCCGCGATCAGCGGCCCAAGACGGTGCACACTCCCCACGTCGTCATCAGCGACCTGTTTGAGGTAATGATTGGCAAAAACCGAGTCAGAACGCCAGTAACAACCTCGTAATATTCTGCGAACAGAGATATTTGAGTGTAGGGCAAATGTTGCCGCTAGCGCCCTGATCTCGTGCGGGTTTGACCCCACTACCGGTAACCCCCGAGACCGGTACGCCAGATTGACGACAGAACGAAGCCATAACGCAATCGAGTTGCGAGTTATGTCAGCAGTGCGATTAGGGTTACACGATATGAACAGACGGTCACGCCCTTGTCTGCGTTCATTTGAAGCCTTAAGATAATACTTGAGGGCCCTAACCGGACACATCGATCTGTCCTCAGTATCAGCAGGATGTAAGATTTCCTTGAGTGATCTTACAGTGAATTCTCTCTCCGTTTGGCCCAAGTCAAAGGAGAGGAGAAATTGCTGTTTACCAAGTCACATGCCAGAACGAAGCACTACTCAAGGGTTCATACGGAGCTTCCATAAGTGATTTCAACACTAAGGAAAGATCCCAGGCCGGTGCCCGAAGGCAGCCTTTCTGAAGATCTTGCTGTTTGAAACCCTTGATAATACCCCGAATCACTGGCTCTTATGAGAGACCATAGCAACGTCCCCTACCGTAGCAACGGAAGAGACATAGTTGGCAATGGAACGTGAGATCGAGTAGCGAGTGACTGTGGGTTCCCCCCAGTTTGTTCACATAGGACACTACCGTCGTGTTGTCGGTCGCCAGCATGAGCAAGGCGTCGACGAGACGATGCTTCCAGTGATTGACTGCGTTTATCACTGCCTTGAACTCGAGACAATTGATGTGAAGACCTAGTTCGTCTACGCACCCCAGCCCACTAGAGAGGCGTCTGTATACAGGTTCAACGTGGCCCGGTAGGGCCGCATACAGACTCCTGATAAGACATTGTAAGGGACCGTCCACCACGCCAGATGCGGGCAGAGCCGATCTACGAGGGCGACGGTCGCACTGTTCTCCTGTGCTAACAACTGGATTGTAAACCGTTGCAGCGGGCGGAGTTGGAGACGACCCCAATCGGTGCAGTCCAGGGCGGACACAAGTAGCCCTAACAGCTGTTCCCAAAAGTGAACAGTCTGAGGCACCGCTAAGACTTTGGCAATCATCGCCTGAATCTTGTGCCACCGGTCTGGGGGGACAAAGAGGTGATGGGTCACCATGTCGAACCGACCTCCGAAGAACTTCAAGTTCTGTGAGGGGGTTAACTCGCTCTTGGGGAGATTGACAATCCACCCCAATTGCTCCAAGCGCCAAAGTGCAAAATCGAGCTGACGAGACAGCACGTCCGTCATTCAATTTGCAACTAGCGAGTCGTCCAGGTACGCGAAGTACCGGACACCCCTCCTGTGGAGGAACCCCACTATGGGGGTGGTGAACCGGGTGAACAGCCAGGGAGCGGACGTGTGAATCATTCTGAGTTCGGCACTGTCCTACTTGGGAACGAGAAATATCCTGGAGTAAAACCCCGGTGTTATTTCTGGTAGAGCTAACTCCCGTACAGCCCCTTCTCCACCAACCTGCCGATGGCATCGGCGAGGATGGGAAGATCGGTTTCCGAATCGAAACCTGCCAACAGGGCAACGGTGAGCGGCGGATTCGCTTTGAGATCAAGCCGATAGCCGTACCGAATCGTGTTAACCACCCACGGGTCGTCAAACACTTGTTCCCAATTCTCCCAGTAAGTCTGGAGTCTGGCTCCCACTGGGGAAGGAGAGGGGGCCCTGACAGGCTGCGGCAGGCGCAACTGTCCAGGGCCAAGTGACTCGGGTTCGCCTAAGGGCCAACCGAAGTTGGCGCTGTCGGCATACGAACCCCTCCAATGAGAGTCACCTGGAGGGGCCCTTGCCGTCCTTAGACGACTTGGGCTTCCCCCAGTTCCCCGTCTTCCCGCAAAAGGGCAGCTGATTGCCCATACCGGAGCCCTCAGGGCGGGGCTTTTTCCCAGAGGAAGAAGAACCCGACCCCTTAGGCCTGCCGGATGCAGCATTCAGCTTCGGAGCAGCACCCAGGCCTATGCAAGGACCTCACAAGATCCAGTGTGTGCCGAGAGGCCTCGGCAGACACAGCGGCCTGTTGTTCCTTCAGAACCCCAGGGATCTTGTTATTAAACAGGGTCCGAGCAGACCAAGGCTGCGAAAGGAGCACCTCCTGATTGGCATCGTCCAACCCTGAAGCAACCAGATATGACTGGTGCCGAAGAAAATGGCACGTGCCGGAAATAAAGGCCGAAGCCCCGGCAACGTACTCCAGGGAAGCATTTAAACCGAGCAAGCAGTTATAAATGTGCTGGTCTCGGTCCGTAGGAGAACCTTCGACCAGACTGGCCGCTGCAGCCAGGTATGTGTCTCCGTGAGACATTGCCAGCATGGAGTGTGGAGCGAGGGTGTCCAGCTGTTGCAAGGTACCTTGTGGTACCGTGGCAACCGGTGGGGCACAGACCCCCAAACGCTCCACATGGGCTACCGCGGGAGGACCAGCCTCGGGAAAGGCAAGGTCATGTACCGGGAAAGACCCTTTTCTCCACGACGGTGGAGGTAAGGGGAGACCCCGACCAGAGGCAGCCGCGAAGGCCTTCTCCAAAGAAGGCTTAATCCCGTGCAGCAAGGTTGATGCCGGGAAAGCCTTGTCGGACGTCTCGTTGTACACCTCGGAGGAACCCACGGAACAGTGGATTCCCCGCGGTATCGGCAGGGGCTTTGGCATGTCCTCGAAGAGGTCATAAACCATGGCCACGCGGTTCTTAACCGATAGCGGAAGCAAGGGTTCGGGGGAAGGACCGGCAACCACGGCAGCTGCCGCCGTACCGGCGGACCCCGCGTCCGAACCCGCGTCCACCAAAGAGGCTGGGGACGGAACAGCCAGCGGCCTATCTTGCGATAAGGCCGCCAGCTTGGAGTCCACAAGTTTCGACAACAATGCGGCGACGGAATCCCCAGACAGCCCGAGGGCCGCAAAGGGATCCGCCGCAGCCGAGGAGGTGGTACCCGCACGGGGACCCTGACCGGACGAACCGGCCACCACAGGGGTGGAGACGGACTGTACGAACAGCCGGTAACGCTCAAACTCCGCAGGCCCCAGACCTTCGCACAGGGTGCACCGGGTGTCCCCGCACGGAACCCTGCACCGCGGGCAACGATCGTGGGGATCCCGGGACGACAAAAAATTTCGGCACACCCCACAACTCCGAGGAGCAGGGGTAGAGGGGGTGGAGACTGGGGACATATCCATGTCAGACATTGTTTGTATGCTATAAACAAAGAACAAAACATGGTTACAACGCACGCACCACAATGATTCACAAACGAGCATTTTCACAAGAAAATAAACGAGCAATGTGAACATATAACATACACATATAACTTTTATTAAAGAAATAAGTTATGTTAACCCCCAAAACATACAAGAACAGGGGAAACGTAAAACACAACGTGCATACGCGAACCCCGCAAGTATATAGAAAAAAGGGCGGGAAAATTATAACCAAGCGTAGCTACCGCAACGCCCCATAAAAGCACAGTTTATTAGAGAATAAACTATAATAAATATCACCAAATATTCAAGGAACGCTTCAGCAGTAGGTATACACGTCTTGCTACGCAGACGAAGGAGACAAGAGTGAAGGGTGTCACATGGCAGCTAGGTGGCTACGCACGTGCTGCATGAGGTAATTGAGATCTCTGTGGTAGATTTCGTTATAGCAGCAGTTGTGGGAGACAACAGCCTCGGTATAACAGTGGTAACGTATTACTTAATGTAATTGATAGGCATTACTTAGCAGTTTCCAAAGTTAAGTAGAGATAACTTATATTTTGGTTGGTTGGTTTGTTGTTTAACGTCCCACTCAGCAATATTCCAGCTATATGACGGCGGTCTGTAAATAATCAAGTCTGGACCAGACAATCCTGTGATTAATATCATGAGCATCGATCCACGCAATTGGGATCGATGACATGCATCAACCAAGTCAGCGAGCCTGACCACCCGATCCCGTTAGTCGCCTTTTACGACAAGCATAGTCACCTTTTACGGCAAGCATGGGTTGTTGAAGACCTATTCTACCCCGGAATCTTCACGGGTCAGATAACTTATAGATAACAACTTCTTTATTTACTTTAAATGCGATGTTTCGGTATATATCGTTATACCGTTGGCAGCCTTGCCTTGGCCTTGACAGAAAATAAAAAAGTTATCAATAAATTATCTCTACTTAGAAGGGACATAACTCGTAATAGCCACTGGTGGCCCTTCGATCGAGCCTAGAAATTACAACCTAGTTCTGCACGGGTGGAACTGAACATTTCAGTCAGTTAATTCCCTCGTCTCAGGAAGATGTTACAGTAGTACCAACCATTACTGAGCCTCCTCCCATCATAAGTCAGCATCAACTGTCCATCATCTGAGAAGTCCAGTGAGCCGCTGGACATGGCCAGGGCTGGCTTCCTGGTGGTCTGGTCCTCGCACACCGAGGCCTTCACGTTGTCTGGCGTGAGGAGGTCGCAGGATGACACGTTGCCACAGATGTTCAACTGAAAACACAAATGGAAATCATAAAAACTAATCTGAATTCAGGTTTCCAATCTTCAAAATACTTCAATATATCTGGGGAGTTTTAGTGGACATTTTCCAAAGTAACAATACAACTATAATCATGATAATAATGAACAAAGACATGGAATTTGTAAAAAAAATAAACTTAATGTATTCATTTATCATTTTTAAAATTTATTTTTAGCGTCCATTTTCCAACACACTTCAATAAATAACAAAATACTGAACAGAAATAAAAGAAAGGGTGGAATTGGCAATGGAAGTGACCCTAAGATTTTATCCTAACAATACGGAATGGTCCTCTAATAGCGACTTATATCTCATATATGAAGTGTTGCCTAACTTTCCGATGTAAATTTTAATATGTCAAGATAAGTTGTTGATTCCCAAATGACTTGTTAAAAAAATTGGAATCAATGCTACCATATATATGTTACTGACCAAGAAAGTCCTCTTGTCAAATGCGGTGACTTTATAAAAGCCATCTCCCTTCTTCATGAGAGGCTTCAGGTTGTAGATGAAATTGGAATTTGGATCCTTGATGCTGCAGGTGCTGGTGTTGGTCTCGACGTCATCAATGGGGCACGCTGCCTCCGTTCTCCAGATGGTGCTGTACTCACAAGGGCCGGACTTGATGAACGGGAGCGGGGCTCCTGTCTGGGAACAGAACACAACAGCTGATTGTGAGTGTTGTCAACAACACGTCTAGGTGGGGGTGTATGTTTGAGGTTGTCTGTTGGAATTAATTAAGCCATTTAAGTATTTCTAACAAAGGTATTTTTCAAATCAAAATGATTTAATTAAACTGTCCATTGAACAAAGAAGGGGGTTAGTGTCCAATCTGTTGCACTAGACGTTCATCAAACTTGTACTTTACTATAGAGGAATAAACATGAAACCGGGGAATCACTCAGTTTCAATGGAAACTTTTTCGTAACAGCTACACAATAAATCGCAAAGAACAATGAAGAACGAAGCGCGGTTTATTTCACGACAAGACCTTGTTCTGTAATAACGTCATTTCTGGAGATTCGAACAAGTACTTGCAACTTGATGACGTTGTAAATTGGACGAGGTTATTTTTGAGAGAGAAGTGTCTGTAGTGAGTTGTTCCCCATATATGTAGCTAGACAGCGCAGATGAATGCAATGGCCGAATAATTGCACCCAAATGTGGGAGAGATATGACAACTGGTATTGGCAGAAAAGGTACAGATAATCCACGTTAAACTTATGAGAATATGCGGGAAATACCAAATGTAACCCCCCTGTTCATGAATTGGATTTGACCGACTTTGCCGCGGTCGGATTCTATTGTGTGAGTCATCATTATTTAAATACTGGTAAATATATTTAAAGTGAGTACCTTTTACTAACATCCTTAAAGAGGCTGTAAATAATGTTAATATCTCATATAAGAAATCTATATAGATATGCTCAGCACCCAAGGGGCTGGCCATCCAATCCCCAAAGCAATCAGGTACTGAGGACAGGGAGTATATGCATGCCCCACCAGGGGAAACATTTCAGCATCGGAGCCGGTGTAAGAGCTGCCTTCATCAACATCAGTACGTACCACCTTGCCCTTGGCACAGCTGAAGTGTATGACTGTGGTCATTGTTGTGTTGTGCCCGGCTTGGTCCACACACTGGTCTCCGCCTGTGTACCTCAGCATCAGCTGACCTGGGTGGTCTCCATCCGATGTGGGACCCACTCGTGCCTCGCCCAGGCTGCTGTGCACGACAGTTTCCTGTAGCAACCATGACCACAAATATGCTTCACATCATCCATACAAAGTAAATTGCACGATGCAAGTTTTACCAAATAATGAGCTCAAGAGGCAAAACAATGTTATGATTTTAGTTTCAAGGATTTGCAATATAGGGTTATTATTATTACTACCATTAATTTCAAAATCATTAGAATAATTACAATTCCCAAAAGATATAGGAATAGACTAGTCTTTTATATCAAGGTATGGTAGCCAAAAAGCTTAATACATTCTAGAAAGTGTTAAAACAACCCTTATATTAAATATAATTTCCATTTTACAAACTTGTTTCCTACCTTGCCATCCTTGACTTTGGTCTCACAAGCCGCAGCAAATGCTCCGCACGACTGACCACTATCCACATGCACGGGGTTGACCGGCCTGCACACGTTGATGTAGAATCTGCGTGAAGTATCAGTGTTATCCCCAACCACCATCCAGTTGTCTTTGGTCTCCGACATTGACAATCTGCAAGTATGGTACAGTGTTGGAGTGTTACAGAATTGTTTTGTTCTTAAGCTTTTAATTGAAAATAAAATAAGGTCTTGAAAAATAAGATGCAAACACGCCTCACCTGGACAAGTCATACTGTTTATTGTTGACCTTGTCCTCGTACACACACTCGATCGGCTGGGCTGGACAAGCGTAGGCTGTGTACCACTTGAAGGTGTATGTGTAGTTGGCCTCGCTGACAAACTCTGGGCTGCCCTCACCCTTGGTGGAGTCACACAGGAAGGCAATCTCAGTCTGTCTGGGGGTATGGCCAGCGTTGTTGTAGCTGTCGCCGTTACTGTAGGTGAGGTTGATCATGCCGTCGAAGTATGTGATGTCACCGTTGGGCTCCCCAGTCTTGTGGTAGATGCTGTGTCAAGGAGGGATAGATTGATAGCAAAGCAGTCTTTTAGTTAAGAGACAACATATACATGGAGTCCAACTTCTGTATTTCTGTGATGCAAAACATTTCAAGGCAACTACTTCTTGTCCCTGCACGAGGACCGCCTCAATGGTTGAGTGGATGCAGTAACTGCTTCGGGGCTTCGATCCCTGGTCACATCATGCCAAAATCGTCAAAAGATGCTACTTGTTATTACCCCGTATGTTACATGGAACTCGGCATTAGGAGATAAAACAAGGACTAGTACAAGCACACATGCACACCAGGGGTCCGGAAACCGTCATATGCGCCGGACATGTCCGATTGGGAATCTCAAATGTCTGTTTTAAAATATTGCTTACCGGACATTTTAAAAAGTATTGTCCGGACATTCTTAAATTTTGACCGGACATGATCAACAGTTAGGACTGAGCAGTTTCTGTCTACAGTTGCAACACAATGAAGATTAACTACACTGACAAGCTTTGTTTGTTTTGATTGCTGTAAATACATCGTACCTACATGATAGTCCTATCGGTCAATCACTGTAATAGGCAATAAACTGAGTTGACACTGATTAATCGAGGATTAATTACTGAGAACATCTTGTTAATTTGAGTGAAAGGTGTTTACAACTGTACATTAATACCTTGCATCATCGATGTACCTCATTATCCTCACAATGCTACGATACGTAACCTCAGACAAGAAGCGAAAGCGTGATGACAGCCAGTCGACCGATGCAGATCAGTCGAGCGGATCTGCCAAACCCTCAAAGTCTGGACGATCATTTTGTAAGTCGTGGCTAACGACTTTCACTTGGTTGACATACAATGAGGATTTGCAGATTTTATTGTTTTCAGTAGCTAGTCGTATATTGAATCTTGATTGACCGCCATTTTGCTTTCTCGGACGATCGATATCCAATTTTTTTATGGTCAATAATTAAGTACAGATGAAAAAAGTATTCAAATAACTATTGCTATCAACGATATTTTAGTATTTGTGATTAAATTATCTGTCTTGTTTTAAAAAAAATCTTTAGTTTAAAAAAAACCTTTTCCCGTGAGGTCACGTGATAACCAAATATGGGATAATAGTCTCGATCCAAATGTTACAACGCTTACACTTGAGCAGACTGATGAATATTAATTAGACCGTTCACTACGTTAACAGATCGTTATTATAACAGAAACAAACGTATGTTTTCCATGAAAATCTAAAATGATATTATTTGTTATTAATTGTCCGGTGAATTAAACAATTTAAATTGAAACAATTCATAATTCATTATATTATGAATACGTAAACTTGTAATGTGTGTGAAAAGTCTAAAATACTAAAATACGCTATTTGAAGGGGGCGTGGCCTAAATGCAAATGTCCGATTGGGATTTTAAATTTTCCGGACCCCTGATGCACACACACTTGCATCATGATGCATGCAGGTCACTATACAAGTGAGTGAGTGAGTATGGTTTTACGCCGCTTTTATCAATATTCCAGCAATATCACTGCGGGGGACACCAGAAATGGGCTTCACACATTGTACACATGTTGGGACACATCTTCTCTCTCTTAAATTTCTAGGTTGGGGGGGGGAGTCGCATCAATATTCATTGACACACGTCTTCATCGACAGGCTACTGCTGCACATTAAGAGAATTACGTGAACACCAAATATTGTATCCCTTTTTTCCACAATATTAGCAATCCTTGAAGATCAGGGGTTGAATAGGTCTTCATCAACCTATGCTTTCCGCACCGTGCAACTACGCTTGTCGTAAGAGGCAACTAATGGGATCGGATGGTCAGGCTCGCTGACTATATGGATGCATGTCATCATATCCCAATCGCGTGGATTGATGTCCATGATGTTAATCACTGGATTGTCTGGTCCAGATTTGATTACTTACAGACCGCCGTCATATAGCGGGAATATTGCTGACAATAACCAAACAAACAAAACAAACAAAATTAGCACACAAACAGTGTTCTATCATAAGACCAGACTCATTTAATTCCTTGTTTGACGGATCCACCTGCCACTTTGTCACAATCTTTCAACAAGAAAACATTCTGTAACAGGAAACTATCATGTCTAGTAACCTGTTGTCATAATCTACAGTTACATTGACCTTTTAACTGTGGTAATTACCTCTCCCTCCAGCGAAAGGATAGAAATTTTCCCCACCTAAAATATGAACCCCAAACTGCTGCATTTTATTTAAAAGAGATCCTTATTTCCATTTATTCCCTCACCTGCCTTCAGTAAGTACTCAGATAGGTCAGGCCTTAGAAGCATATTTTATCCTGAAGAGCTGAACATATTCTCCTTGCCTCCATGATCTTGTCAAAAAGTGGTTTGTTCCTTTGTAGCTCAATGCACACAAACCAATATTCCAGCTATATGAGGCGGCATGTAAACAATACATGAGTCTTAACCAGATAAACCAGTGATTGACATGAGCAACACCCACGTCAGTTGAACCAATCGATCAACACATAATCAACAAAGTCACCTGACCACCTCATCCATTAAAGTTTCCTCCCACGACCAGCAGAGGTAGCTTGGGAGCAGTTCTAACCCAGCGTTCCCAGGGGGGTGGGGGGAGGGATGGAGATTAACAGTCAGAGATTGTCCTGCAATATAATTTAATCTGGGAGGCCATTTGTCAAAATAAGCAAAGATAAACTCCAGTAAGTGTGATGACACACAATCAACCATGTCACACACAATCAACCATGTCACACACAATCAACCATGTCACACAATCAACCACGTCACACACAATCAACCACATTACACAATCAACCATGTCATACACAACCACATCACACACACAATCAACCATGTCACACACAATCAACCACGTCACACACAATCAACCATGTCACACAATCAACCATGTCACAAAAATCAACCATGTCACACACAATCAACCATGTCACATACAATCAACCATGTCACACACAATCAACCAAGTCACACAATCAACCATGTCACACACAATCAACCAGGTCACACAAAATCAACCAGGTCACACACACAACCACGTCACACACAATCAACTACGTCACACACAGTCAAGCATGTCACACACAATCAAGCACATCACACAATCAACCACATCACACACAACCACATGGCACACAATCAACCAGGTCACACACAACCACATCGCACACAATCAACCATGCCACACACTGCAACAACCCAATCCTTTGAAAAACTCTGGCTCTCATGAAAAACATGGATTCGTTGGAACTCATTCTGACCAGGAATCTCCATCGAGATGCAACAATGACAAAAGACCATGCTATCTAGGAGACTGAAGTACAAGTACCTTTTATCAGCTTTTTTGACTTGACACACGGCCGTGTTGGTGTGTCCTGTGTCACATTTGGAGCCAGTGACGGCGCCGCACACATTCAGGAAGAAGTCATACATGTTGCTGCTCTCGGAGACCTTGTAGTACTTCCCGTCTGGCTTCTTGAGACGGGACAGGTCAAAACTGTAACCTAGCAACAGTAGAACATCACATCTGCAATTCGGACTTATCTCAGCAAATACCGACAAATCCACCAAACAAAATATCTTTTAATTTACCCTCCTATCAAAATTCACAACATAATCTGTCCTGGTTATTGCAAAAAGACTTTTAACAAACTTATATTCAGAGTGAGTGCGCGTTGTTTAACGCCACAGCAACACTCCATGCCACTGACGCACAATGGCTGGCAATCAGCCAAAGAACCTTGTTTAACGCTGCTTTGAACAGTATTTCAGTCACATGACAGCGTGTGAGCGTCACATGTCAGGAAAGCTCAAAGTAATGCAGGTCCGTTTTCACTTGGGTGAAACCCATGGCTGACAAACCAAAGATCACAATCTAGGACTTAACCCATGATCCAGGCATGTCAAAGGTATGCAACTCTGCATGGCAAATTGTGGAGCCTTAGACAACGGGGCTGCCTGTGCACCCTTGTCAATACAGAGTTCTTCAAGATCTCTTTAAGTCAATGAAATCCTACCTGCATCATCGTCAAAGACTTTACAGTTGGATCCTTTCTTCTTTGACAATACACAAGCTGCAGCAGTGTGCCATTCAAACTCATACATGCACTTGTCATCTGTCTCCTGGATGAGAACCGGACCACTCTCCAAGTCTCCTGATGGACAAACCCAAGGCATTACTATGTTATCCCAAAACACCCCACAAGTCAAGGAAAAAAAATGATTCAGCAAATCAGTGATCTTGGGTATTCGCAAAACTTGACATAACAAGATGACGAAGATGTTTAAATGTACGAGACAACAAGAGACAATGATTGAGCTGGCTGAAATAATACTTGAGGTGAAAGGAGAGTTGAGATAACCCACCCCACAATCAACCACGTCACACACAATCAACCACGTCACACACAATCAACCACGTCACACACTGCAACAACCAAAAAAACTCTGGCTCCGTATATCTCACTTGATGTTCACCCCCTACCCCCCTATATCTCACCTGGTGTTAACCCTCCATCCCCCCTATCTCACCTGGTGTTCAACCCTAAACCCCCTATATCTCACATGGTGTTCAACCCCACCCGTTTATCTCACACGTGGTGTGTAACCCCAACCTCCAATATCTCACCTGGTGTTCAACCCCCACTCCTCTTATATTATCTTACATGGTGTGCAACCCCAAACCCCTTATACCTGACCTGGTGTTCAACCCCGAACCCCCTATATCTCACCTGATGTGCAGCCCCTTCCCCCTATATCTCACCTGATGTTCACCCCCTACCCCCTATATCTCACCTGATGTTCACCCCCCATACCCCCTATATCTCACCTGATGTTCACCCCCCATACCCCCTATATCTCACCTGATGTTCACCCCCTATATCTCACCTGATGTTGACCCCCTACCCCCTTTATCTCAACTGATGTTCACCCCTACCCCCTATATCTCACCTGATGTGCACCCCCTTCCCCCTATATCTCACCTGATGTTCACCCCTACCCCCTTTATCTCACCTGATGTTCACCCCCTCCCCCCTATATCTCACCTGATGTTCATCCTCTTCCCCCTATATCTCACCTGATGTTCACCCCCTACCCCCTATATCTCACCTGATGTTCACCCCCTACCCCCTATATCTCACCTGATGTTCACCCCCTACCCCCTATTTCTCACCTGATGTTCACCCCTACATCTCACCTGATGTTCACCCCTACATCTCACCTGATGTTCACCCCCTACATCTCACCTGATGTTCACCCCCTACCCCCTATATCTCACCTGATGTTCACCCCCTACCCCCTATATCTCACCTGATGTTCACCCCTACCCCCTATATCTCACCTGATGTTCACCCCTACCCCCTTTATCTCACCTGATGTTCACCCCTACCCCCTTTATCTCACCTGATGTTCACCCCTACCCCCTATATCTCACCTGATGTTCACCCCTACATCTCACCTGATGTTGACCCCCTACCCCCTTTATCTCACCTGATGTTGACCCCCTACCCCCTTTATCTCACCTGATGTTCACCCCTACCCCCTTTATCTCACCTGATGTTCACCCCTACCCCCTATATCTCACCTGATGTTCACCCCCCTACCCCCTATATCTCACCTGATGTTGACCCCCTACCCCCTTTATCTCACCTGATGTTCACCCCTACCCTCTTTATCTCACCTGATGTTCACCCCCTACATCTCACCTGATGTTCACCCCCTATATCTCACCTGATGTTCACCCCCTTCCCCCTATATCTCACCTGATGTTCACCCCCTACCCCCTTTATCTCACCTGGTTTACATATGAAGGTTATTCTGGAGGAGGTGGTCTTGCCCGGCTGGCAGCTGTCCCCCCCTGTGTAGGTTATCTGGAGTGTCTTAGATGAGGGATCATATTTTGGAGCCTGTGCGAATCGGCCAAGCTTCTTGGTATTACCTTTAGCATCTGCAACAAGACCCCTCATGCAACAACTGAACATGAAGCAGAAGCAGATACACATAACTGTTCAATAATAACCAGTTGTAGCTGTGCAGTTGCTACCTCCTTCATCAAACATTGAACCTATACAGAAAAACAACGTAGTCAATCAAAGTAATTTCTGATAAACAATGTTGTTCTTGATTCAGAAGCTCAAATCATGTGAACAGTGTACTACATGGCAAAATATGACCTTTATCTTGCTTTTCAAACTGAAACTGTTCAAAAGACTGAAACTATTTTCTAAAATGTACTCAAATTTGAAATCCTTGCTATGTCATCAAAACAATTTTAGTGCAAAGACTGTACTGAAGTTTGAATAGTCCAACACTAAAGTCAGTCAAGGAATGGGGCCGAGAACTATGTTTGTTACTGTTGGCAATATATGCGACTTCCAATCCATCTCAGTAGGGCCTTTCTTTACATCATCATTGCTCCAAAGGAACAAACAGATCACTTCAAAATGTGTTTTGTATTAAGTGAGAATACCTTTCCTGCAGATACTGCTGGCGGTGCAGCCTGTGGTGATGTTGAGGACGTCGTTGCAGACGTTGACGTAGTAGTGAGACTGCTCATACTGGTTCTCACCGTCCAGGGCCACCCAGTTTGAACCTGCGTGGGGGGGGAAGAAGTGTTCAAGGTTTAGTCATAGATATTATCATGGCCATGCCATGTACAAATGATCCAGGGACATTTGATGAATTTTCATATATGTAACACCTCTTTCAACCTACAACATGGTGTCCACCAGACAATGTCTGAAGAGACATTTACGGATATGACTAAGTTTGAAACTATTGTCACTATAATACAAGACAGCAAGCATGGCCCTTTTCTCAATTTAAATTATGTCATTGAAAATATAATACCTTACAGTAAAGAAAGGGTTAAAACCTCCCTTAGGTTGAAAAAATAAAATGAAATTGGTTCTCAGGCAATAGCTTTTGAAATATCGTGTGTGTCTTATACACAGGGTTGAGTTTTTTATGTGTTTTTTTTGCAACACAAAACCATTACTGTGCGCACATAACACCGGAATTCCATGTCAAGAAATCTGGAGTACGCAAATTAATCATGTAATTACACTGTCTGGTTGTAAAAAGAGTTCATAATATATCTGGAGTTAGGTTTGTAATCTATTCATTAATTTTATTCAACATTCCAATCAATATAGTTTCAATTCATTTCGGCAAAATCGTAAGTGAAGTGATAGGAAGATCGCACAACTCACCGTTATTTACAGCAACCGCGGTCATATTACCGCTATTGACGCCTTGAAACAAACTTTAGTGGATAGAATGGATATATATATCATAAGTGCCATACACTGAATCGCTGAAAGTCATATTTGTTGTAGTTTGACTATTATATGTCAACATAAAGTTTTCACAATCGCGGGCGCGAGAGCATTGACAGTGATTGGCGATCAGCTGAACCAAAGTGCTACACTTATGGTTATTAATTTATTTCACATATATAATAGTAAAGCTGCAACGAACATGATATTGGAATAAATTAATCCTGATAAAATAATAGTTTCCGATACAACATTCCACTCATTTTTTCAAAATTCTTTAAAGTTATATTATTGGGTAATTTTTTACCGAATCACCGGTAGATTCCAAGAAACGTGTGTACAGCTGACTGCTACTTCCGGCTCAGTTTACGAGACAAGAGGCACGGTAATCTTAATCTCTGCATATAAAACAATGCCAATCAGAACAGGAAATACAATTTAATCGGCAAATCATTACATTTAGTGATGTCTTATCTCAAATTTCAAATTTGTATTGGCCAAGTTTCATTGTTATAATCTATTCCGTTTCCCTGAATTCAATGAAGGGCTACGATTTTTTTCTGCGGAAGACAAAACACATTCTTATTGCAAATGTAGGGATCTTGTATGCACTAGTGATGTGCTTCATTCCGATTTGCTTTATAGACGGGGTAGTATCGATTACCCGCTTATTTTACGAGACAAATAACCTCTGCGTATGCAACATTGTCCCTCATACAGTACACAAATACCACTGAATTTGTATTTGAATACCATCATCATGTCTAGTGATGTTGTATCGCAAATTTAATGTTTTCATTGACCAAAATTGCAAACAGCAAAACAAGCACACAAACTCCTATTGTCGCTTTGACCATAACACACGAGATGCGCAGTAAAGCAGTGCGCATGGAAAGGGAAGTAACTGCATGTTTTATTGGAAGGCATTGTTTTTTAAGTATTGTAGCATTTCACTGATAAGGTTGTGTGTTCGAGACGCGGAATATATAAGGATTTTTTTTTTAAATGAAAAATAAAAACGAAATGTGCGGCAGACTTTATGATGATGCGGCGGTGCCTGAGAACCAGGAATATATTATTTTTTTTAGCCTTACACATGTTCAGAAGTGAAATAGAGATATAACCTTCTTGATCAGCTGAAGGTAAAACATGATATATTGTGGTCGATGTGAGCCAAAAGTAATAAGGTGAATTCGAAAAACGAAAATGAACCCACTCACCCGAGTTCCTGACGAGGGCTGACAGGTCATATCGCTGCTGGTTGTGATCAACCCGACAAGCCCCCATGGCGAGACGGTTCTCACATGCGTACTTTGTCTCCCAGTCAAACAGGTAGGTGCAGTTGTTAGCCTCCCGAAACACTGGCCAGCCATGACCGTTGTTAGCTGTGGGGGGAAAAGGCAACAGTGAAATTGGCTGTTTGTTCTCATTATTATACTGATGGTGTATTGATGTAATCAAAGATATTTTAGAACATCAATTGATGAAACATTGAACATTCCTGGACTTAATAATAATGATTTTGGTTATTGCATGAGGAGACCAAAACGACCATGGTCATCTTGTTGCCACTTCAGTGACACCTATGAGCACAGGCATGGTGCTGACAGATCAAAGGTAACAGGGGGCACAGGTGGTCTGTCCTCTAACATCTCTAAGGTGACGCATTTGCTGCTCTACAGATTGGGTCCCTTTGGCTCCTGTGGGGGAACATCACCTCCAGGATTTATAGACAAATTGCAAGTGATTCCGTGGCTAACCACATGCAATATTTTTGCATTTATTTCCATAAACCTAAAATATTTCCATATACCTACTATCAGATTATTATTTTCTAACTGGCTAATGCCCCCATTTCACCACAACCACGAATATCCCAAATCACCCTGAATACGAAATTTTTCATGTTCGTAGAACCATTTCTTGAAGTTCTTAAGTGAATCTTATATGATTCCCAAACATTTGTACAGTTCGTTGAAAACTTTTGTTGAAGGGTCCCCGAATTGCAATGTCAGGGGTGTATCGTAATCCATTCGTAATTAATTCTTATGTTCCGTAACTGCTTCGTAATTGATTCTTTTGCATTCTTGGCTATTCTTATCGATTCGTGGCTCCCAAAATTTCTTGTCCTCTACCCGAAAAAATCCCATAACAGCCACAAATGTCCCGAGTCAATCATGTAAGAATTAAGTAAGAACAACACAATTCCCCAAGGACCAGGACCAGAGCAACACGTGCTCTCCATTGAACCTCCATGGTGGAAATGATGGGTTGGCCATCCTTTGGGGAACCACCAACATACCGAAGTTTCAGGAAAAGTATTGATTTTCCTAAACTATTCGTAAATATGTTGTATTAGTCGTATCTTATTTGTTGCAATAGTCCTGCATTTGTACATGCATTCGGCATATTCGTAACTTAGTCGTACGTGATTCTTACAATTCGTGCATGATCTGTACATAAATCTTGTAATTCGTACATGTTTCCTAACCCATTCCTGGCATTCTTCATATTTTTCAACCCGATTAGACACAATGATAGACACAAGTTTTTGTAACTCCATCGTACGTTTGTCGTAACTGTTTCTGCACGAAAGTTTGCATTAGTGACCGAATCATCACAAATTTCGAAAGTTTCTGATTTGGGGTGAATCGGGATATTTGTGGTTGTAGTGAAAGGGGGCATTATAATATAATAGGCGGGGCTTGTGTTACATTATTGCATTGAATGATGTCACGGATTTTGTATTGTCAACAGCTATTTTTGTGTTAATGAATTTATAAACAGTCTGTGAAGTTGTTATTGTTGACAAATTTATTGACTGTTTGACATGTTTTTGTGTATATGGAGTAATAAATGTAAAAATGGCTTTGCACACACTGCTACACGTATAAACACAGCATGCACGCTGTTTTTTAGGTTTATACCTCTATAAATGCAAAAGTATATTGAAACAATTCTTAATTAAACACAGGGAATTGGTTCCCTTCACCATGTTTACTGTTTTCAGGTGGGGAGCATCACTTCCTGTGGATTTGTCTCCAAGTGAACTTTTTTTTAAAAAGTACTTGCAACTCTTGCTCCTTCAAACGACTAATGGTGACAGGAAATGTGTCCATTCAGAATCCAGGCAATATCATTCTTGACAATCCACAAAAAAACATAAGAATTTCATCCTTTCTAAAAGCTAATGGTCTAGAAAGATTTAGTAACGATAAGACCTACACCTAGGGTAGACAGAAAAACTGCGGTTATTGTCTTCACCTCAATATCTCTGAACTGACCAGTAAACCATGATAATTGCTTCTTCCGGGACCCGTTTCTGAAAGTTATCCTTATGCTAAGATGATCTTAAGTCTATGTTATAGCATGGGAGCTGTGATCATCTTAGTGCTAACATCGCTTTGAGGACAGGGGCCTGGCCTTAGTGACAAAACTGATGATACTTTCACAGGGGACACTGTGACATTCTGACAACAAGTAGTCCACATACCTGCAGTCATGTTGCATTTGAATGTGATGATGGTGTTCCTTCTGAAATGGGTGTGGCATGCTGTTCCATCTTTGTAGGTCAAGGTCAGCTCTCCATCTGTCATTCTATGATAAAAAGCAGTATGTATGTGTTTAGACAATTACACTGCTCCTGCTAAGAAATATGTGCATTTCTATTGTCAAGAAAAAAACATTTTCCTCAACTGTATCTAAATCAGCCATCAGATCCTGGATTGTCTAAGGGATGCAACTCTTCACATGAAATTGTGGTGCCTAAGATGATAATGATTATGATGATACTTATGTATGTTAAACTTTAAAAATACTGAAAAAGGAGTCAACAGTAGATTTTAAAGTGACCATCCAATCCTCATTTTACTGGGCTCTTACCACAACCATTGGGACTTGATATATTTGTCCTTGGATCATCTAAAAAACATTAAGACATGACCAAGAGTCCACTGATTGACTACGTCCCTCAGCAAACAAATTGTGAGAAGAACATTTCTTGTTCAATATTCCAGCTATATGACAGTGGTCTGTAAATAATCAAGTCTGGACCAAACAATCCAGTGATTGACATCATGAGCATCAATCTATGTAACTGGGATAGGATGACATGCAAGTCAACAAGCCTGATCACCGGGTCCTGTTTGTCACCTCTTACAGCAAGCATGGGTTGCTGAAGGCCTATTCTAACCTGAATCTTCACAGGTTGTTCAAAATTATTTATTTCATAAAAAGAATATATTTATCATTTTAGAGATATTTTAACACTGAATTCAATGCAATAATGTAGAACTAAACCATTGACACAAGCTGCAGACATGGGCCGAATATCAACCTCTGAGCAAGTCTAGATAAATCCTATTGTCTGTACCTGAGTTTCATGGTATCTTTCTTTCCGAGGCTCTTGGCAAACGTGGACTCGTGTTCCTTCAACTGGCAGACTGATGCGGAGTCCTTCTTCTCGGGACACTCCAGCCCCAGGGAATCACACACATTGAGGACATACACATAGTGGTCGTTTCCGTCAGACACGTTCATCTTGTATGGGTGGTCAGAAGCTGGAACACAGGCAGACGGTCAAAACTGTGTTTTGTGTATCGCATACATCAGCAGTTCTAAGTCTGTGGGGAGCAGTTCAATGTAACATGTATGGGAATGTATGCTGAAATCAAAGCTATTTTACTGGAAATCTTCCCGATTTTTCACTGCTTAAAATACTTTTCTTGATAAGTACTGTATCTTTTTTCTTTGTCTGAATACCAAATTTTACCCAAAACAGCCTTTTATTGTGGAAAAATAGATACCACATTGCTAATGAAATATTAAGTTTGATCAATATTTGTCAGAACAATATCATTGTTATATTTCTCATTCTGCTAACCAGGTGGGTTCCGTTACCATAGAAACATATGATGTTATCCACATCATGATGTCACTGGAGACAACATAGCACTCCAGAATGACATCACATCTGTCTCACAACAAACCCTTGTATTTTACAACACAAACAATAACGACTTCAATCAATGTCTATCATTTTCTATCAATGTCAATCAGTCATTAAATCAACACCTCCAACATGATGGTCTGGTTAATCTTGATTAAAAACAACTTTTTTTATAGCATGTAAAGGACATGTTGGAATTCATTCACAAAACTGTCAGAGCTACTCTCACTGACAACCCTGACTCACTGACAACAAACCTTGACTCTTTGACAAACATTGACTCACTGACAACAAGCCTTGACTCTTTGACAACAAACCTTGACTCTTTGACAAACATTGACTCACTGACAACAAGCCTTGACTCACTGACAACAATCCTTGACTCTTTGACAACAAACCTTGACTCTTTGACAAACATTGACTCACTGACAACAAGCCTTGACTCACTGACAACAATCCTTGACTCTTTGACAAACATTGACTCACTGACAACAAACCTTGACTCTTTGACAAACATTGACTCACTGACAACAAGCCTTGACTCACTGACAACAAACCTTGACTCTTTGACAAACATTGACTCACTGACAACAAGCCTTGACTCACTGACAACAAACCTTGACTCTTTGACAAACATTGACTCACTGACAACAAGCTTTGACTCACTGACAACAAGCCTTGACTCACTGACAAACATTGACACACTGACAACAAGCCTTGACTCTTTGACAACAAACCTTGACTCTTTGACAAACATTGACTCACTGACAACAAGCCTTGACTCTTTGACAACAAACCTTGACTCTTTGACAAACATTGACTCACTGACAACAAACTTTGACTCACTGACAACAAACCTTGACTCTTTGACAAACACTGACTCACTGACAACAAACCTTGACTCACTGACAACAAACCTTGACTCTTTGACAAACATTGACTCACTGACAACAAGCCTTGACTTACTGACAACAAACCTTGACTCACTGACGAACATTGAGTCACTGACATGCTTGACTCACTGACAAACCCTGACCCATGTACAAAATTCCTTTGCAAAATAAAGAAGAAAGAAAATAGAAAACTGACATCCCAGCTCTCTCCGTACTACTGCTACCCCAAACAGTCACCCTTGCACAACACACATCCAAATGTGGTGCACTAGACATTATGTAACGGTCACCCCTACTTACCAAGTGGCTTTCTAAGAGGGGAAAGATCAATGTCGATGTGGTGGTTTTCCTGGGTAAGCATACATGTGTCACTGGTCAGTGAGGATTCTGGACATGCATACTCTGTCTTCCACTCGATCTGGTTGTGACAGAGTCTGTCATCAATCAGCAGAGGATCCTTACTCTGAAAGTCAAGGAGGCAGAATACACACACTGTTCAGGGTTTTATATTGTATCAATTCACTTAGCATTCTTTGAACACACAATTCAGTGAGGCTTACTGTCATTGGTAACTCACTTTCCAGATTTGTCTAAACAACCAGTGTCGATGATGAACTGAAAGTGATCTCTAAAATGCATCATGGGTATATTAACAGTCTAGTTAAACAAATGTTGTTTTTGAATACGATAACCATGATAACAAGAGTCATCAGGAGATGGTTTCAAAGGTCAAATGGGAAAAACTGAGGGGTGATGGGTTTTCTTCAACATAACATGCATGTGTGTGTTTATTATGAGTCGAAAAGCTTTTCAACTTTAAAGAAATAATTATCAATGCCTACACATTTCATGCATTTCCCTATGTCAATATTCAAACTCATCTAAAAATAAACATACAATTATTTTGATTAATTAGTTAATTGTCTATGGCTACATTAGTCAGCTTCTCTATGTATTTAATGGGAAAGAGAAAATATTGCACTGATCAAAATTTCATTTATTTTCCTTCCTCAAATTGGTGTTATCAAAACACTGTGATCTAATTCTTTCTGTCAGGCAAGCTTTCAATGGTATTGATGGTGACTTGTTTCAACTGAAAGTACATTTCAATAACATCACCTTTATCTTTGTAAGGGCAAACTATATATATGTACCGTATTTGACTTACTAAGAGCTCGCAGTGCTCCAAAAATTAGAAATAGGGGGCTCTTATTAGAATATAATTTTGGTGAGAAAAAAAAACAGAGTTGAAAGATTGTAAATTTTGTAGCTTATGCTGACAGCCTGAAATGACACAAAAGAAAAGTATGTGTGTATCATACATGACATATATTTTCCAGTATTCAATTGCCCATAATTAAGGGTGCATATATCACATGAGGGTGTATTATACACGAATAAATAAGTCTTGTGTACATTGATCAATCGGAAGGGGTGCTAATTGGGATTGTTCACTAGCCAATATATTAGCAAATATCGCCATGGGCACTTATAAGAGCGGGGGCGCTTATTACGGTGAATACGGTATATCTTTGTCTTTCCAACATTTTTATACTCTCTAGACATGTGCACTTACCCCTCCTCTGGCAGGACACACAAATGTTATAGTTGTAGTTGGATTGTCCACACATCCAGCTGGCTTTACAGAAGTCTTATACTGCAGCAACAGGTTGCCGTCAACAGAGTGCTGTAGACCGCCAAATGGCTGGCCCATATCCTCCCCCTTGCCATCAAGGATCCGACACGCACTTGAGCCAACAGGACATTTGCTGGACGGATCTTAAAATGAAAATTACAAGACTCAAGACTCTTTTATTCTGTAATAAAGGCCTCCAGCCCAGAGTACATGTGTATATAATCAAGTCACAACAATTTTGATTTACAAACAACAATTACAATCATTAAGAAGAGATCTACTATAATCATCAAGAGGAGGTGAAGAATTCGTAAATTGTATACAGAGTTGTCTCCCTTTAACCTATGAGATAAACCTGCCTTGCCTGCGTGCATTTAACAATATACAGTGCTAAAGATTCTGACAAAGAATTATCTGTCATAACTTTCTCAAATTTGTCGAGAGTACAAAGATTACTAGTACAAATACTTGGCAAAAGCATATTTCTGAATTTGTTATACAAGTAACATGATGTAATAAAATGAACTTCATCCTCCACAATTGATACACTCAGATTATCAAAACAATATTTACATACTCTATCCTCTCTAGCAACTCCTCCCCACCGCCCAATTTCAACAGCCAGTTTGTGGTTACCACATCTAAATCGACTAAGAACAATTCTTAAATTTTTACTCTTCATATTGTGCAAATACCTTTCAGGCTCCAACACTGATTTGATAATAGAATAATTATAATGCTTACTTGTAAAATGAAAATTACAACGTCAAAGGGTCCATTAGTTTTTTCCTCTATTATATAAATCTAGGTACACCTTAATCTTCAAACTTAAAAAATGTTAAACATGTCAAATTTAGGTTAATATTTGGGCTATGATCAGAATCCCGGACTTTTATGCTTTATCATGTTCATTCCAAACACTTTATTGACTAAAAATGGAAAAATATGAATGGCCAAAGGGACTATTACAGTATTATTAAGTTCACAAGTTTTAGCCTTGTAAATGAGATGTAAAATATCTTAATCATTATTATGTTATAATCCATATTATTATTTCCTATCATTGTGTCTTCACAGAAATACAAAATACCAACACTGTAAATATGGTAAGCAAAATGATTAAGGGCGTAAAGAGGATATCAGTATCCGAGTTTCCATTGTGTACACCTAAACACAAGACACAACATGTTTCCAAAAATATGTAATTTTATCATGTTTATCATGACAGCTCTAGCTGACATTGGTTACAGCATGTTAACCTCCCTACAGCGTGTAGTCTTTGCCTTGTATATCTCGCGGATTATGATAATTAGTGATAGAATATGAGTACTAGATTCTTTGGGACTGACCAATTCCCAATAAACATGTCATTATACATCAAGAAATTTTAGTTTTAAGTGTGGTAAAAGTCCAAAGGTTAAACTAGGGTCAAATTCAAAATATAGTAAGACAATAAGAATAGAACATTGCTAAATACACAAATCTAACATTAGCCTACTCGCATCAGGCTTTTATGACAATTAGAGGGTACTGGGGATCTATTCTCCTCAAAATGCCCAATGATAATCATTCTTTACATAAATTTATACCTACATTGATGAACAAAACACACCTAACGTCTAAACTGTTTGTGGCTTATTGTACACATGAACCTACCAGAGCCAGCTCCTGTAATGTCTCGACAGATGTTGATGTAAAACTGGCTATTCACAGTTGAGTCCACAAAATGGGCGCCGGTTGTTTTAGCCAAGGGAGATAAGTCATATTTTTCATTCTTGAGATACAGATAGCAAGGCACTTCATTCACAGGTTTAGTAATGTCTTCACAGAACACATGAGATTCCCATTCAAAGTACGTGGAACATTCAAACTCTCCCAAGAATACTGGTGAGCCCTGAAAATGACAAATCATGAGACTAAACACTGTGTAGTGTTTCGTGAAATGTTTGAAGCAGATTGCTAACGTTGTCTTGTTTGTTGTTTATTGCAGTACTCAGCAATATTTCAGCTATATGACTGGGGTCAGTAAACAATCCAGTCTGGACCAGACAATCCAGTGATTGACATCATGAGCATCTATCTAAGTGAGTGTGTGGATGAGTTTGGTTCAACGCCGCTTTTAACAGTATTCCAGTTATATCGCGGCATGTCAGCTTAATGTGGGAGGAAAGCCCAAAGTGATGCAGGTCTCAGATGTTTACCACTTCGGTGAAACCCACGAGCACGGGTATGGTGCTGACAAACCTAGAAACATAATCGGGGCGAACCGGGATTCGAACCCACAATCACGGGTTTCTGGCGTGCCCAAGGGACGCAACTCTGCACAGCGAATTGTGGCGCCTTAGACGACTGGGCCACCTGTGCCCCCGCATCTATCTTAGCAATTGGGATATCAAGACATGCATCAACCAAGTCAGTGAGCCTGGCTACCCGATCCTGTTGGTCGCCTATTTCAACAATCATGGCTGTCTGAAGACCAATTCAAACCCAAATCTGCAGCACTGAGAGCTAAGAGAGACATCATGAAGCAAGAGACAAGCATTCAGTTGGTCAAACACAACAAGAACAAAAATTCATATTCATATTTAATAATAATATTGACACTGCTTACCAATGTTTTTCCACACTTAAAGTAAATGATAGTCGTTCTGTATTCCGTCGGCATCCTTGGGCATGATTCACCACGGAAGAATACAATAACCTCTCCATCTTTGCTATCTTTTGTTGTATTGAAGGTAGATGTGTAGTTGCCAAGAGAGACAGACTTCTCTCCCCTGGTCAGCTGGCAGACTGATGTCTTTGCAGGACACTCATTGGCTGCGTTTGAAACTCTTACAGCTTCGCACAAGCTAATTTTGTATGTTGTGTTGCCATCGTTTGATGACGATATCCAAGGATTATATCTAAAAAAATAAGACATATATTATCTCACACAAGATCAAATCACCATCAACCCATCAAGCTTGTAAATATAAAATACACAAGTCCTTAAATGTTAGTGTGTCTTATGACCTTACTACCAGCTGATTAGCCCTAAACATGTAACTTGTCATTTTTGTTTTTATTTTTTATTCATTTTTCAGGAATCACACAATGGGCTAAGAACATTGCATACACAATGCCATTTAGAAAGTGGTCAAATGTAACAAATGTTAAATTTGGGATAACACTTTCTTTGTAAAGTACAAATTCTACTTTTGGGGGGGTGAGTCCCATCAAGTCTGACAACTGGTAGTCTAGATCACATACTTTGTGTACACCTCTGACAAGTGTAAATTGGCATGGCTCCCATGGTCATGATGGTCAAAAGCTATGAATACACACGTGACAATGCCATTTAGAAAGTGGTCAAATGTAACAAATGTTATATTTGGGATAACACTTTCTTTGTAAAGTACAAATTCTAGTACTTTTGGGGGGTTAAGTCCCATCCGGGATTCAAACCCACATTCTCAGAGTGAGCATAGTGATGATCATCATCCCCAGGACAATGTACTTTACTAAGAAAGTTTTATCGCAAATATAACATTTGTTGTTTGCAATCTTTAATTTAAAGTGAGTGAGTATGGTTTTACTTTGCTTTTAGCATGTTTAGCAACATTCCATCAATATCACACCAGGGGGGCACCAGAAATGGGCTTCACACTTTGTACCCATGTGGCTACGAAACTTCGGCATGTTGAGCAAACGCTTTAACAGCTAGGCTACCCCACTACCCCTCAACATGCTCAATTGGAAAGAAATTATTTTGACATACATGATCATAGAGACGTGGTAGTAATTTAACTGACTAGATGTTGTTAGGTAAACAAACACCAATTTTAAGTTTTATTTATGTATTGATCAGGTGAGCAGAACAGGCCACACTTCCATTCATTATTATGGTGATTATTATTTACTTTGTCTACAAATTTCAGTATCTGAATAATAATATTTTGAGAAGCATGGTTCAGACATGTAAGAGTGACTCAGAGTGGTAGGCCGATCTACATCATTCATTTTGAGTATGATAACCGTGCTTCCAACACATTAATTAAACAGACAGGACCGCTAAATAGGAAGAGTAAGAGAGTTTGATGACACCTTGAGCAGTATTTCCGTTATTATTGCATGTTGTTTGTTTGTTGCTTAACGCCGCAGTCAGTAATATTCCAGCTATATGATGGCAGTCTGTAAATAATCAAGACTGGATCAGACAATCCAATGATTGACATCATGAGCATCGATCCACGCAATTGGGAGAGAAGACATGCTACCAAGTCAGCGAGCCTGACCACCCGATCCGGTTAGTCGCCTCTTACGACAAGCATAGTCGCCTTTTATGACAATAGGTTGCTGAAGACCTATTCTGATCAGGATCTTCACAGGTCATTAGGGCATGTCTGCATATGGAGAGCTTTGGAAACATAAAGGAAAGCACAGTAAACTATGTAAAATGTCTTGAAATTCAAAGCCATGGAAGCGATTTGTTCATATTATTTGATGACAATACTATTATCAGTGCTCCAGATAAGCTGCATATATGAGTAAAGTAAGTACCCAATTATATTTCTTTCATGTTTATATATATGCATTAAATTGTTTCTTAAAAATAGTATAACAACACTGTGCTTAACATGTTAATCACCCAATGTAACCTTTTCAGCTTGCATACCTGTATGACCTTAAAGATTGCTAGTTACTGACTGGCTGCAGGTATCATGTGTATATGAACTCTACAACAGTGATAATGCAAAAAATTGCTACAATTGCTACATATGTATCATCATTGTGACACACATGGTGGATAGCACGGACAGACGCAAATTTGAAGTCACCTGAAACAGCATTGTAAGCAGAAATATGTTTAAATGCAAGCTGACAAGGTATCGATGTCATCTGTGGGATGACTCCATGGCCTGCTACACACTCCCCCGTCAACAATTCCCAAGCCACATAGTAGATCATAGTAAGGGGCTGAGACTCATCTTGCTCAATAGTAATATGAATGTGCTCAGCCCCATTTTTTTGCATTTAATTTAGTGGCCATAAGATTTCTGAGTCCTGTGATGGGACATGAACCACAGACCTTCATTTCTGAGGTTGAACACCTGGGTGCCATTGTACAAAACAACCTTAGCGTTACGACTGTCGTAAGTCTATGTTAAGGTATGGGAGTTACGATCACCTTAGCACTAAGATCGCTTTGTACAACGGCACCCTGGTCCACATGACCAAAGAAAAGGTACGGACGTCATCTGCGGGATGACTCCACATCCTGCTACATTGGCATGTGTGATACTGTTGTGCACTGATTTGTCAAGTTGTTATGACCAGTGACTTCTGATACCCTGAGCAAACAGCATCAAATTCTTGTTGTTATTATTAGGTTTTGGCCTTGTCACTTATTTGGTGATAGGCAATCTATCTCAATCAGTGTGATTTATGATTTCACGCCACTGACGGTGACAGTGCCCAAGAATCAACTTCAAAACATAATTTCTGTGTTATGACATTTCATTTGGCAACAAGCGTAGTCTAGGTAGCAGACCCGCAGAGAATGTAGTTATGATAGTCCAAATTACCAATGATGATTCAGGTAAATAAAACCCGGAAAATGTTTAAATTAATGTTTTTGTCATGTGATTTCTACTTCCTTGTTTTTTAGCACTCTACTTACTTTGAAAGCATTTTGACATCGTATCCGTGAATAGTACAGTCATCTCCAAAACTTTGGGGTATTGATGAAACAACTATTATGAAAATGAACAGCAAAATGCTTGACTGCATCGATTGTCCGAGGTACGGACAACTTTTCATGCTGGCAGTCGCCATTTTCACAACACTGTGCGCAGTTGGGTTCCGCGCATCTATTAATAATTGATCACATGATAGTCACGGGACTTTGACCGATGACACATCACGTGACTGGATTGTCTTCATTGTTAACGCAAGAACGTCTGATAAATTTGAGGTCCTAACTTTATCATGTAATGTTACTGTACTGTTATAATATTTTACACGTACAGATTATGTATAAAGATGCACAGTCTTTACTCCTTCATTAACATGATTAAGTTGATTCCCTTATACCTCAAACATTTACTCTCTCTCTCTCTCTCTCTCTCTCTCTCTCTCTCTCTCTCTCTCACTCTCTCGTTTATAAAATTGCCATGTATAGTTCAGAAGCGTATTTTATCTTCCCAAAACTGAGTAGAGAACGATGGGCTTGCCGACTAGTAGGGTATAGTAGTTGTTGTAATTAAACATACCGCCAAAGGCAATACAAAGGGTTATGGATATGCCTCGCGTGGGTACAATGTGTAATGTCACCTAAATATCTGGTGGCCGCCGTGATATTGTTGAAATATTGCTGAACGCGGCGTAAAGCCGTACTAATTCACTCCACGTTTTTGTTTGACCCGCGAAGATCCGTTACAGAGAATAGGTCTTCAGCAACCCCAATCTCATTAAAATCGGACCTTAGTTCTCGCTACCGCTAAACAAACAAACTTTGTTTAGCAGTAGCGAGAACTAAGTCCTGATTTTAATGAGATTGCAGCAACTCATGCTTGCCCAAAAGGCTACTTTGTTTGCCGTAAGAGGCGACTAACGGGATCGGGTGGTCAGGCTCGCTGACAACGTATCCCAACTGAGTAGATCGATGCTCACGATGTCAATCACTGGATTGTCTGGTTCAGACTCGATTATCGGAAAAGTAAAACCTAATCTGATTCAACAAACGTAAATATTCACATTGGAAGTAGAAATTTATATAGAGTCTCTTAGTAGACCTTTTCCCAATTAACAGTAATATTAGCATTCCCCAAAGATATAAAAAAAACCACATAAATGTAACAACATTTCGGGTCATAGGTAGTCTGTCTCCAAGACCCAAGAGGATAAACTGTTGAATCCAACTCAAGTCCACATTTAATTTTTAAGGTAACTTTAATTTCTCATTTCTGAGAGTGTAACGAAGGTGTCACGCGCTGGGAAGGAGCTTGGTGATATTCCAAGGGACACAACTCCGCACGATTACGCATTACCTCCCTTGCTTAGATATCCAAAATGTCGGCTCTTCTTGCTGCTCAGTATGGAGTGGGGGCATTGGTTACAGCAACCATGCACCCGATTGGGTATGCCAAAGTCTTAATCCAGGTATGTTCTAGTTTAATTTAATCCTAGATGCAGTAAAAGATTAGTTGCCAATTTGACAGCCTTTGTCATTATTACTTCACAATTACACAAAATGCCATCTCTTCCTAGTGCTGGTTATTTCGTGGTAAAATCTATATGCCACTGTTTTCGCGACACACCGCAGAGGTTGTCTGAGGTTCCGATTGGAGTGTCTTCAAGGACATTGACTGATGGTCCCCAGATATGTCCCAATGATTCTCATAATTGGAAATGAGTCATAATGGCATAGAAAAATATCATATAAAAAATGAAAATCATGAAGGTGTTGTAGTAGAAGTGGTTTAGGCCCTAATGTCGTTTGTCCTTGGTAATGTCATGCACACTTTGTAGTCTCATAAGTTGGTTAATTTCATGTATTACATGGTTATTTGAAAAGGGGGAGTCCAAAGAGTGCAGTTTACTAGGCACCTGCTGTCTCTCTAATTGACCCTAGCACTAAGTGTCTCACGCTTCACTGACTTTGCAAACTTTGATTGTCAACATGGTCAAGGTTCATTCCGACAAAGTCACCAGGTCAGACATTCCAACATTTCCAGTGACTTTACAGGACTGGTAGCAGAAGCCAATCACCCCAAACAGTAGCCAGTAATCTGGATTAAGGATTATACTTGCAAGGGAACATCTCCACAGTAGAAATGGAGAAAATAAAAGAGACCTGTAACATTAACATTAACCAATTTTATGAAACTTGTGAATAGTTCTGGTATCTGATGTACTTTCACTCATCAGAACTATTCACTGGTTTCATAAAATTGGTATTACACAGAAGCTCGTTTTAGTGTTCTATTATTATTTAACAAACACATACACAATAATATAAAATGCCAGTACGTGTTGGTTTTCACATAATGGTAAAAATCCAAGCCATTCATCACTCCAGGCTTTTCTCAAACATTTTGCTGACATGCTGGAAAATCCCCAAAATACTGCATAAGGTGGTGTCAAATGATGCATTCAAAATGAGAATAATAACAATAACAACCTGTCAATGATCAGTTAAAGAGTTTTGATTGTCAGTATAAATCTTCAGAGCAGTGTCCAACAATACTCTTAACCCTATACTCAACTGCCACGTGAACGCAATCCACTGAATGTAGTTGACTCCAGTGAATCAATAAATATATTGATATGTAAAAAAATAAATAAAACAAAAAGTTAAAAAAGATTGCTATGTTTCAGGTTGGACATGAGCCTATGAGGCCAAAACCCTCTGTGTCCATCCTTGGCAAAGAGTCACTGGTCTACCCGAATGTAGTGCATTATGGTAAGTTATAGGTTATAGGTTACAGAAGTAAAGGGTAATCATGTTGATTAAACCTGTGCATATATGTTAATGTTTTCCTTCAAAAGTGAGGGTGTAACGTTAAGTCGAAAATATTGCACACAGCAGAATGTTTTAAGATGTCAACAAATTTTGCTGTATTATATATGATGTCATCAAGTTGCTAGTGCAAATATAAGAATCTCCAGAAATTACATCATGATAGAACAATGCTTTATCGTGTAACAAACTACGCTTTGTTCTTCCTTGTTATTTAAATACAGGTAAGTATTGTAAGAGCTTGTACATTTCATTAACATCCTTAAGAGGCTGTACAAAATTTTGATTCTTCATTTAAGAAATAAACGACAAGTGGGAGTTGTTTATCGTAAAATAAAACACTGCAGGGAGAATAAACCATGAGCATGAAGGGAGAATAAACCATGAGCATGAAATATGCAAAATAATCACCATAACCCAATTAATGTGCAGCAGTTTGCATACAAATATCACATGCATGTAAATGTCAAAACCCCATAGTAGAACCATGATAACAACAATGTGTGTAATTACCCAGTGTAGCCTTTTCAGCTTGTGTGCCCAAATATCTTTACACATCTTTTGTGACACACTTGGGGTGGCACATAAACAGAAGAAACTTTGAAGCAGCGTTAGAAATTGGCACTAGTCCTGTAGTCCTTGCCAAACTGCCCAATGGTTAAGGTGTCATAAGGACGAGTAGAAATTTGCCCTTTATAAGGCTTTTGCTACTTGTTATCATTATAAGGACTAGTGTACTAAAAATGTTAGTTTCTACTCCTGGGAAGTCACTTAGAATTTTTTAACAGCGTGTAAAAATTCATTGGTGTAAAAATATAGTGAATAACCCATATAATATTATGGTAATAAAAGGATACCCAATGAAAGAAAACTATCGCAGACCCAGTGTGAATGATAAGATAGGTGTGAAATATACTCACTGGCTCCAAAAATGATCTGGAGCCCTACTACATTGTTTTGGATAGAAATAATACATCAGACCCTGAGAAACTTTCATGTGCTTCTCATGTTTGATGATGACCATCGACATTTTGAGGGGCCATGGGTTAGCCTAGTGGTGAAAGTATTCGCTTGTTGCACTGTGTCATGGGTTTGATGGGCAATTGTTGGAAGGCTGGTCTTCCCTGGCCTGATATGGCTGATGTATATCCTGATGTGGCTGATGTATATCCTGATGTGGCTGATGTTTACCCTGATGTTTACCTGATATGGCTGATGTATATCCTGATGTGGCTGATGTTTACCCTAATGTGGCTGATGTTTACCCTGATGTTTATCCTGATGTGGCTGATGTTTACCCTAATGTGGCTGTTGTTTATCCTGATGTGGCTGATGTTTACCCTGATGTTTATCCTGATGTGGCTGATGTTTACCCTGATATGAGGTTGTTTATCCTGATGTGGCTGATGTTTACCCTGATGTTTATCCTGATGTGGCTGATGTTTACCCTAATGTGGCTGATGTTTACCCTGATGTTTACCTGATATGGCTGTTGTTTATCCTGATATGGCTGATGTTTACCCTGATGTTTATCCTGATGTGGCTGATGTTTACCCTAATGTGGCTGATCTTTACCCTGATGTTTACCTGATATGGCTGTTGTTTATCCTGATATGGCTGATGTTTACCCTGATGTTTATCCTGATGTGGCTGATGTTTACCCTAATATGGCTGTTGTTTATCCTGATATGGCTGACGTTTACCCTGATGTTTATCCTGATGTGGCTGATGTTTACCCTAATGTGGCTGATGTTTACCCTGATGTTTACCTGATATGGCTGTTGTTTATCCTGATATGGCTGATGTTTACCCTGATGTTTATCCTGATGTGGCTGATGTTTACCCTAATGTGGCTGATGTTTACCCTGATGTGGCTGTTGTTTATCCTGATATGGCTGATGTTTACCCTGATGTTTATCCTGATATGGCTGATGTTTACCCTGATGTGGCTGATGTTGACCCTGATGTGGCCAATGTTTACCCTGATGTTTATCCTGATGTGGTCGATCTTTACCCTGATGTTTACCCTGATGTGGCTGATGTTTATCCTGATGTGGCTGATGTTTATCCTGATATGGCTGATGTTTACCCTGATGTTTACCCTGATATGGCTGATGTTTACCCTGATGTTTACCCTGATATGGCTGATGTTTAACTTGATGTTTACCCTGATGTGGCTGATGTTTACCCTGATGTTTACCCTGATGTGGCTGATGTTTACCCTGATGTGGCTGATGTTTACCCTGATGTGGCCAATGTTTACCCTGATGTTTATCCTGATGTGGTCGATGTTTACCCTGATGTTTATCCTGATCTGGTCGATGTTTACCCTGATGTGGCTGATGTTTACCCTGATATGGCTGATGTTTATCCTGATGTGGTTGATGTTTACCCTGATGTTTTACCCTGATGTGGTCGATGTTTACCCTGATGTTTACCCTGATGTGGCTGATGTTTACCCTGATGTGGCTGATGTTTATCCTGATGTGGCTGATGTTTATCCTGATGTGGCTGATGTTTATCCTGATATGGCTGATGTTTACCCTGATGTGGCTGATGTTTACCCTGATGTGGCCAATGTTTACCCTGATGTTTATCCTGATGTGGCTGATGTTTATCCTGATGTGGCTGATGTTTATCCTGAAGTGGCTGATGTTTATCCTGAAGTGGCTGATGTTTATCCTGATGTGGCTGATGTTTACCCTGATGTGGCTGATGTTTATCCTGATGTGGCTGATGTTTGTCCTGATGTGGCTGATGTTTATCCTGATGTGGCTGATGTTTACCCTGATGTGGCTGATGTTTATCCTAATGTGGCTGATGTTTATCCTGATGTGGCTGATGTTTACCCTGATGTTTACCCTGATTTTTATCTTGATGTGGCTGATGTTTACCCTGATGTGGCTGATGTTTATCCTGATGTGGCTGATGTTTACCCTGATGTGGCCGATGTTTATCCTGATGTGGCTGATGTTTACCCTGATGTGGCTGATGTTTATCCTGATGTGGCTGATGTTTATCCTGATGTGGCTGATGTTTATCCTGATATGGCTGATGTTTACCCTGATGTGGCTGATGTTTACCCTGATGTGGCCAATGTTTACCCTGATGTTTATCCTGATGTGGCTGATGTTTATCCTGATGTGGCTGATGTTTATCCTGAAGTGGCTGATGTTTATCCTGAAGTGGCTGATGTTTATCCTGATGTGGCTGATGTTTACCCTGATGTGGCTGATGTTTATCCTGATGTGGCTGATGTTTGTCCTGATGTGGCTGATGTTTATCCTGATGTGGCTGATGTTTACCCTGATGTGGCTGATGTTTATCCTAATGTGGCTGATGTTTATCCTGGTGTGGCTGATGTTTACCCTGATGTTTACCCTGATTTTTATCTTGATGTGGCTGATGTTTACCCTGATGTGGCTGATGTTTATCCTGATGTGGCTGATGTTTACCCTGATGTGGCCGATGTTTATCCTGATGTGGCTGATGTTTACCCTGATGTGGCTGATGTTTACCCTGATGTGGCTGATGTTTATCCTGATGTGGCTGATGTTTACCCTGATGTGGCTGATGTTTGTCCTGATGTGGCTGATGTTTACCCTGATGTGGCTGATGCTGATGTTTATCCTGATGTGGCTGATGTTTATCCTGATGTGGCTGATGTTTATCCTGATGTGGCTGATGTTTACCCTGATGTTTACCCTGATTTTTATCTTGATGTGGCTGATGTTTATCCTGATGTGGCTGATGTTTATCCTGATGTGGCTGATGTTTACCCTGATGTGGCTGATGTTTATCCTGATGTGGCTGATGTTTACCCTGATGTGGCTGATGTTTTCCCTGATGTGGCTGATGTTTATCCTAATGTGGCTGATGTTTACCCTGATGTGGCTGATGTTTATCCTGATGTGGCTGATGTTTACCCTGATGTGGCTGATGTTTACCCTGATGTGGCTGATGTTTATCCTGATGTGGCTGATGTTTATCCTGATGTGGCTGATGTTTATCCTGATGTGGCTGATGTTTACCCTGATGTTTACCCTGATTTTTATCTTGATGTGGCTGATGTTTATCCTGATGTGGCTGATTTTTATCTTGATGTGGCTGATGTTTATCCTGATGTGACTGTTTACCTTGATGTTTATCCTGATATGGCTGATGTTTATCCTGATGTTTATCCTGATGTTTTAACTTACAAGTCTGAGTGTTTTTATCTTTAAACCTCTCTTGACAAGTATGTGTTAGGAAATAGAGTTGAGCTAAAGATGTGACTCATTATGTATATTTGCCTGACATGTTATCTTTTTTTTTAGTTGGACACATTAAGAAATGTGATGGATTCTGGGGATTGTACAGAGGTGTGTTCCCCAGAGTGGTGTCCGGAACGCTGGGAAATTTGGTCCAGAATGCTGTGATGGAGGTACTCAACTTAACCATGTAGATTGATGTGCTTTATTTCATGTGACTCCTGTACACTTTACATGTCTTAAAACTCCTCCTAAGTGTTATATACCTGAAACTAATCATTAACATTGGACCTACATTTTGATCAAGGAATACTTTGTCAGCTGAAGTTTCAATACTGTGTTGATGTAACCAAACTGTCAGGAATCAAGGGTTCATCCCAGATTTCCATCTGAGTGGCTGCATTATGAATTAGAAAAGCCCAGATATTAATCTGAATTGAGATATATTTCATTCCATGACAGGAATTATTTTGGCTTTAGTAAAGATTTTGGAAGAATATCAGCCCCTGGGAAATGCCAAGATATATCCATGTGACTAGAAGTTAACCTTGTAGGGCCTACAAAGGGTTTGTTGTGTATGTAGGGGGGTTCCCACATTGGCAGCCCGGGGCGTCATCTGGTTTTTGTGATCATCCTATGTTTGTGGGCATCCTATGTTTATTGGATGGATAATATATGAGACCATGGCCTCGCTATACAGAGCGATCTTAGTCCTCAGGTGATTGAAACTCCGATTCTTCTACATAGACTTAAGACTATCATAGTGCTACAATCCTTTAGTGATCAGGGTTCGGCTGATCGTGTCAGTGAAGCCTGGCAGTATAAATTACTGCACATGCAATCAGCCATCAGTCTGCCTGGTGTAGACACAGTCAGGTACAGGCCTGCTTGATATAGCTGAAATGTGCTGATTTTGGTCTAAAGAAACATTCACCCACTCACTATTTGTTAACTTGATGTACCAACAAACCTTTCCATTTGTAGAAATTTAAAGGAATGAATAAAGCTGAAGAAGAGAAGTCAAGTACTGATGATGAACTTGTGACGTGGATTAAAACATTCTGCAAAGAGGTACTTATTAATTCCATCATTTAACATGTAAAAGAAACTTTTCTAAATTCTTTTGTCATTTTTCTTTTAGCTAATAGAATGTACCAACAAGGCTGTGATATTGGTAATTTCCTAAAAGCAGCATATTATTTGTAAAACTTGCATCTCAAATGTTTTATATGTTTTGATAAAAAATAATTATTACTAAAAATTGTTTTTCCCATGTTTTTTTCATCAGACCGCACAAGAAACTGCTGGTAGATGTTTGGGTATTGTAGCAAGTCATCCATTCCATGGTAAGGGAACTCCCTCTGACATCAACATCTTTTTAATTCCAGGGCAGGAAGGTCCCAGCAATCTTCGCATTATCACTTGTTCATTTGTAGGGAGCCTTGAAAATGACAGTTGACAGTGTTGAAAGCCTTAAAAAGGCCATGCATTTTAGTTTTCCATATCTGTTGGAATAAGGGCTGGGACGAGTCCAAAACAATAAACCCGGGTATCCGACCCCCTATTACCCGACCCTACCCGGGTATCAACTGCATGTCTCAACATGCTCAAGAGTCGTGAACAAGATGTCTGATTGGGAACTGTTTCACCGCAGCCCAGGCAGTAACTATTCAGTTATATGCATCAAACGATCTGATCATGCGTACACGGAAGTTGACTGAAGCGTTATCTTAACTCAAACATATGCAAGTCAAAAGGAATGGATGTATCTTCAGAAAGAAATGCGAACATTAGCGACATCTAGTGTAACCACTGAGCTATAGTGAGTGTTTGTCATTTAACAATAATTCACGTGACTAACCACAGGTCCAGGTCGTCCTCATGACCCACTCGACCCGAGTTACCCATCCCAGCCCTAGTATGAACCTTGTTTACAGGCATTGGATGAGTAATATTTGTGTATGCTTTTTCAGTGATTATGCTGAGATGTATGGTGCAGTTTGTAGGCAAAGAAACAGAATATAAGTAAGTACGATCCTTGTTATTACATCTCACTGTCCAAAATAACTGCCTGCCCGTGTCTGGTAACTTTTCTGAAGGGCTGTGTGATATTTTATTCCTCCTCCCTGACTGTCTGGCAGATAATTTTAAGACTCCTTTCACATGCAGTTTTATTCTGACTCCACATAGATTCTCAAATTTTTGTTTGCATTATTTCAACTGAATCAAGACACGATTTGTCTCCTTATTTTTTTTCAATTGTGAATGCGGGCAGGTTACTTTGAAGATGGGCAGACAACATTTATGGGTCACCTGCCCGACTGTCTTTTTGGGTTTTAGAATAATTTCAAACCCTGTTACATCTCCATTTCATTATTATAAATACTCTGGACCCATTCACCACCATTCCATGAAGATCCGCTTTAGAATACGTCTTCAGCACCCCATGCTTGTCATCAGAGGCGACTATGCTTGTCATCAGAGGCGACTATGCTTGTCATCAGAGGCGACTATGCTTGTCATAAGAGGCAAACAACAAACAAACAAACAGACCTGTGTCGCATTATATTGCAATACCCAACCCTAACATTATTCATCAGTGTCATTTCTGTTTCAGTTCCGTATGGTCATCTATAGGAGAGATCTATAGGAATGATGGAATTTGTGGTTTCTTTGCGTAAGTTTCACACAGAGCACACTTAGTTCTTGTGATTAAGAATGATTTACAACAGTTGGTTTCAAGGTGTTTGTAATGTTTTGATGATAACCATTACTTCAGTGAGACTAATGTCTGGTTTAGAATATTTCTAATAATTTCAGGTGATCTACTGAAACGGTTTCTTTGAAATGTTTACACAGACATATATACATGATATACCAACAAATAGACAATACATACCAAAGTGTTCCGCAAAATGTCTAACCGTAACAGGACCCATGAATATCCAGGGTAGAATAGGTCTTCAGCAACCCATGCTTGCTGTAAAAGGCGACTATGCTTGTTGTAAGAGGTGACTAACGGGTTTGGGTGGTCAGGCTTGCTGACTTGGTTGATGCATGTCATCGATCCCAATTATGTCGATTGATGCTCATGATATCAATCACTGGATTGTCTGGTCCAGACTCGATTATTTACAGCAGGGTATGAAACTCCCAAAACTTTCAGCCAGTCCACAGGACTGGCTACCAGAAATACTTGCCAGCCCTGACCAAAACCCGCCTGCCCACTATAATCATGTGTTTCTCAGGATAAGCTTACGGGGTTTCTTTTTGGTTACATTTTATCATTCATCTTTACATGTGAATTAATGCTTATCATCGGGAAATATTTAGAATATTTTCACATATGAAATATAACCCGACCGTCGGGCAGGGGAATTTGAAAATCTGGCAGCCCGAGTTTAAATCAACCCGTCTAGGACGGTCGGGCAGGCAGGTATTTTGAACACTGTTTACAGACCGCTGTCATATAGCTGAAATATTGCTGAGTGCAGCGTTAAAACAACCAACCAACCAAATCTAACAGTAACTGTGCAGGGTTTTCAGGCTCTCTGATATTTGTCAGTGATCTCTGTGGTTTGTGTTGGTGTTCATGCTTTCAGTCACTAGTTTGTCTGGTTGAGAGTTCATCATGTACAGGTGACTGTGATAGGCCTAAAAATGAAAATCTGCCAACATCTCATGATTGAAAACAAGATAAATTAATGTTTAAAATAAAAGAACTGCATTAAGTAAGTTAGAAATAGGGAATGTGAGGAACATTCCTTCACTCAAACCCTAGGAATACAATATGACTTGTAACAGTGTTGCACAACCTTCACTCACTCATTATCCAGGAATTCAACATGACTTGTAACAATGTTGCACAACCTTCACTCACTCATTATCCAGGAATACAACATGACTTGTTACAATGTTGCACAACCTTCACTCACTCTTTATCCAGGAATACAACATGACTTGTTACAATGTTGCACAACCTTCACTCACTCATTATCCAGGAATACAACATGACTTGTTACAATGTTGCACAACCTTCACTCACTCATTATCCAGGAATACAACATGACTTGTTACAATGTTGCACAACCTTCACTCACTCATTATCCAGGAATACAACATGACTTGTTACAATGTTGCACAACCTTCACTCACTCTTTATCCAGGAATACAACATGACTTGTTACAATGTTGCACAACCTTCACTCACTCATTATCCAGGAATACAACATGACTTGTAACAATGTTGCACAACCTTCACTCACTCATTATCCAGGAATACAACATGACTTGTAACAATGTTGCACAACCTTCACTCACTCATTATCCAGGAATACAACATGACTTGTTAAAATGTTGCACAACCTTCACTCACTCATTATCCAGGAATACAACATGACTTGTTACAATGTTGCACAACTTTCATCTACTCAATATCCAGGAATACAACATGACTTGTAACAATGTTGCACAACCTTCACTCACTCAATATCCAGGAATACAACATGACTTGTTACAATGTTGCACAACCTTCACTCACTCATTATCCAGGAATACAACATGACTTGTTACAATGTTGCACAACTTTCACTCACTCATTATCCAGGAATACAACATGACTTGTAACAATGTTGCACAACCTTCACTCACTCATTATCCAGGAATACAACATGACTTGTTACAATGTTGCACAACTTTCATCTACTCAATATCCAGGAATACAACATGACTTGTAACAATGTTGCACAACCTTCACTCACTCATTATCCAGGAATACAACATGACTTGTTACAATGTTGCACAACTTTCATGTACTCAATATCCAGGAATACAACATGACTTGTAACAATGTTGCACAACCTTCACTCACTCATTATCCAGGAATACAACATGACATGTTACAACGTTGCACAACTTTCATCTACTCAATATCCAGGAATACAACATGACTTGTTACAATGTTGCACAACCTTCACTCACTCATTATCCAGGAATACAACATGACTTGTAACAATGTTGCACAACCTTCACTCACTCATTATCCAGGAATACAACATGACTTGTTACAATGTTGCACAACTTTCATCTACTCAATATCCAGGAATACAACATGACTTGTAACAATGTTGCACAACCTTCACTCACTCATTATCCAGGAATACAACATGACTCGTAACAATGTTGCACAACTTTCACTCACTCATTATCCAGGAATACAACATGACTTGTTACAATGTTGCACAACTTTCACTCACTCATTATCCAGGAATACAACATGACTTGTTACAATGTTGCACAACCTTCAATCACTCATTATCCAGGAATACAACATGACTTGTAACAATGTTGCACAACTTTCACTCACTCATTATCCAGGAATACAACATGACTTGTTACAATGTTGCACAACCTTCACTCACTCATTATCTATTAATACAACATGACTTGTTACAATGTTGCACAACCTTCAATCACTCATTTTCCAGGAATACAACATGACTTGTTACAATGTTGCACAACCTACACTCACTCATTATCCAGGAATACAACATGACTTGTTACAATGTTGCACAACCTTCACTCACTCATTATCCAGGAATACAACATGACTTGTTACAATGTTGCACAACCTTCACTCACTCATTATCCAGGAATACAACATGACTTGTTACAATGTTGCACAACTTTCATCTACTCAATATCCAGGAATACAACATGACTTGTTACAATGTTGCACAACCTTCACTCACTCTTTATCCAGGAATACAACATGACTTGTTACAATGTTGCACAACCTTCACTCACTCAATATCCAGGAATACAACATGACTTGTTACAATGTTGCACAACCTTCACTCACTCAATATCCAGGAATACAACATGACTTGTTACAATGTTGCACAACCTTCACTCACTCATTATCCAGGAATACAACATGACTTGTTACAGTGTTTCACAACCTTCACTCACTCAATATCCAGGAATACAATATGACTTGTTACGATGTATTACAGTGGCATTGCACCCAGACTAGTGGGAGAGGTGATTACGGTCTGGATAACCAACTTCCTTGCACAGTTAGTGAACAAGTACTTAGTAGAGGACAAGGTAAGGCAAAAACAGTCCCCATGGGGATTCTGGGTTAGAACTGGTCCTCAGCAAACTATGCTTTCCGTAACAGAGGACTAGGTGGATAATATGGTCAGACACTTTGACTTCGCTGATTGCGTGTCAGTGTAGAATCTATCCGACGATGTTGCTGATAATAGCAATCATTGGTTTGTCTGGACATCAAACTTATTATTAACAAACTATCAACATATTAGCGTTGTGAGTTACACAACAAACAAACCAAGGTATCAGTATAATGTCAACCACACACTCATAGCCTACTCATACCTCTTGGATCACAGGGTCAAGATGTGATGATGTGGATGTCCTGCTGATGATGTTGATCATATGCTGAATTTCATAGTAGCCTTGATTAGGCAGTGAAAAACTGAACAAAATGTTTCTCATCATGATGGGTGTCATTTAAGATAAGTTGTGTAAGCAATCTTCATACCTAGGAGTCAATAAGTTTGGGTTTTGTCTGGTAAAAATATATGGTTTAACATTAGTAAGTATCCAGATTTTCTGCTTTTTCACAGAAGAAATTATCCATCTTGCCTTGCCTAAAGTAGAAACACTATATCCCTATATAGAAATATTTGTGCTTTTTACATATTTATGTTTTAAGTTTGAATAATTTTGAAATTTTGATATATGGTTTAAATATCACAGCTTAAGAAGGTTTCAAGGTGTTTGTAATGTTTTGATGATAACCATTACTTCAGTGAGACTAATGTCTGGTTTAGAATATTTCTAATAATTTCAGGTGATCTACTCAAAAGGGATCTTTGAAATGTTTACACAGACATATATACCAACAAATAGACAATACATACCAAAGTGTTCCGCAAAATGTCTAACCGTAACAGGACCCATGAATATCCAGGGTAGAATGGGTCTTCTATTTCTCTAAGTTCTAGTTACAAAGTAGACAAAAGTTTATGGGAAACAACTTCTTTATTATACTGTCAAGTACAACTGACACTGTTCTAAGGATCTGTACCAAAACGCCGCTATTACAGTATAATAAAAAAGTTGCTATCCATGATGTATTTGACTAATTTCTTAGAAATGCCTATCTAACAGTTCCAGTTCCAGTTGTATGTTTGCTGTTATATGTCTGGAATACAGGGTTGTTGATGTCATAGTGTTTATTATTCTGACATTCAATTTCAGGACATGAAGTCATATACTGCTGCAGCATGTGGGGTGAGTAGCAGATAGAATACAGGGTGGCCAGGGAGCCTAGTGGTTTTAGTGTTCACTTGGCCTGCTGAAGCCTCAGTTTCAATTCCCCACCTATTTCTGGCTTCCCCCGACCCGTGAAGATCTGGGTTAGAATAGGGTTTCAGCAACCGATGTTTGCCGTAAGAGGTGACTAAAAGGATCGGGTGGTCAGGCTCACTGACTCAGTTGATGCATGTCATCGTATCCCAATTGCGTGGATTGATGTTCATGATGTCAATCACTGGATTGTCTGATCCAGATTCGATTATTTACAGACCGCCGACATATAGCGTGAATATAGCTGAGTGCGGCGTAAAACAACAAACAAACAAATAAAATGTTTCTACCAATGGTTTTGTTTAAAACCACACTAACTCACACATTTATTATACATATGTGTATTTATTTATTTAATGAACAAAGTGTTAAAATTACATATTTTAAATGATTACTGGCAGTGGAATCTTTTGGTCATTCCAACACGTTCAGTTTCCCTGATAGAGCTACTTCACGTTTATTACCATCTTATAACCCATTGTGGGAATTAGTGGTTAGATGACAAAATGGACCAGGTGGTCAGACTCGGGTGACTTGGTTGATAGCGTGTCATCATAGTCCGACTACATGGGACATTGCTCATTATATCAATCTCTGGTTTCTCTGGTCTAGACTCGATCCTGCTGAGCACCTGGAGTACAACAAAGTACAGCATTGTAAATAAATAAACAAACAAATAAACATGCTGTCTTGTTTCAGCTGATCGTGTCTCACCTGACATATCCCTTCACTCTGGTCACAAACATCATGGCAATCAACGGCTCAGGGTAAGTGGAGTAGTGGGGATCCAGGCTGGTACTCGCCCCAGTCAGTTTGTCCATGTGTTAATGGTATCCCAAGGGCTAGTATGTCAGGCTTGTCAGGAAGTGGCCTCATGTGTTACACTGTAGAAGCCAAGTTGTTGGGATATGTGGTACTTGGCTAGTACTGCACACAAGATGAACATGTCATCTGAACGAGTGGCCTGACAAAGGGGATACTGTAAATCTGGAAATTAATGTGTCTCCAAATGAATATGACTGCTGACCCCTAGCCAAAATTGCGACTCACTATCAATGCGACTCCCCCCACCCCATCCCCAGTGGAATGATATATATCCTTACCTAATTCCAATCAAACAGCAAATAGCCCCGCTTATTAGCACTGAGTAAAACACTTCCGTAAAAACAATAAAGTGTTTTCCTAAACATGCTAAAAGCAACACACTGTTTATATGTTTACTCTGTTCACTGGTATTAAGGATGTTCAAAGGCAATAACTTGAATAACATAACTGAACCAACAACATGTCACTGATTGGCATGCAGAGAAGGTGTCAACAAGCTTGACACGAGTGGGTAGAACTCTTGACCCCAGCAGTGATAACTCACCGGATGCCTATTCTGTTATTCCTATTCTTTGAATGACATTGTTATATACTTGTTACAACTGCTGCTCAATAAACCGTGTTTGTGTCTATATTCAAGCTGGTTCTTCCGCTATCCAAAGTGTGCAGTGAGGCCGTCTTATTGTTGATAGTCATTTGGGAGACATAAATGCGAAGTTAATTAATGCGAGCAACATGAGCAAAGACCACTCGCAATTTTCGCATTTAATTCATGCTCGCGTTAATTTCAAGATTTACAGTATTTGCATTATTGGCACAAACATAAGTAAAAATATGAACTTGGAAAGCTCATGATATGAGTGTAATGTGTTGTTTGACAAGATGAACCAAGCATCAAATTTATTTCAAACTTTTATCCGAAGCAGAAAAGGTCCGGAGCTCCTGATGCTCCTCTAAGAGTGGACTAAAATGAGGATGTCTCCAAACTGCATTAAGTCACTGAATTATTTTGACAGGTTTCATTTTCTAGTTTATTCTTACAGTGTGATAATCCAGTACAGATCCTAGTGTTAATTGATAAAGATTCTGGCCTACATTCATTGAAAGACTGAGAGAGAAGTCAGTCCTGTCTTTATTATTATGACAATATGGTGGTGACAATGGTTTGAGTGTATCTTTTCTCATGCTGTCAACCTCTGGTTTACCCGGCCAAGGAATATTACAGAGTGCTGTGATTCAGCTTGAATATTGATGACTGGAGATAAATGCCCGCACTCACTAATTCCACTTGTTTGTTCCAGTCTTCAGGCTACTGGCGGGAGAGTCTATGGAAGCTGGTTTGAGTGCTTCGGTCACTTGAGAAGACAGGTGAGATGATGCTACATCTTGTAGTCACTTGGCATCCTCGTCATCAAAGTAGTGATAACACTGACATGCTTTGATTGGAGGATTTCTTAGGGAGGACATGATTGTTAGGATCAGCAATTTCAGCCGAAATCTTATTGTACCATTAGCTACGTTGGAGAATTTCAGCTGCTGCCAACCACTGTCCAGAGTAACAGTTCAAACAAAATATTCAGGCTAGTGCAGTTGGGCTAGCATATTTATCAAGTGGTGCATCTCGCTTGTTGATGCAGGCATGAATGATGGACTCGTTAGTCTTTCAGTAGGCTATGCAGGATGTTAAAGACATATTTCTAGCATAAAAATAATTCCAGAAACTATTTCTCTATTGTGCTTGTGGCTCAAATCCCTGCGTAAAATCTTGTAAATTTTCCTTGAGGATTTTGGGGCATAGTAAGCCCTCAGTACCCAATTTGTTTGGTAAAAGCTAATGAGATGAATCAGAATCGAAAGGTTACAATATGTGGCCCTGGCTGTTTGTGTGTCATCTTTCATGGATTGTCTGCTTAAATATTGCTGACTGCGGTGAAAACCATAGATGCTCAATCATTCAATTGATCACCTAATCATCACTGAATGACCCGTGAAGATCTGGGGTAGAATAGATCTTCAGCAACCCATGCTTGCCGTAATAGGCGACTATGTTTGTCGTAAGAGGCTACTAATTGGATCGGGTGGTCAGGCTCGCTGACATAGTTGATGCATGTCATTGTGTCCCAGTTGCATAGATTGATGCTTATGATGTCACTCACTGGATTGTCTGGTCCAGATTCAATTATTTACAGACGGTTGTCATATAGCTGGAATATTGCTGAGTGCGGCGTTAAACAACAAACAAACAAACAAACAAGCAAACATCACTGAACACTCTGCATCTTCTTCTAACCACAGGGTGCCCTGAAGCGAGGCTCCAGTATGTTCTGGCGGTACTACCAGGGACCAATGATTCTGATGGATGGGAAGCCCTACCCTGCCAACTCCAGGTTCCTACAGTGAGACGCCCTCATGCCGACCTCCCCCACACACAGACAGCATAATGAGGTGGAGGACTCAACCATATTTTTGTAAAATTGGCCCTTGTAACAAACATAGACAAACCCTGTAAATAGCATGTAGCATCCATTGCTCATTTTCATTTGATGATGTGTATGTGACTCTGGAGTTTTGGGATGATAGGGATAAATGATAGACATATGAATGGTTGTTTGAATCGTCAAGTCTGTGTTGCCAGACCTGACATTGTGACTGTTCAGCATGAAACGACATGACCATGTATCTGACATGCGACTGTCAACTTGACCCTTTTCGACCTGACCTGACCTTGATACAATGAAACCCTGTTATTCTGGACAGAACCTTTCCCAGTAGAATTGTCTGGATTGATAAATTTCCAGATTAACAAATCATTGCTAAGTGGTAATGTGCCTTTAACCATACAGATACTTACCAACAGTAATTGTCCAAATTTCTGGGATCCACTGTGTTTCGTTGTAATAGAATTTATAACCAACCTGGCATCTGCTTAACTCTGCTGACTTTCACACCAACCACTGGATATTTTTCAGTAGTCTACAGAAAGATTATGGATTAAAAGGGTGCATAATTTCCTAGTTGCCAGGCTTTCAGGATAACATGACCGCTATACCTGACATCATTCTGTGTTGATTTGTCATTGATTGTACATAATTTAACATATTTCCTATTTGGACAAAGTCTGTATCATTTTCTACTATATTTGTTTGGAATTCACATCATTCAGCTCCTTGTATGTTTAAACCCTTCAACAGAGTCAGTTTGGGCAGAGTGAGAGACGTGACCTGTTGGGATGTTCCAGATGTTATAAAGATCAGAACATTAATGTGAATACGGGAATATAGTAATAAGAATATAGGAATACAGTAATGAGAATGCAGTTTTAAGAATACATTATTCATTGTACAGTTATTGTAACAACTAGTTCGTAATGATATCATGTCTTATGATATTATAGGAGACTAAATAAACAAACCAAAACAATGAAAGTCAATATCATCTTTCTCATGTCAAGAGTCTTTAGAGAACAGGGAAATAAGGTAATTTTAAAACTTGAAGCACTGTTGCAATTCAACATGTACTAATATTTTCATATTGAGTGAGTTTATTGGTAGCTCAGTGGTCAGTGCATTCACTCTGCATGCCTAATACCTGGGTTTGATTCTCCACCTGTTTATAACCATACTCATTGTTAAGTCCTACCTTACCATGTGAAATGTGCTGAGGAAACAGAAGCGACATTATAAGGCCTTACCACTAACATTATGTATGGGGAAGCACTGGAGACAATGAGACAACGGAGCAAGAGTGGGTGTGATAAGACCATTGTTATATATCAATGATATGAGGCATTGTGCGATAGAGTGAACATGGAAACAGTCATATCAAAAGGGGTGTAATAACCAGACCTGTATTATATCCCCTGCCGGTCTGATATGGCTTATCAATGCATTTTCAATGGGCTATCGATATCAGCCTGGAGGTAAGAAATTAGAGTTACCTCCCTTAGTGCATATGTGGTCTGCTCAGCTAGCTTTCCCATGACAATGACTTCCAAACAAGGTGAAAATGTTCTGCATTCACTTGCAAATAGATACATTGTACAATTTTATGTTGTGGTATATCATAAAAAGTGACCCTTCTTATACCTATAGTCCCAAACTTTATGAAGGTACCCAGAGCGGATCCAGGGTAGAGGTGGGGTGGGGGGCGCTTTTTGCAGCAGTGCCCTTCCATTCTTTTTTAATGCTTACTTTAAATCTGTTTATACTCAGTTTAGTTTTCTAGGTAATCTTGTATACAAGTATAAATGTATATGATAATATAACTATAACTATAAATACTATAACTAACTCATTAACAGAAGTAACATGACTACTAAACACAAATTGCTTGGCACATTGTTTGCTTACATCAAGCCCTTGTATAACTTCTTTGAGTGGCATTTAGAAGTTGGAATGGTAACTAAGACAAAATTGTTATGGATGAGCAACTTCTTTATTACAATTGGGCGACGTTTCGGTGTAGATTCTAACACCGTTATCAAGCAAATGATCAAGCCCTTGTATGACAACTCCTGATAACAAAATGCACCCGTCAGTACCAAAAGTCTGTTAATGTTTGTCAGTGTTAATAAGATATTTGACTGATGTTAAAGAATGATTATACTCTCACTGAATATTGATGATATTTATGTTGGTATGAAATAGATTCTATGGACTGTTAACTTTCAGTGTGACAGTACTTATGGTTGTGTGTTAAGTCTTTGACATTACATGTATCTTTATGAGTTCATCTTCGTTGTGAGAGCTGAGGAACAAAACACAGAGGTTGACTACCTCAGTTCCCAGATGTTTCTGCACACTTGCTACTGCTTGACTTCTCTGTTAAAATACATATCATATTTGAAAGTAGTTTTGTCATGTTTCAGGGTCCAGAAAAGTACCAACACATATTTTACCAAATTAGAAATGATGGCCTATTTGTTTAAGCTTATTTGCTTCCATTTACTAATCTACTAACTGCAGTGTGGTTTATTTGTTGTTAGAATTTTTGTTATTTTACGCCTTAGTGTTTCTTATAATTTAGATAATCAGCTCTCTGGTCATGAAAGGCTCCGAGCTGGTCCTCACAACATCCAGGAGGGGGCAACTCCTTTTACAGGTAGTTGTTTGGAAGCTTCATCATGTGACTATTGATGCAATGATGCCAGAATCCTGTTTTATGATGTACGTGAAGGGTTCTGTTGTTGAAGTACAAGGTATGGCTTTAGTTGATGTGTTTGTGGTAGATACTAATCAGCTACATTTTCTGTACCAAACTTGATCCCATCAGTCTAGTAAACTTCTTTTCAGTCGAGTAAGCACTGCTAACAATAGTATGTACTGAAAATGATGCTAAGAGTCAAGATTGGTCAAGTAGACTCCAACGATTTGGCAGACTGAACAAGTATTGAGAATGCAAACACAGGAAGGCTTGTTTGAAGTCACTTGGTTTACAGAATTTTTCTAAATCTACCGGAACAGTGGTCAAAGTTTAGAAACAAAAGTGATTTTCGTTAGTTGATATAAAAATAAAGAACATAGTTTTTATTGTGAAATGTCAAAGGTATTTGCCTTCCTACACTGACCTACTTCAGAGTTGTTTGTAATTACTGAAAATTGTTATCGTATGAGTTTGGAAGACTGAAGTGACATTGGTAACTAGTTAAGCTAGTTAAAAAACAATTTGAAATCTAGTATTGCAGCTTATATTTTCAGTTTCGATTTTCATATTGCTTTATAAGGATACAGGCTGTGTGAAGTAATAGACTCTGTCCTTAGGCAGTATGTATAGTTTCGCTTGCGAAGTATAAATCTGCATTACTAAGCTGCAACAACAAATGCTAGAAATTAGATTATGATTATTCTGAGAGCCCTTGATTGAAATCGTAGCTTGAGAGGAGACACATAGAGGAGTGTTTTGCTGCTAGAAGAAAGTGTTCCCAGATGTGTTATGACTTCCATGATGTATATGTACAGATGGTTGGAAGATTAGTAATAATATACGTGTATTCCTTTAATGATCCTTTCTTACTGGAATAAAGCCAGCAGTAAAACCATGGTCACTTGTTGATGTTTAATTCAATAATGAATCAAAGTTGTTCTTTCACAAGCATGCCAGTTATCTTGGGAGTACAAGCTGTGTCTCATAACCATGCCACTACAAGTTGATACAAGTTGATATCAGAATTGTTTTAAAGGAGCAGCCCAGAGATACGGTTACCACAGCTGTGCCAGGGATGTTGACAAGGCACAGGTGGCCTGGAAATCTGAGGCATGGCAATTTACTTTGTGTAGTTACATCTCTTTGACATGCAAGAATCCTATATGTCTTGCGAATCCCAGATCAACATGATCCCGATTTTGGTTTGTCAGCACAATACATATGCTTGTGGCTAATATCAGTGTATAGTGATTGTATAACCTGCACCATTCACTTATATGGCCGGAACATGGCTCAAACTCAACCTCAGCTCATTAACACTGTGAAAGTACTAAGGGAAATAACTCTTCCAATTTATCATAACTGAAATAGGAAATTAATTATGAATTGAAAAGGATTTTGTCAACCTATAGTCCACAGTTTAGTCTTTTGGGCAAATCGCCAGGCAACCAAAGATGTCCAGTGATGAATTTTGCAGTGTGTAAAACATTCCTTACACATTTTAAGCCCTGCATGGTTGTCCATGGCAGGATGACAATGATTCCATCCTTCCAATTCTGTGGGGGTTCCAAACGTCCTCGTTAGATCTGACTAAAAGAGGATCGGATTTTGTCATACCCTGACAGTTCACATTGTTTCTCGTGCTATCAACCATTGGTTAGCGTGGCCTGTGTTTACGTATTTACAATCCACGGTGACAGTTTTGCAGAAATGCTGCTGGCAACTAGTTGACTTTCCACCAACCTTCATGAGACTAGGATCATTGGTGGCAGAGTGGTTGTTAGCCCAACCAAAGTCTGTTGGTATGGGGGCACGGGGGCCCAGTTGTCTAAGGCGCCGTGATTCACTGTGCAGATTTGCGTCCCTTTGGGACGCCAGAAACCTATGATTGTGGGTTCAAATCCTGGTTCGCCCCGATTATGTTTCTAGGTTTGTCACTCAATTGTCAGAACCATAACCGTGCTCATGGGTTTCACCAAAGTGGTAAATGTCCGAGACCTGCATCACTTCGGTCTTACCTCTCACATTTAGCTGAGACCTGCATCACTTCGGTCTTACCTCTCACATTTAGCTGACAAACCGTGATATAACTGGAAAACTGTTCAAAGCAGCATTAAACCCAACTCACTCACTCACTCACTGTTGGTATGGTAGTGGGTTCGAATATCAGACTCTTCTCTGTTTCTGATCCTTGGCCGCCTTTGTGGTCTAGTAGTAGAGCATCTGCCCAGAGAAGGGACGCGGGTCAGATCCCCAGGCCGTGCCATACCAAAAGACTTTAGAAGATGGTACTTGTTACCCTGCCTGGCGTTGAGTGTTCAGGGGCTAAAACATAGACTGGTCGGTTTGGAGTCAGTATTTTGTGTCTGAGTTGGGTATACATGTTTAACTGTGGCATGGTATCTCAGTGGGCTAGCACTATATAATCAGCATTCCTCCCACTAGTACTAGCAGCCAAACATGCATATGTATGAAGGAGACCTTAAGCCCCATTTCACCTTACCTGTATGGTAGTGGGTTCAAATCTCAGATTCTCCCTGTTTATGATCCTTGGCCTGTCGGCTCCATGTCCATGCTGTCATTAATTGAACTCCACATTACACAAAACTGTTCAAAGTGACATCAACACAACTCACTAAAAATTAGGCTGGGTTGCAAGCAGATCAATTGTCGGCAGACTACCGACAGGGGTGACAAGATTTTGACCAATAAATGATTTCATTAAATCTATAAAACCATCATTAGTCAGGTTTAATGCAAGCAGACACGACCTGTGAAGATCCGGGTTAGGAAAGGTCTTCAGCAACCAATGCTTGCCATAAGAGGTGACTGACCCGGGTCGTGAGGCTTGCTGACTTGTTTTCTGCATAACATCGCATACCAATTGCGTGATTTGACGCTCATGATATCAAACACTGGAGTGTCTGGTCCAGACTCGATTGTTTACAGAACGCCGTCACATAGCTAGAATATTGCAGAGTGCGTCGGTTAACCAAACAAACAAGCAGACACACACATGCATGCACATCGCTATTTAAGTGCAATAATCCTGAAGGCAATGGTAAACCCTATTTCATCTTACCTGTAGATGTCAATACATCTCGTCAAAAATATGGCACCACCAAATTTGAAGTGTAATTTTCATTGAAGAGATTTTCAAATGGTACACTGTGTGTTGACACATCATCTGCCTGTAGAATGGTAGCCACCTAGCTTAACCTGGTGGGTGCGTTTCTGCCATCTTCCCGAGACAAGGGAGTTAACTGACAGTCCAGTTTCCACATTTAGATCCAGTTAACTCCCTTGCCTCGTGAAGATGGGTTATGCGAGCCGTATGCACACCAAAAGGGTCTTAATAGAGACATTCATATCTGCTGACAGAAAGTTCTTTACTGCTATTAAGTTTGAATGAAAGTTCCACCATTTTGATAGTCTGTCTTTGGAACGACTGTAACTGAAATGCCTTAGCGTACTATCCCAGAAAATCAAAGATGGCAAATCATTGGCATGCACCAAACTTAATGTCGGCCTATTTCCCGTATAAACATTAATCATCCTGTAATCAGTCGACTCATTAGAAAACACATATTGACTGGACATGTGAGGGACTTGCCGAGATCAGGACGTCCACGGAACACCAGTGCCAGAGAGGACAGGGTCCTTGTACGCCAGGCAAAACAGCTGCCAACTTCAACTTGCACTGATCTTCGCCATCACTGGCATTTCCAGAACAGAGTGTTCCTTATCACCATCAGGATTAGGGGCTAGAAGACCAATAAAACGCCCTCCTCTCACCCCAGCATATGCAGGACCGTTTAGCCTTATGTCAGGTTCGAGCACTCTAGAATTTGAGGTCATGGAGAAGGATTCATTGGTATGACGAGAGTCGGTTTCTATTGCACCACACTTATGGTAGGACCCGTGCCTGGAGGCAAAGGGAAACATCTTATCACCAGCGCAACATCAATGGCTTGAGGCGGCGGCTCAGTGGTGATATGGGGATGTTGCTTCTTTGATTGTAAACTTTATTTGATCAGGGGACATTAAATGGACAAAGGTACCAAGATATCATATTGGACGGTTTTGTTGTGCCTCATTTTGATAACTGAGCACTTGGCACACGCCCTGTCTTCATGGACGACAATGCCCGACCCGACCGAGCACGAGCAGTGAATGGCCATTTCAAAGAATTGACCCAGCCATTGCGTCAGGAATGGCAACACATCCCGCAGTTGAGGATCAGGCGTCTGATTTTGAGCATGATGAGACGTCTTGTGGATGTGATCGGTGTTCGGGGTGGCTACACCTGATATTGACTTACACTGTTGTTCATTTAACTGTGACATGGGTACAACGTTACTAACACACGTTCGTGTTGATCTGTCCATCTCATTACAGTCACCATACTTATACTGACTCCTTTTATTAAGCTACACCCTCCCCCCTAACACACACACGCACGCACGCACGCACACACGTCAAGTGACAGAAACTTGAACGTGACATTAAACTCACCTCACCACCCCTTCACCAGATGAATTCCGAGCCATAACTTGAAAACCGTTTAACATTTTTTACCAAACAGCACATATGCTTTGGTCATCAGCTTAACTGGTGCCTTTTTGATAATTTTGAAAATTTTATTTTTTAATGTTTTCATAGAAATAATTTCGGCTAAGTCTCAAACGAGAGTTGGCTTAATTTTCGGACCGTATCTTGAAAACCGTTCAACATATTTCAACAAAACTTGGGATATGCATTGCTCATCAACTTCAATTGTCCCTTTTGCTATTTATTAATTTGTTTCTAAAGTTTATTTTCTTACGTTTCTATCGAAACTATTGGACTATTGGTCTCAAACAATTCTAGGCTTTGTTTCCGAGCCACAACTCTCAAACTAACGAATATATCTGCATGAAACTACACATGTGCATTGACCATATGCTCAATTACTGCCTTTTCATATTTTTTATATTTGTATTATTTTATTTATTGTGCTTAGAATAGAACCAATTTGGACTAAGTTTCAAACATGTAGCATTTGTTTCGCGCCACAACTCTGCATTTAATGAATATTTCTGCATGAAAGCATTATCTTTCTTGGCTATATAATTTGTAAGTATTGTTTTTCGGACTTGCAAACACATTTACAGTAACAACTTGAACTAATATATACACTATTACAGTCGTTGTATTAAGTACTGGTGTCGACTATTCAGATTACATGAAACAAGATATCCGTATGTATGTTACCTTATGTTAAAATCATTTGACGAAAATGGTCAAACTAACTGGGTTTCTTATATGAGACAATTATTGTTTCAAACCGGGTTTTCATATGTGTGGTTGTCTCAGGATTACGGCGATATGAAATGCTTCATGGTTAAACCCAAATAACTCAAAAGATATAGAATTTCAAAACTGGCATTACAAAATCACAAATTCTTCTTTCCTTGAAGTTTATTCATCTTATAAATCACTACTCGAACCAGAAAAATATCTGTCTACTTTAGCATGTGAAAGAGATCTTCTTTGAGCTTTATGTAAATACGGTTGTTTAAGCCATAATCTAAATGTACAGAAAACTCGATGTAATACAACCAGAGAGTCATCGTTTAGTTTATGTATGAAATGTAACCGCTATGAAATAGAAAATGAATACCATTTTTTGTTAATTTGTCCTTTTTATAAAAGTAGTAGAGAAAATTTTGTTCCAAAATGTTACCATGTGCAACCATCTGTCCCAAAATTTGTCCGTCTTCTATCTACCAGAAACGATTGTATTATTAAAACCTGTCCATATATTTAAAAAGACATTTACCTATGTAAATACAAATGTCAAAAGATAAACGTTTGTTGTAAGAAAATTTGTGCATGTGCATAGCATATATTATTCCTGTAAATGAACTCTGGGCCATGTGGCCTTCATTCATTAAATAAACTTCTTCTTCTGAACTAATATATCGAAAAAGGAGGGGGAGACACGTGTTTTTCAGTAAGAACACGTTCTAGTCCCCAGTTACAATTCCTTTTAGTTTCTGGCAAATAAAGTGTGTGTTTTTTCTTCTAAATGCTCACTGTCCCTATTATAAATACTCTAAATATTGCTGGTTGTCCCAGGAAACGAAACACCTTTAATGAATTCAGACCCCGGCATTATGCATGAGCTTAATTTTATGCCGGTTAAACGAGTGACACATTTTTTTGAAATGATATTATCAATTGCTCTTCATTTATTGAAGAATGCTGCGTAACAGGCAAACTGAAATAATAATTCATATTTAGTCAAAGGACCACTGGTGACTTTGACCTTGAACGGATGTTAGTGTAGATTTAATGGTCACTGTAAATATCTTGTATGTCCAGTTCTTAAAAAACGAATCTGTCAAAATGATGGTCAGAACAATTTTGATGCTCAGTTTGGGGGGCATAGGCCAGCCGATTATATTCCCGAAACATCCCCAGAAAATGTACTTATATTATATACTCATTTCTTTCACCTGTTATGTGTATGGGTGTATGCTTTTATATGTTTGTTAGTATATCAGATGCATTTAGACTTGAATTGAAACAAGAAGGCTTGGGTTGCGTAATTTTGCTTGAATACTACACCTGGGGAGCTGGCTGCCTGAGCGGGTTAAGTAATTATGTCACAAGTGAAGCTTGTAGCTAATCAGCATTATAGTATAAGGTTGGGGTGATTCAAAAATAGTTAGGTTTTTCTGCTTCTTGGGTGTTGGCCAGACCTGTATTTTAACCTCCTCGTTTTTAATGTTAAAGTTCAGAACACTGTGTGAGAGAGTGTATCCCATGTCGGGGCTTGTGAAACTGAACTAGAAATCATGCTGATATTTGCAAATGTGTGCCTTGGAAAACTTGCATTGTGAGCTTATGTGCAACTATGGATACATGTGTGTTCGTGGACCAAGGAGTGGAGTGAACAATCAAACATGGAAATCAGGGTGACTATATAAGTATACAATTTGCTGTAGCCCTTTGATGGTGATATTATTTGTACATGGTAGCCCAAGCCTAATTCTCCCATAGTAAACTTAGCTGTATTGGCAATCTATCATGCATTGTTAATAAATATCTGTCTTAATTGTTGTGCGATCCTTTAATTGTGCGAATGGATTTGGAGTGTACCCCTTCGTTCCACTTCCACTCGTAACAAATTGGGGGCTCGTCCATTTCTTTAAAGGGAACTATAATTAAGCGGGAAGCAAATTTGCAATTGTGTGTTAAAAGCAATACAAAAGTAAAAAAAGATAAAGTATTTGCTATATATTGGCAAACATCTTTGGGAGAGCACAACAATGTTGTTTTGTATATCATAGGTACTTCAATAACACATGTGTATAATAGTGCAACATGGGTTTTGTAATTATTGAGTTTGTGAAATCTATGACCAGAGCTAAAATTCTCAACCTCCCAAAAGCAGATTTGTTTGTATTAGCTGATTATTTCAGTATTGATGTTGATAAGGCAGCTAAGAAAGGTATTATTCAAAATGTGATATTGGATGATTTAGCCAACAAGGAATTGATTAGAATGGATAGTACTTCGGAGGGGTATGATGATGGGAGAACTCATCAGACACAATTTGACCGAGAAATTGAGTTGTTAAAATTTCAAAGTTTAGAGAAAGAACGAGAATGGGAGTTTGAATTAGAGAAGCAGAGATTGGATTGGGAGGAGAGAGAGCGTGAGAGACAATTTCAGTAAGAAAAGTTAGATCGTGAGAGACGGAATGAGTTAGACAAGATCGGAGCTGCTCATCAGCATGTGGATGTTTCTAAATTCATTAGGTTTGTGCCTCGTTTTCGGGAAAGTGAAATAGATACATATTTTGATCATTTTGAGAAAACGGCAACACATTTGAAATGGCCTATAGAGTGTTGGACTACTTTGTTACAAAGTGTGCTAGTGGGTAAGGCTCATGAGGCTTATGCAGCTTTATCTTTTCGGTGATAGTGCAAGTTATGAGTTGGTCAAGGATACTATTTTGAAGACATATGAGTTGGTGCCAGAAGCGTACAGACAAAAGTTCAGGAACTACAAAAAATATGATAACCAAACGTTTGTTGAGTTGGCCATGGCCAAAGAGACTGCATTTGATAGATGGTGTACATCTAAGAAGGTCGATAGACAGTATGATAATTTGAAACAGTTAATCCTGGTTGAAGAGTTTAAAGGTGTAGTTCTACTGAGATTAAAGTGTATTTGGATGAACACGGTGTAAACACTTTGAGTGAAGCAGCTAGATTGGCAGATGAGTATGCACTTACTCATAAGAGTTCGTTTTCACGAAATTTTCAATCTAGTTGGAGTTAGAGAATAACTGCCTGTTTCTGGTGTGGATCTTCTGTTGGGGAATGATTTGGCTGGAGGAGAGGTTAAGGCTCATGATTCAGTTGGTCGGGTGGACCCAATTGTTTGTGAGGAACCTACCGTTTGTGCAGATGTAGTGGGTAACAATATTTCAGAGACAGATCAGAGTTTCTAATTCAGCGTAAATAATCAACCCAGACAGACAAGCATGGGTGACCACTTATATCCGATCGTCTTTAGTCACTTTCTCAAATATTTTTCACCAAAAGACTTTTGATATAAGGAACTGACTCTTGCATTATTTTGAATAAATATTTTCTTCAATCTTCATAAGCACCGCCATGTCACGTTTACCTGAAAGAGACTTACTTCCAATATCGCTAACGATTGTCATTGATGTTGCGTGATAATTTACGGGTCTTCGTGTGAACGAGTTGACTAGTTTCCTTTCCGCCAGGCTCCGTCTCTACATGTTACAAAGTTGACGCAGCGCACAGAGAGTCTGCAACCAGCAAGTACATTTTATTTAAATGTAAGTTTTATTTTGCGGTTATGATTGAAATAATGTTCCACTGGACGTAGAGGCATATTTCCATTCGTGAATGCAAAAAATGTTTTGGCTAAAATCTATTTCCGGTGTTGCTACGGTAACGGTTCAAAACAAGTTCAAGACCCGGCTCCTACGATTCTTCGTTGACAGAAGTGTATCGTTGCTATCTCAGTTGTTATTTTAACAGATTTCAGAGACCTGTTTGAGTTCAAACATCTTCTTGTTTCTGCAGATAGGTTTGTAGATGTTATTTTGTATGAAATCCTTTTGTTTTCTCCCGAAATGTCTCTGGATTTGTCTTTGTTGGCATTGTAAACAAAACAGGCCATCTTTGACAACCAGCAAATATTCAACATTTTTAGTCACCTTTTGATTACGTTTTCCTTTAGATTAGTGTTGACTTATCTATTCCTTCATTTACCAGCTTGTTTGCCTATCATATTTAGAAGCACGTTGTAAGTATTTCGGTAATTCTGGAGCCACCACGATTGTTTTGACACCCAAATTGACCTCAATTCTGATCATGTTTATGAACGGCCCCACACAAAAACGTCATCGATTACCTAAACCACAGTCTGTGACTTTAGCCACTAGTCCGTAGCCCAAGTCTAGTAAACTTTTCTTTCAGTCTAGTAAGCTTTGCTAATAAAGGTCCATACATGAATGTAACCGTGTAAATAATCACAAACAGCTGTGGGGGGTGAGGCTGATGACGTTTATTTATATATGGTAGGTACGCATGTACCGTACGTACGTACATTCGTCAGCCTGAAACAACATAAGCAAATATAACACAGAATCTAATAAATATGTACAATCTGTTATAGTTACTCTTTAAATAGATAAAATATAGATATCACTTTCATTAAATAAATAGCACTTACTTTACATCATCTAGTACTGTACATATCTGTACAATACATCAATACACAGATACAACATATATTAATATGATAACAAAGTGATAACGAACATACTGCATGTAACTTTGGTAAGAATTACAAATTATGGAAGATAGAATATTTATTCAATATCTGTCAAAAGCAGGCAGTGTGAAAATTAGTGGAGGTTCGACTGAGAGTAATCTTACAATGTTACAGAGCTATGGAATGCATGTTAAGCTATAAAATACTAAGGTATAAAACATAACTAATATTGTAACTAATAATATTTTCTTATACTGTAATTATTGTAATAAACTAATTAGTTAAAATGGTAACAAGGCCATACAACCTTACTACGAACTAATAAATCTTAACTAAAAGTTATGTACATATGTATAATGAGTTGAGCCTGTCACATGAACACTAAGATCTACTGAAAATGATGGGGTGTTGGCTAAACAGTCAACGGTTTCTGTGGGCTAAAACAGTAACACTTTCGCAAAAATATATAAAAAAATCATCCTTTCTTGTAAAATATCACCAAATGTTCCCAGTTTGCCTGCCAAGGGTACTTAGTTTGAATTCTAAGATAAATCTCTGTGGTCTGCTAAGGTCAGCTGATAGTTCTCCATATCATAACAGAAATATCCAATGAAATGATGCCAGTAGACAATTGCAAAATTTCCTAATGCCATTTAATTGATCTCTCAAATCACAAGTCACCATATGAATGTACATTACCAGTGACTACATATTTATGTACTTTTATCTTCTATTGCAGAAAATTTCCTCATTATCATTATTCTTAGTATTCTCTTTCTTCTTATTATTATTATTTAGAATGAATTTATGATAAAAGAGCAATGTTTGAAAGTAACTAATGTACTCTCTTCTAGTATAATTAAGAAAGAAAGAAATTCTTTGCAGACTACCACTTGTACCAAATGGCAACTCTTTAACAGATATTTTCTGTGGACTTGTTTAAATAAAGATAAATTATAACAATATTATTATTTTCTCACCCAGTAATGGGTTGTAGGTTTTTTCTTTTACCATCATCTAATTTGATAACTGATAACATCACCTCATTGTCATAACAACATGCCTAGCAAGTGTGGGAGACATGTACTTTGCCGGTCCCACTGTCTTCATAATGACTTAGTATTTAGCTTTTAGCCACGAAATATGGTTATAGTTATAACATAAAAGCATCTTTCTGTATGAAAAAGCCCACTCTATTTATACTGATAAAACATGTTAACAGCAGGAGACTAATCTGGGACTTCATGTCTATATTGTTGACAGGTTTCTGTTGTTGTGATCGACAGTGTGGATTATCTGGATTCTACAGTTTTTCCTGTGTTTCACCTTGATCTGGTGCAAAGATCAACTCTAGAGGTATTCTCATCTAAACAACACACACAATAATGACATGTCCCACCTCAAACACAAGAACTCTAGCTTTTACATTCATCAAGGCAGGGTTTGATATCGGTTCACTTTCCAGGACATGGATTGTCATCCAAAATGTCCAATAGATAGTTTTCAAATGTGGTATATATTTATATATAGTTGATAAAATGATGAAAATGTCCTCATGCCAATTGTCTCCATCAAAATCCCTGTATAAGTACACAATGTAAACCACTCATGTAAACAAGCTTAACACGTGTCAATACCTGTATTTTGTCCTTTGTGTGAAATGAATCTAAATAAATCCCACATTGATACTTCAGAGGCACAACATGCTGTGTCCCAGTGAGAGTTGGGTGAACCTGGATGACCCTCCCTGCCCCGACACTGATGCTGTCATCCCCTCCAGTCCTACAATGAGGTCCACCAGCCTAATATGCCCCTCCCCTAGATCCTCCATCTTCTACAACAGCATCCTACAACAGTTTGAACAACCTATTTCCTTCCCTTCCTTCATCCCAAGCCAGTATCTGAATATTCATAATGCAGGTTTTTTCAGTCCAAATACTAGTGTGCTTCATTCAGACTACCCTGACTTTACTTCTAACTGTACTGACACTAATGACCTTCCTTCTATGTTTCTATTAGAGAGCAGACATGTATTCCCCAGCCGAAATCATATGTCCCTCCCAGCCGACACCAATGCAAGCATATTCCCAAGCCCATGTGATATGTCCCTCCCTGCTGGCACCAGTGCAAGCCAAACCTCAATCGTCGAAGAGTTTATTGCTGAACTCTCACCACCTCATTTCATGCCTGTTACTATTTGCAGTGAATCAAGCCTGAGTCAGAACATCAGCCAGACCTCATTGGGTTTCGATGTTTCCAGCTTCCAGCCGCTTCCAGTTGACAGCGCATGCAGTCTACATCAAGAAACAATCAGCCAGACTTCACTGGGCCCGGATTTCGATGTTTCCACCTTCCAGCCTCTTCAAGTTGACAGCGCATGCAGTCTACATCAAGAAACAATCAGCCAGACTTCATTGGGCCCGGATTTCGATGTTTACAGCTTCCAGCCTCTTCCAGTTGACAGCGCATGCAGTCTACATCAAGAAACAATCAGCCAGACTTCACTGGGCCCGGATTTCGATGTTTCCACCTTCCAGCCTCTTCAAGTTGACAGCGCATGCAGTCTACATCAAGAAACAATCAGCCAGACTTCATTGGGCCCGGATTTCGATGTTTACAGCTTCCAGCCTCTTCCAGTTGACAGCGCATGCAGTCTACATCAAGAAACAATCAGCCAGACTTCACTGGGCCCGGATTTCGATGTTTCCAGCTTCCAGCCTCTTCCAGTTGACAGTACACTTCCTGGATCTACCAACAATCAGCCAGACTTCATTGGGCCCAGATTTCAGTGATTCCAGCTTCCAACCACTTCCTGTCAACAGTGCATGCAGCCTAGATCAAGCATCAATCAGCCAGACATCATTGGGCCCTGAGTTTGATGATTCCACATTCAGGAAGCTTCAGGTCGACAGTGCTTGCAGCCTAGATCAAGCATCAATCAGCCAGACGTCATTGGGCCCAGATTTCGCTGTTTATCGCTTCCAGCCTCTTCCGGTCGACAGTGAATGCAGCCTGGATCTACCAACAATCAGCGAGACGTCATTGGGCCCAGATTTTGATGATTCAACATTCAGGCAGCTTCAGGTTGACAGTGCTTGCAGCCTAGATCAAGCATCAATCAGCCAGACGTCATTGGGCCCTGAGTTTCATGATGCCACCTTCAGGCTGCCTTCAGTTACCAGTGCATGCAGTCTAGATGAAGAAACAATCAGCCAGACGTCATTGGGCCCAGATTTGGATGATTCCATCTTCAGCAGTGAAAGCAACCTGTCACAAGACTACAGCCAGACTTTGATGAAATCCATTGTCAGCCCTGTTCCTGGGCGCAGTGGTTCCAGCCTGTCTCAGACCATCAGCCAAGTATCAAGTATTGAGGATTTCAGTGAATCCATCCTCATAGCCTATTCCTTTCAGCTGTGAATCCAGTCACAAGACACAGTCACAGAATGAACGAAAGTTTTGGCAAGACCACAATTTATAACTTTATCCCAGATTGCCCAGTTTCTTTTCGAAACATACCAAGCAGTATGTCGGTTCTCATTTCAGGGGTTTCTTTTGTATTTCTACAGATTTCTTCCTTGAATTAGTCCCAGATTAGTCTCCTGCTGTTAACCTTGGCTTCAATTCATTTCAGATCTACTTATCACATCAGGGTGCCATTGTACAAAATAGACCAAGATATAATTTAAGTGCCAATAACAGTGGCCCAGCTCCAGCAAAAAATCCACCTGCCTTTCAGACCCTTCCACTCTTCAAATTTTTTTCAGGAACTCTTAAATGATTGTCAGTGACATGATTCTCAGTCTCACTGGTAGCCAATGCAGTTCTTTCAGAAGCGGTGTTATTTGGTTGCGAATTAAGCATTGTGTGATGAGCCCCGCGCCTGTATTTTGCACACACTGTATCATGTGCAAATGACTTTAATGAATGTCATGCAGGAGATTGTTGGCATGGTCACATCTTGAAGCAACAATGCATGAATGAATCAATTGCAGTCTGTGAACAGTGCTCCCTCTCTTTCTGCTTTTAAATCTGGATTGAAAACTTACCTCTTTCAACACTACTGTGCATGCTTCGAGCATGTCCTCTATATAAGTGTCATTTATTATTATTATTATTATTATTATTATCATCATTATTATTTGAGCATGTCCTCTATATAAGTGTCATTTATTATTATTATTATCATTATTATCATCATCAGATTAAAACACATAATGCAGCAAATTGGGTTCAGGTGATCCTGGCATAGTCAGGCTGGTTCGGCTCATAATCACCTTGGCCCTTGCCCCCTCTACATGCAGCCCAGACAGCAAATGGGAATTCTAGCAGGAAGCGCTGCCTAGTCAAATCCACACAGAACCTTTTGGAGAATGTGAAGACTCCCCAACACTGCAGCCTTCTGCAATACACATATTGTCAGAAGGGCTGTATTCCTTGCAACAAACCAGGCTGTATTCCTAGCAACAAAACTCTCCCAATTTCAGTCAACAAATTTGGAGGCACTGAGAACAATGGGGATTTGGACAACTTGGTACTTTGGATGCAAGGATGACATTTTAGAAAGCAAGGTCTGCATATTTGCCATGTTTTTTCTATATCTTGTCAATCACATTTGTGTTAAAGGGGACAGAAAATTCAATGATATAAATGATATAATGAGAATGTGAAGAGTCCCCAACACTGCAGCCTTCTGCATTACCCAGATTGTGAGAAGGGCTGTATTCCTGGTAGCAAACCCAGGTACTCTCCCAATGTCAGTCAATAGATTGGGAGGTACCAAACCTAAGGCACCGAGAACAATGGGGAGTGGGACAAGTTGGTACTTGGAATGGCAGCATGACATTTCAAAAGCAAGGTCTACATATTTGCCATGTTTTTCATGAATCTTGTCAATCACATTGGTGTCAAAAGGGACGGAAAATCCAATAATATAAATTATTTCATTGAATTTATCAAAAAGGACAAAATCAGGTGTTTTCGCCTGGATATGTCTGAGGCTGTATTTATCATTTTCCATGACGCCCTCTTCATATTCTGTCAACATGATGACTGTGTTTAGTCTGATATGTTTATAATAGAATCAAAAGAGCTTACATTTCCCTGGATTATGATTATTTTTTAGAAATTGTATTAATATGCCCTTGGAGACATTACATTGTCTTGGTAAGTATTTCAGTAATTCAGAACTTCCGATTGTGTATTGACACTACCAGTAATTACTGTTATTTATCACCTATTGCTCATGAACTGACAGTAATTAGCATTCCTCATCATTCGCCTCGGCTCAGTGGTGCACAGTCAAGGGACGCCAGCTCTACCTTGACATGGCTGCTTCCATCCTTTGAATATGACTCATCTACCTGTCACCAGGATAATCATAGTCAAAATGCTGTCGGGGAGCTACAGACATGATGCCAGAGATCAATTCAAGAACGAGTGGATGTGGAAGATCAGTAACTGCAGGCTAGCCTACTGCATCCACATATCCTGGTATCAGACAGGACACAGTACGCCCGGGAGCCGATCCACCTCAATGAAAAAGAACTGTGTGATTTTTTGGACAACTGGCACTTGTTATCAGTAATGTAAGTACGCTAACACCAAAAATCAGTTATTTTGGGAGTCAATGGCAACCTGGTCTTTCATGTTTTTTCACTTGTGGAATCAGAAACATTGCTTAAGTTGGGAAACCAATTGCTACGTATACTGGCCCGGAAGTGGTAGTTGTCATTTAGGCCGGCAGCGGTAGTTGCCACAATGCTTTTTAACATTAGCTGCTATTTTCTCCAAGCAGCAGTAGTTGCTAACAGTGCCAAACAGTGGAATGTGTCATATCACCGGCAGCGGAAGTTGCCATGATACTTTTACAACAGTAGCTGCTCTAGGCCAGCAGAGGAGGCTGCTAATTGACATTGGCAGAGGTAGTTGCCATGAGAACAGTAGCTTTTCATATAATTAACTAGGACCTGTACACCCTGAGCCCTTGCTGTTCTTATAGGAAAAGGGCATCCTGTGTATGGTAACCCCCTCTCTTCTTTCCTCGGCATAATGTGCAACAACTGCTATTTGTTTCATGGGATATGTTTGTTGGTGGTGAAGGTGTGGCTATAAGGGGAGGTGGAGGCCACCTTTACAAGTAATTGTTTGCTTGTTAAAAAATAAATACAAATATGTCATTAATTTGGTTTTACTGTACAACTTAGCAATCATAATGAATCACTGATGTTTATCGATAAAGTATTTCATGAAAGAAAATAATGTTAAAAGTCTGCAGATACAGCCAGCTATGTTTACTTCACTTATATCTATGTTTTAGTGTGTTTTTAGTCGTACAAATGGGTATCTCTCATACCCTCACTTCTAGTCGCACGTTTAAAAGGAAGCCAGAAGCTGGAATGTAAACATTAAACTTCCGGTTGCGCACGCACCTCCCTATGACATGCCACAAATCTCTCAGCGCGCCTCTGAGACTGGTCGCTCAAGGAAGACTTTCGCGGTAGACTGCTAGTTTGTATTCTACTAGTACTTACAGTTGTTGTTATAATAAAGTAATAATAATATGTCTTACCTGTAGACTCCTGGAATGTAATCCTTGGTAATCCATTGTTTGTGTTCAACACATGTTTCACTGTTTGACTTGATTATACACGTGGCAACATGTCGGGCATTTGTGCCTCGTGTCAAAGAAAACTGTCTAAAGTAGATCCTCACAAGTATTGTCCTTCCTGCATCATTAAGGATGGGTTTCCAACGTGTTCGTGGGATAAACATGGTAAAGAATGAGAGTACTTGTCTTCTATAAACTTTAACTTGTTTCTTCGTGCGTTGGCGAAGCAGGCTGCTGACCAGCGCTACAAGCAGAGAAGGTCATCGGGTGGATCCTTAGACTCTGCACCCTCCATACCACACCCAAGAAATCAGTTAATAAAGACCCGCCTCAGTCAACTTCTGTTTTCGACAAGACACGTGACCGTTCGCCTGCTGATGATACTACCCGCACGACTGATTTTCGTCAATCGGTTGATCGAGAGCGTCACTCAGTCACCCCCGTTACGACGGGACCGGGTTATGACGAGGACCATGAGGGGACTACAGTCCCCAGTCGGTCCGAATCTCGTTCTGCCAACGACGATAGGGATGTCGTGCGGGACGACAGTGAACACAGATCCCTCTCTGGAAGTCATTCCCATTCCCGGGACGACAGGTCGAGTCCCTCGTCGACAGACAGTAAATGACACGAGGACATTCATCGCCATTGTGGTCGTCGGGAGTATGATTCGGACAATAACTACGATGGGGATCGTAGTACTTCTACAGTTAGAGATTGTTGCCCTCGTCCCCACTAGGACATGCGACGTTCTCGCAGGTAGTTTCTTGTAGATCAGCGTCGTAGAGATAATGACAGCACGACACCCTCGTCTCACTTTCATATCGACCCGGCTTTGATAGCCCAGATCACGGCGGCGGTCGACCAAGAAGGATTCGACTACGTCGGGGGTCCATGGACCGTCAACCAGCTCCTTCATCTACGCCTACACAATCAACGTCGACGATGGATTGTAACGACAGCCCTCCTAGGCCTCCCAAAGACATTGAGTTGTTTGCTTGATTATCTAACTTTCTGCCTGAGTTATCAAAAGACGATGACAAACCGACGCGTGCTGGCTTTAAGGTGGGATATACACCGCAGTCTCTTCAGTTTTCTCCTCCTGATGCCTTCAGAGCCATGGCTAAAGATATGGACCAGAACTTTGCCGCTGCTGATGGTCGTACCAACGAAGTTCTGGACAAGTACTCCAGGGAAGCCGAGCGTGACATCATCATTTCGGCTTCACACAACCTGTCCAGACGGCCACGGTTTCGAACGCCCCACGACGACGTTACAGAAACAAGAATGTGCAACGGGCCT